AGCTGCTGCTTGTGTTGGGAGAGGCCAAGCTGTAACCTTAGGTGGTCTGCCACTAATGCTGGGCCTGTGGCCACTTAGCAAGAGGTAGTGGTTACACAGAGGCCAGATATTGCTTGTTTGAGAGCTTTTAGGAATCTGAAGCATGAGGCAAGAGGTGCCAGTTGTATGGAAAAGTCACTGGAAATGGCTTTGATGGGCTTGCAAGTTGGGTGGGGCTCAGTCTCCACCAGAACAGGCAAACAGTGTCAGACAGGTTGATGGAAACTAAGATATGGCTCTGTGTGTATGTGCATGTTTGGCGGGGATGGGAGGGTGGGGGAGCGGGTATCTCAGAAAAGTTACAGTGGCCTCTGCCAGCATTTTTGTCTGTCAGAAAGTTGCCCCCCTGCCCAGCTCTTGCCTTGATGCCAGACAATTTAGCTCCTCTCTGTATGTCCCTGACTTTTAAACAGCTGCCCCAGTGCTGAAGCTCAGAGGGAGTGAGTTCAAGACAGTTAGAGCACCGGCCCTTTAAGGGTAAGTGCCCAGGACTCCAGAAGCTTCTGTCTCAGTCAGCCACAATCCCTATGGGTTTTTACAGCCAGAGGTTATAGGGACTTGTCTTCCTGGCACTGGAACCCTGGGCTGGAGTGTGTGGTTTGGGGCTGGGACCTCACTCTCCTCAGGGTGTACCTTTGCAGTCAAGATATCCCTTCCAATTTTAAACCATCACGTTTGTATGGGACTAGCCTGTTCCACATCTCCTCCCCTCCTACCAGTCTCAATGTAGTTTCTTTAAATCCCTGGTTGTAGGACTTCCATTCATACAGATTTCAGGTAGTTCCAAATTATGGTTATGCTGTAGTTTAGTTGTAATTTTGATGTAGTTTTGAGAGGATTTGAGAATCACATTTACCTACGCCACCATCTTGACCATAAGTCAAAAATCATATGATCTTTAATTGATGCAGAAAAAGCATTTGGTAAGATACAACATTCATTTGTGATTAAAACACTCAAGAAAATGGGCATAGTAGGAAAGAATCTCAACATAATAAAGGCCACGTGACAAACCTTCAGCTAATAACATACTCAATGGTGAAAATTTAAAGCTTTTCCTCTAAAATCCTCTAACAATACAAGGATGCCTGCTCTCACCACTCATATCCAACATAGTTCTGGGAATCCTAGCTGGAGCAACCAGGCAAGAGAAAGAAAGAAAAGGCATCCAAACTGGGAATGAAAAAGTAAAAGTGTCTCCCTTTATAGATGACATGATTCTGTATATAGAAAACCCTAAAGAGTCCACCAAAAATCTATTAGAAACAATAAGCAAATATAGTAAAGTTGCAGGATATAAAATCTATGTACAAAAATGTACTGCTGCCATGACTGGTGTGGCTTAGTTAGTTGGGTGTCATCCTGCAAAACAAAAGGTCACTAGCTTGATTCCTGGTAAGGGCCGGGTTGGGGTGTCTATGAGAGGCAACTAATAGACATTTCTCTCCATCTCTATCTTTCTTCCCTTCTCTCTAAAAATAAAATCTTTAAACAAAAATCCACTGCTTTCCTGTATACTAACAATGAAATTTCAGAAAAAGAAATGAAAAAAGTCTTTTGCAACCAAAAGAATACAACACCTAGGAATTAACAGCAGTGAAGGACCTATATACTGAAAACTACAAAGCATTATTATGAGATTAAAAAAGACAATGAAATGGAAAGATTCTGTATTCATGGATTTAAAGAATCAACAGGTAAAATAGCCACATTACTCAGAGCAATATACAGATTTAATACAATTCCCATCAAAATCCCATGTCATTTTCTTAAAGAAATAGAACAAAAAACCAATAGAATGGAACCACAGAAGACCACAAATAGCCAAATCAATGCTGAGAAAAAAGAACAAAGCCAGAGGTATCACACTACCTGACTACATTATACTACTGAGCAATGGTAATCAAAACAGCATGGTATTGGCAGAGAAACAGGATCACAGACCAATGGAATAGAATTAAGAGCCCAGAAATAAAATCACATATGTATAGGCAAGTAGATTTTTTTTATTAGATACAGTGCACTTTATTGATGGTGCCTGACAAGGTAGAGATCCTTCTTCAAGGGGCCTGGAATGAAAACTGTGGCGGTCAGGAGATTCTCAGTGCATTGGGGATCAATTTGGGCCAAGGACTCCAAAGCAGCTGAAGGCCTCTCCTCTTGCTGGGGCTGGTAGGCCATGGGGCACTTTATCCTTGAAGGCCATGTGGACCATAAGGTCCGCCACCATGTCCAAATTGCAGAAGACAACATGGTACTCAGTGTAGCCCAGGGTGCCTCTCATGTCTGCTTCACTACCTTCTTGATGTCATTGTATTTGGCAGCTTTCTCCCAGAAGCAGGTCAGATCCTCAACCATCACATTAGGGCTAGGACATGGAAAGCCATACCAGCAAGCTTCCCATTCTGCTCAGGGTTGGCCCTTCCCAGAGCCTTTACAGCACCAGTAGAAGCAGGGATGAAGTTCTGGACAGCCCCTCTGCCATCACACAACTTCCCAGAGGGGCCATCCACAGTCTTCTGGGTGCCAGTGATGGCATGGACTGTGGTCATGAGTCCCTTCATGACACCAAAGTTGTCATGGATGACCTTAGCCAGTAGGGCCAACCAGTTGGAAGTGCAGGATAAATTGCTGACAATCTTGAAGTTGTCGTACTTGTCATGGTTCACACTCATCACAAACATGGGAGCTTTGCAGAAGGGGCAGAGAGGATGACCCTCTTGGCCCTCTTGGCTCCTCCCTTCAAGTGAGCCCCAGCGTTCTCCAAAGTATTGAAGACACCAGTGGACTTCACAACATATTCAGCACCAGCATCACCCCATTTGATGTTGGTGGGATCTTGCTCTGGGAAGATGGAGATGGATTTTCCATTGATGACAAGCTTTCCATTCGGTCTTGACTGTGCCTGTTAACCTGCCATGAGTAAAATCATACTGGAACATGTAGACCATGTAGTTGAGATCAATGAAGGGATCATTCATGATGACAGTATCCACTCTGTCAGAGATAAAAGCAGCCCAGGCCCCCAATATGGTCAAATTAGTTCTCTCTGCAACTTTCACCACTGTATCTCAGCGTTGCAGCTGGCACTGCTCAGGAAGACATGACTCTCTATCTAACAGGCGAAACACAGAGCCTGGGCAAATAATTTTTGACAAAGGAGCCAAAAACACAATTGGAGGAAGGAAAGCCTCTTCAATAAGTGGTACTGAGGAAATTGGAAAGCCACATGGAAAAGAATGATACTAGATTATAGTTTGTCCCCATGTACAAAAGTTAATTCAGAATGGAGCAAAGACCTAAATATGAAATGAAACAATAAATTACATAGAGGAAAACATAGGTGTAAACTTACAGACCATGGTCATAGAGAACATTTTATTAATTTGACCCCAAAGGCAAAGGAAGTAAAAGCAAAAATAAATCAGTGGGACTGTATCAACCTGAAAAGCTTCTGCACACATAAGAAACCAACAAAACAAAAAGGTAACTGAGAGAAGATATTTGCAAACAGCAGCTCCAAAAAGGGGTTAATATTCAAAGTATGTAAAGAACCTGTACAACTCAACACCAAACAATCCCACTGAAAATTGGGCAGAGGCCTTGGCAGGGTGGTTCAGTTGGTGGCAGCATCTTCCCATAGACTAAAAGGTTGAGGGTTCCGAATCAGGGCACAAGTTCTATCTAGGTTCTATCTAGGTTACAAGTTCTATCCGATTGGGGTGCAAACGGGAAGCAACCAATGTTTCTCTCGCACATCCATGTCTCTCTCTTTCTCTCTCTCCACATCCATGTCTCTCTCTCTTCCCCCACCGCCAATAAACATATTCTCAGGTGAGGATTAAAAAATAATGGGCAGAGGACCTGAACAGACATTTCTCCCAAGAAGACAAATGACCAACAGATAGACACATGAAGAGATGGTCAATTTCACTACCCGTTAGGGAAATGCAAATCAAAAGTACAAGGAGATACCACCTCACACCTGTCAGAATGGCTGTTACCAACAAGACAGATAAAAACTAGTATTGGAGCCTTGGCTGGTGTGGCTTGGTAGATTGAGTGCCAGCCTGCACACCAAAGGGTTGTTGGTTTGATTCTCAGTCAGGGCACATGCCTGGGTTGCAAGCCAGGTCCCCAGTAGCAGGCACACAAGAGACAACCACACATTGATGTTTCTCTCCCTTTTCCCCTCCCTTCCTCTCTCTCTAAAAATAAATAAAATTTCTTTTAAAAAAAAAAATAGTTGAGAATATTATGCTAAGTGAAATAGTCAGAAAAAGCTAAGAACCATATGATTTCACTCAAATGAGTGATATAAAACTGAAACTTGAAGACACAGATAGCAGTGTGTTGGTTACCAGAGGGAAGGGGGTGTGGGTTGTGAAGGGATGGAGGGGGCCTAATGTATGGTGACGGTTTGACTGTAGGTGGTGTAATATACAGATCCAGTATCATAGAAATGTACACTTGAGACCTATATGATCCTACTAACCTATGTGATCCTATTAACCAATATCACCCCAATTACCTTTATAAAATTTAAAAAAAAAATAAAGTAAAATGGTGTTAATATCACAAGGCTATGAAGTCACATGGCTGAGATTCCAGGCCAATGGTCTTCCACAGCCAACTGTTTTAGCTACCACACTTCCTGCTTCACAAACCTTGTTCCTGTGAACAACAGAATTTTCAAAGTAGGAACTGAGTCTAACTTCAAAACAAAGCACTAGCAGCTTTTTCCCCTTTGATAGTTAATTCAGTCATCTCCCCCGACCCCCCATTTAGTAAATCACAATCCGCAAGATATAGCTTCCTTCTGAGGTAGCAAGTTCCTAGAGTGTAGAAACTGTGTATCTATTATATCTATGCTAAGTAACTCATAATACAGCATAGACACTTTGCCAGCAACACTGATAAACAAAGTCAGGCTGTTTCTTTAATAATGCTTATCTGCTTCCTTTTTGTTAAATTTATCTTTTATTTCAAATGACAGAAATCACTTTTTATTTTTATTAAAAACCAAACACCACTACATATTTAGGCCCATACTGTTACTAGGACCCAAGGGCACCATGGTTTTGCAGACCATTTGCCTTACATGGTTCTTTTCTCTCCTCTCCCTAGAGATTCCTAGAGTATCCTTTAAAGGGCTACAAGAATACACATATAAGCTGTAGAATTCCACTTTAATCTTTTGGGAAAGTTTTAAATTACTGTTATAAAATTCACGAAAAAGAAATATATATTGATCAATAGATATAGATATGTCAAACATATAGATTGACCAATATAAATATATGTATGTATTTAAAGTTAAGGATGAGTGAAGTGAGAATACAATGGCCCAATTTTTGGTTTAAAAAACAGGTAAGAGTAAGTATTGCCACTACAGGTGCTCGTGTTTATATCTGTCATTAAGCTAACCTAGGAGTAGCCCAACCATTGGCATTCAATGGGCGTGGCAACATAGCTCTCTTCAACTCTCCAGTGAGTTTTGAGTCCAAACAGTTTCAGTTCTTGTCTTGTTTATCTGTTGATGAGGGGTTTCTAGGAAGATTTAGTAGTGCTTCAATTTTCTCAGCATCATCTTTGGACTGATTTTTCTGTAGGCTACTTTCAATCTCTTCAGGGAGGAGCTCAGTAAACTGTAGTCTGGCTTTCCTGTAATCAAAGAATGAAAAGGATATATCAAGTCCTGTTATACTTCTTTAGTTGGTAGATTTTTTTTTTAAAAGATAGCATTTGTCTTATTCTCCCTGCAACTTATGAGCAAACACTGCTCCTTGTACTTCAAATACAGTGACTTTCTTCTCTCTCCTAACCTGTTCCACTCACAGGCCAACTAGAATTCTCGTATTTCTAAAATGTGTATTTCCACTGTGGCAGCAGAGTTGTCACAGGGGTGACATGGGCGCTGAAGCACGCTGAGCTAAGGTGTAAGCCTCGTGACCTGGCTGTCTTGCCTTCACCATCAGGGGGACATGAGTCCCCCTGTTAAACTGTCTGTTGCTAAACCTTGTAGAAATCCCACAGAGATTATAACAATGGTAATTTTTGTACATAAATATCAGATGGGATGCTATAGATGTATATATATGAGGAATTAAACTCAAATTTCCAAATAACAGATCAGTTGTTTTTCTAAATGAAGTATTACCACCTTCCTTTCTTTAAGTGATTATCAGGGTCACTTATGACTTTCCACTCTTCACAACCAGATCTGAGTTCTTTTTCCATATCTCTATAGCCAGTTTTCTACATTTTCTGCTCACTAGAGCAATTTTTTAGATTCTAACCATGTTTGATTCCCCTTGATTAAAGAAGCAGACAGAAGTTTCTTACCTATTTATTAAGTTAATGCTCCTCAGAAATATTTATATAGAGAGTGTCAGTCCAGAAAAAAATCCAGCCATTGTTAATATAATGAGAATAGTTTGCGAGACATTGATGTAACCTGGCAGCCTGTGGTGAGTGGGAGCAGTAGATACCATTGAGTGAGCATGTGTGCTGTGTGGCCCTCACATTCAAAATGGCTGAGCAAGTAGAGCAACAAATCTGCATCAAATTTTGAATTAAGCTTGAACATTCCTCTGTGGGCACTATTCAGATTCAGAAGGCCACAGCTACAGGCAACTGATAACTGGCAACTCCATCATGACAATGCACCCACTAGTTCGTCATATCTTGTACAGAACTTTTTGGTGAAACGTCAAATCACCCAGGTGGCTCAGCCCCACTATAGCCCAGGTTTGGTGCCCTACGACTTCTGGCTTTTCCCAAAACTAAAATCATATTTGAAAGGGCAGACATTTCAGACCGTCAACAAGATGCAGGAAAATAAGATATGGCAGCTGATGGTGACTGGGAGAACTGTGAGATCCCAAGGTGCCTACTCTGAAGGGGACTGAGGAGTCACCGTCCTCTATACAATGTTTCTTGTATCTTCTTCATTAAATGTGACTACTTTTCATATTACATGGCTGTATATCTTCTGAACAGGCCAAATTATATATATACTTTGATACTATTTTTTTCTGCCAAAGTATTCTTTCATTATGATAATTGTTTTTGTTTTTACCCATTTTCTGTCACTAAATAAAAATCAACTTCTCTAGTCTTCTCTTTCTGGTTTTCATTTTTTTTATTGAAATAAAATTATTATTTGTTCATATTTTTCCAAATGCTAATTCTTCCATACTTCCTATATCAAATTCAAATAGCCAATATACTTTATCTTTCCAACTCCTTTCTCAGTTTCCTTTTTAAAAAGAAGTCTCTTATGATACCTTAGAGAGAAGGTAATGCTTTCATGCTTTTAATTATCCCTAATACTAAATTTTATACTGGTTACAGAATTTTAAGTGCTTTGCTCTAGAACCTACATAACTGCATATCCCATCCACCCTCTTAGTATGGAGAATAGAAAGGAACAAAACAAACACATACTGAACACTGTTGTGATTCTGCTCTTAGAATGCCTGAGAAAACTGAGGGCTAAAAGTTAAGAAAAATATCTTAAGGTCATAGTAATGAATAGTTTAGCTAGGATTTAAAGCCTTGTTTTCAAGGTTTTTCTGGCTCCAAATATCAACTTTTTTTCTCCTACAGTACCTAAGCCCTTGAACAATAGATCTACAGATATTAAGAATTCCCATGTCTGTGTGTTTGCTTAGCACAAATGGAAGTGTCAAGTAAAAACCTGGATAAAAAAAGGCTGCTTATCTACTCAACTCTCAATACAGTAGCTACAGCAAATGTTGTCTTAGATACCCAGGAAGCTGAACTGTTAAGAGTCACTTGTACCAGGAGCACTAGAAGGCATCCTGTTACATTGATCTTACAAAGAATCAGCAAGAAGCCTGCTATCAGTCTGATTTCTGGTCCACAGGAAATGACTACATGGAAAGGGTGAAAGTTTTCACCCTCCTCAGTGGCATCCAGTCCATGTCCAGTAACTATACTACTTCCTTGCTCTGCATCCACAGCAAGAAGTAGAATCTTTTTCTTTTTACCTTCACCCAAGCACATTTTTTGCCCACTGCTTTTAGAAAGAGAGAGAGGAAAGATGTGAGAGAGAAACACTAATTTGTCATCTCCAGTATGTACCTAGGGCACCTGGACCGGGGATCCAACCTGCGACCTAGCTAAGTGACCAGACCCGGAATTGAACATTCAATCTTTGGGTTAGTCAATGCTCTAACCAACTGAGCCACACCAGCCAGGGCAAGAAGTAAAATCTTTGCATGTGGACACTGAACATGTCCTGCATTGTTTATAAATATTTGTATAAACCAGGATACCAACTTTTAAATAAAGCCAAATAAAGCTCACTCACTGCTGTGTATTTTCTTCAGGTAATTTCCTTAAGCAGTTGAAAACATAGGAAAAGAAAAAATATGCAACCAAATGAAATTCACATTTTAACTTTTCAAAAGAAATATACCTAGGGACAGGTGCGCATCAGATTTAAAATAAAACTGGTGTCCTTGGTTTTTCCATTCTCCTAATCAAGAGGATTAAAAGACCTGGTAGGGTACAAGTTGAAAGACTCAGTAAAAACAAACTCTTCTTTGAAATGAATGGCAGTTACAAGTACTTGGGTTTAGAGAACAACAGTATCGCAATGCAGAATGAATACACTATACTTACAAAAACCCACTCCTATTAATCTTAGTAAATATTAAACCCAGCTTGTTATTCTAACCTGATTTTTCTCTCAAAGCTAGAATATACATGTTAAAAGTTTCTTTTCTAAGTATACTTTACTAGAAATCAACAGGTTCAGTTCCTGTGTAAATTTAAGAAACAGTCTGACCTCAAAGGCCCACTGACTCAAGGATACTGACCATGAAGTTCAATATGAGGACCAGCAAGAACACTATCTGCATTTCCACAGCCCCTCCCACTGATCTCTTTGTTCTGCTTTCCCTCTCCTCCCTCCTTGTAAAAACCTCTGCCTGCACTAAGATGTTTAAGTTGTAACCATAATTTAGTATCTCCCAGCTAATGAAGTATTTAATCAACCTTATGCCTCAGTTCTCATTGCAGTTGCAAGCTACACTGGTGCCAGCCATAAACCACAGGTGTCAGGGAAAGGGAGGAATGCTAATACAAATAGAGAAGCAGCGTGGCTCCCTTTCCAATAACCTCTCTACTTACTCCCAAAAGAAACAGCAGGTCTGTACTTCCCGTAGGAATTTCCCCCTTCCTGAAATCCTATCAACTCTCTTTAAGACTCGCTGGTTTGACCAGAGATGTTAAGATGAGTTTTTGAGGACAGGAAGCCACCTATCTTCTCAAGATGCTGGTGTGCGAATAAATCACTATCCTTCTCACAAACACCAGTCTCACAAGTTTGATTTTTGCTGCGACAGGCAGCTGAATCTGGGTTCAGTTACAGTATCTAAAGCCTGCTGCTAGGAAAGTCCGATATCCTAGTCTTAGCTTATTCCTTACCACTCTTCCAGTTTCAGCTCATGGAGTGTTTTTCGATCCTTCTGGTTTTTTTCCTGAACTGTCTCACCATAGTACTTCTGAAGTGCCATCAACAGGCTTCCTATAGGAGTGCTGTGGAAGAAGCAGAGGGGAAACTTAGAAAAAAAACGTGCCATTAGACCAGACAAGATGTGAGTGTCTCTGCTAAAACATGAGCAACAAAGTGAGCCACTTGTTCACTGACAGGTACAGGAACATTTGACAATTAAAGTGTCCGTGTTGAATAAAGAAAAAAAATCAAGGCAATTTCTTCCTGGTCTGAACAATAAACACTCACTGCAACTTCCTTTAGTAAATTATATAAAAACTACAGGTCTATAAATTGGCTATTTTTTAATAAAAAGTTAACCAGGAAAATACATATTTATGACAAGTTCTATGACAAGTAAATAGTTTATACTGAAGGTTTCTCAGAAATAAAATGAATACCAGGCAGGAATGGTATCAGATCTCCTCATGGGTGGGCAATTTTTGGTTGGAGGAAGAATGCTACTGGCTTTTAGAGTTGGAGCCACAAAAAACATCCTAAAATTCAAAAGTCCAACACAAAAGTCTCATCCACAATGCCAATAGTTACTCAATAAGAAACTGATTTACATTACATTTATTACAATAAGGAAGAGGGTTTCGTTCTTGTGTTCTCAAAGAAAAGGAGTTTTTTGGCTCTGATACAACTTAAATTTTCTCTGGCTACAACTTAAGTAAGCTAATTTAAAAAATTATTGTTGCTAAGTGGAAATGTCCATAGACAGATGAATAATGAAAATGTTAATGCAATGAAATGTCATTCAGCCTTAAAAAAGAGATCCTTGTCACATGCAACAACACGGATAAACCTCAGGGACATTATGTTAAGAAAAATAAGCCAGTTACAAGGACACATATGATTCCACTCATATGAAGTATCCAAAGTAGTCAAAATCATAGAAACAAAAAATAGAAAGGCAGCTGCCAAGGGCTGAGGGAAAGGGAGTGGGAATATTACTGTTTAATGGGCGCCGAGTTCCAGTTTTACTAGATGAAAAAGTTCTAGAGATCTCTCACAAAACAATGTAAATATACTTAATACATTGGAACTACATGATTAAAAATGGATATGATGGTAACTTTTTTTTTCCCCACAGTGAAAAAAGTTTATTTTGTTGCTAACTTCAACAATTTTTCCCTTCAAATCAACCTGTTATGTTAATAATACAACAAAAATAATATCAGCAATAAATTAAGACATGCTACATTTAAAAAAAATTTAAAGAAAAGGAGGGATCACAATACTTGATATCAAATTTTATTACAAAGCTGCTGTAATCAAAACTGTTTGGTACTGGCATAAGACCAGACTTATAGACCAATGGAACAGAATAGAGAGCCCAGAAATAAACCCACTTCTTTATGGTCAATTAATATTTGACAAAGGGGGCAGGACCATACAATGGAATAAAAATAGTCTCTTCAATATATGGTGCTGGGAAAGCGAGACTGGTACATGCCAAAAAAAGAAACTAGACCTCCAACTTACACCATACACCAGAATAAACTCAAGATGAATAAAAGACTTAAATGTAAGTCGTGGCAACATAAAAGTCCTAGAAGAAAACATAAGCAGGAAAATTTCAAATATCCTATGCAGCAATTATCTTTGCCGATATATCTCTTAGGGCAAGGGATATAAAGGAAAGAATAAAAAAATGAGACAAATCAAATTAAAAAGCTTGTGCACAGCTAAAGAACACATAAGCAAAATGAAAAGGAAACCAACTGTACGGAAGAACATATTTGCCAACAATAGTTGGCCAAACAAGGGTTTGATCTCCAAAATATATAAAGGACGACAAGGGTTTGATCTCCAAAATATATAAAGAACTCATATGACTCAACACCAGGAAGACAAATAATCCAACAAAAAAATAGAAAGTAATCCAATTAAAAAATAGGCAAATGATCTGAACAGACACTTCTCCAAGGACATATAGAGGGCCAACAGACATATGAAAGGATGCTCAACATCATTAGCCATCAGAGAAATGCAAATTAAAATCACAATGAGATATTACTTTACACCAGTCAGAATGGCCATCATTAATAAATCAGCAAACAACAACTTTTGGCAGGGATGTGGGCAGAAGGGAACCCTGATGCACTGTTGGTGGGAATGCAGACTGGTGCAGCCACTGTGGAAAACAGTAAGGAATTGCCTCAAAAAACTAACGATGGAGCTGCCTTTTAATCCAGTGATCCCACTACTGGGATTATACCCTAAGAATCCTGAAACACCAGTTCAAAAGAACCTATGCACCCCAATGTGCATAGCAGTATTATTTACAATAGCAAAGTACTGGCAACAGCCTAAGAGCCCACCAGTATATGAGTGGATCAAAACACTGTGGTACAAGTTTCAGCAAATGTGGAAGCGTAGGTAGGTATGCTTCGCCTCCTCGCACAGACAAAAGAAACAACCAATTTAAAAGCAAAAAACAACCAGAACTGCCAGAAAACTGAACTGCATGGAAGTCCAATAACCAAGGAGTTGAAGAAGAAGCATTCATCTAGACTGGGAGGAGGGGCAGAGACGGGAAGTAGGGGCAGAGAGAATGTGTGGCAAAGCAGCAGCTGGTGGACTTGGCAGTCCCATAATTCCATGTGGTGTTAAACTGGGAGGAACAACTGAGGAGAAAGACAGACCATGTAACTCTGGGTTCCAGCATAAGCAAGATAAAACCTCATACCCTCTGAATATAAAAACCAGGGGGGTTATTGCAACAGAATAAACTGCCAGTCTCTTGAAAGCAGGGCAAGAGCCGAGCAAATGCCATTGTCCCCTCTCTGACTCCTCCCCCACATGCAGCACCACCAACACAATGAGGCGGATTGCCCCACTCTGGCAAACACCTGAGGCTCCACCCCTTACAATGTAACGTGTGTGCCAAGACAAAAAAAATATGGCCCAAATGAAAGAACAGATCAAAACTCCAAAAAAAGAACTAAGCGACGAGATAGCCAACCTATCAGATGCAGATTTCAAAACACTGGTAATCAGGATGCTCACAGAAATGGCTGAGTACAGCCGCAAAATAAAGGAAGACATGAAGGCCATGCAAAGTAAAATAAGGCAAAACATACAGGGAACCATAAGTGAAGGGAAGGAAACTGGGACTCAAAATCAACGATTTGGAACTGAAGGAAGAAATAAACATTGAACCAGAACAGAATGAAAAAACAAGTATTTAAAACATGAGGACTGGCTTAGGAACCTCTGGGACAACTTTAAACATTCCGAATCGTATGAGTGCCAGAAGGAGAAGAGGAAAAGCAAGAAATCGGACACTTATTTGAACAAATAATGAAGGAAAACTTTCCCAATCTGGCAAAGGAAATAGACTTCCAGGAAGTCCAGGAAGCTCAGAGAGTCCCAAAGAAATTGGACCCAAGAAGGAACACACCAAGACACATCATAATTACATTACCCAAGATTAAAGATAAGGAGAGAATCTTAAAAGCATCAAGAGGAAAGGAGACAGTTACCTACAAAGGAGTGCCCATAAGACTATCAGCTGATTTCTCTGAAGAAACCTTGCAGGCAAGAAGGGGCTGGAAAGGAGTATTCCAAGTCATGAAAGGCAAGGACCTACATACAAGGTTACTCTATGAAGCAAAGCGATCATTTAGAGTGGAAGGGCAGGAAAAGGGCTTCCCAGATAAGGTAAAGTTAAAGGACTTCATCACCACCAAGCCCTTATTACATGAAATGTTAAAGGGACTTATCTAAGAAAAAGATCAAAACTATGAAGAGTAAAATGACAACAAACTCACAACTATCGACAACTGAATTTGAAAAACAAAAACAAAAACAAACTAAGCAAACAACTAGAACAGGAACAGAATCACAGAAATGGAGATCACACGGAGGGTTACCAGCAGGAAAGGGGTGGGAGGAGAATGGGGGAAAGCGTACAGTGAGTAGGAAGCATAGTTGGTAGGCACAAAATAGACAGGGGAGGCTTAGAATAGTATAGGAAATAGAGAAGCCAAAGAACTTATATGTATGAACCATGGACATGAACTAAGGGCGAGAATGCTGGAGGGAATGAGGGTATTATTTGGAGGGGGATAGATGTGAGAAAAAAAAGAATGGGACAACTGTAATAGCATAATCAATAAAATGTACTTTAAAAAAACTGCGGTACATTTACACAACCGAATACTATGCAAAAGAAAGAAAGAACTCCTATCCTTCGTGACGGCATGGATGGGACTGGAGAGTATTATGCTGAGTGAAACAAGCCAGGTGGAAAAAGGCAAATACCACATGAGGTCACCTATATGTGGAACCTGATGAACAAAACAAACCAACAAGTGAAACAGAGACAGAAATAAGGAACAAACTGACAGTGACCAGAGGGGAGGAGGAAGGGGGAAAACAGGGGAAATAAGGGGAAACAGTCTAGTCAAGGAACATATATAAAGGACCCAGGGTACTGGACAACAGGGTGGGGACTGACTGAGGGACGGTGAGAAAGGGGTTTGTGGGGTTGGGGAGGTGGGAGTAAGAAGGGCAGGGAAAAGCAATGGGGTAAAAATTGGGACAACTGTAATTGAACAACAATAAAAAATAAATAAAATTTTAAAAATAAAGCTTAAACGGAAAACTTAAAAAAAAAAAAAAAAGAATCCAGCTCTGGCTGGTGTGGCTCAGTGGATTGAGTACCGGCCTGCAAACCAAGGGGTCACTAGTTCAATTCTCAGTCAGGGCACATTCCTGGGTTGTGGGCCAGGTCCCCAGTAGGGGGCATGCGAGAGGCAACCATGAATTGATGTGTCTCTCCCTCTCTTTCTCCCTAACTTCTCCTCTCTCTAAAAATAAATAAAATTTTTAAAAGTCTCTATTTTTTAAAAAAATTCATACATCTACAGTGTTACCTCCTGAAAAGGGGATGGGAAAAGGGAGTGCGTAAATGGAGGGAAAGGAAGAACCCTTCATTCGGGTGAATGCCAAAAAGAAAAGAAGAAATGATAAGATAGCATCAATGTTTTCCCTTTGTAGTAACTGATTATATCATGTATCATCAAAAAATCATTAGAAGATAGAGGGAAAGCAGGCTATTCAGACTTTTATCTCTTAGATTAGTAATTAATCATAATGAGAAAAAGATACAATTGCAATGGAGAAATTTGTGTGCAGAATTTGAAAATGATCCCCCAAATTTTCCTGCCATCATACCTCAACTCTGAATATGATGAGATATTATGCCCTTGATTATAATGTTACCTATTTAGACAGAGGAGGCTCAGAATAGTATAGGAAATAGAGAATAGCTACAAACTGATTTACATATGTAACTAAGGTTACTAATCAGCTGAATTTGAGTCAATCAAAAAGGAAATTATCTGGCTGAACCCTTTCAAAGCAGAGTTTTCTCTGGCTAGTGTTAGAGCGGAAGTCAGAGAGATCTGATGTATAAAAAGGATTCAACATGTTGGTTACTGGTTTGAACATGGAAGGATATTGTGAGGTAGGATGTGAATGCCCCCAGAAACAGTGATGCCTGGTTAACATACAGTCAGGAAACAGGGACTTCAGTCCTATTGCCACAAGGATTTGGTCAACAGCCTGAGCGATTTAGAAACAGATCATTCCCCAGAGCCTCCAGATAAGAGCCTGCCTGGCCAACACTTGATTTTGGCCTTGTGAAAGCTTGAGCAGAGAACCCATTCAAGGCAACCCAGACTTCTGACCTATGGAACTATGATATAAGAAAGAGAACTGCTCTAGATTAAAGGAATGTAAACAGACACAATTACTAAATGCAATATACAATTGAGTCCTGGGCTTTAAACATTTTTTTGGTATACATGTTATTGTAATAAATAAAGAATTTTGAATATAGACCCTAAAATTGTTTTATTGAATCAGTGCTAAATTATGAATTGTGATAACTGGACTGTGATATCACTGGACAATGATCTTATCCTGGGAGATATCCATTCACATAATTCAGGATACAGAATTATGATGTCTCAAATGGTTTAACCAAAAAGAAAAAAGAAAAAGAAATATACACATATCCCATACATATACAGAGACAGAAAACAAACATGGCAAAATGTTAACAATTGGTGATTCTAATTGAAGTGTAAAGGGGTGCTCAATATATTAATTTATTCAATGTATTTTTCTGTAGGTTCGAAATTTTCAAAGAAACGTTAGAGGAGAAAATTTTTTTAATTTATTAAACTAAACAAAACTGAAACTTTTTAAAAATAGAAATGTGCTTAACTTTCTTATTCCTTTTTCCTGCTCCTTATAAGTACTTTTGTTCAAACTATGAATAGTTTCAGGTGTTTGTAATATTTAAGAATTTTTAACCCAGTGAAAACTGGAAGTAAATGAACAACTGAGGTAGAATTAGAATTCGACAGCCAAAGCAACTACCAATGTGTGATTAGAGATCTTTTATAGGCTCTAACTATTGAATTCATTCTTTAGAAATGAATGAGATATTAAACAAGCAGAGCATTAATGAAAGTTGTGTTACTTTAGAATCAAACCATATTAACACTTACCCTAGCAAGGCTCCAATTATGCCACCAGCTACCAGGCCATGGAGGCCTAAATTTATTCTAAAAAGACTTCCCGTGACAGCTATTTAAAAACAAACACAGAAAAACAGTAATATTAAGCCATCTTTAAGCACTAGAAGAATTCCACTTTTAAGTTTTCCTTCTATAAAAAGGGCATAAATATCTAAGAAAGCTTTCTGAGTCCAACTCTAATATACTTTCACAACCAACATCTCCTGAGTCTAAAACGTGAATACACCTAGCTTCTCTAGTCTGCTGGTTCAAAGGAAGAAATGTTCTTTTAATAAAACTAACTCCTCAATCTGTTCTATGGATCCAACCTCTTCTCATTCTATTTCTTTTTTAAGCACTTCCCCTTAAAAAAATTGGTTATTTCTTCACTTCCATTTCTTTCATTTTTTTTCTTCTTCAAGGAAAACTTTCCCCAAATAAACAACAAAAACATCTGCAGTGTTTGCCTTCCCCTTTTCTGTACTGCTACACTACACCTCTCAGGCAGGCCTGAAAGCAGGCAACATCTGGCTTACAATGCAATGTGGTGGCCGGCGCTCAGAGATTCTTTCCCACTGGAGTTGTATATGTGTATTGGTCATTCATTTGCCTCTTTTACTAAGTGCAACACAACTAATGTCACCTCAAGTGGTAACATCTTTAAAAAATAACATTTGAATTTTATATGTATTATTTAAGTACTATATATTCATTGTTTACATTTTCTAAAATTTTTAATTAACAAGAATAAATACCACCTTTAATTCCACTACCCAGAGGCAGTAAAAAATTTAATCTTTTTTTGCTAGTTTTCTTTCCCAAACGAAACATTTTTTAAAAAACCTATTAGGATAACCAAAATCTGGAATACTAACATCAAATGCTCGCGATGGTGTAGAATGACAGAAACTCTCGTTCATTTCTGGTGGAAATGCAAAATGGTGGTCACATTGGAAGACACTTTGGCAGTTTATTATAAAAACAAACATACTCTTACCATGTGATCCAGCAATCATATTCCTTAGTATTTACCAAAAGAGTTCAAAACTTATGTCCACACAAAAACCTGCACACACACATTTATAGAAGCTTTGTTCATTACTGTCAAAACTTGAAATCGACAAACATTTCCTTCACTAGGGGACTGGGTAAGTGAACTTGGTACATCTAGATGATGGAGTATTATTCAGCACTAAAAAGAAATGAGCTATGAACTCATAAAACAACACAGAGGAACCTTAAATGCATATTAAGTGAAAGAAGCCAATCTGAAAAAGCTACATACTGCTTGACTTGAACTGTATAACATTCTTAAAAAGGCTTAACTATGTGTATAACTATGGACTTAGTAAAGAGATCAGCGGTTGAAGGGGCAGGTTGGAGTCGGGGGAAGAATATGCAGCACAGATTTTTAGTGTAGTAAAAACACTCTTTATGATACCATGATAATAGATAGGTCATTATACATTTGTCCAAACCCATAGACTATATAACACCAGGAGTGAACCCTAAGGTAAACTATGGACTTCAGGTGATAATGACATGTCAAAATAGGTTCTTCAATTGTAACAAGCGTACAGCTCTGGGAAGGAAGGTCGATAATGGAAGATGTTATGTGAATGTGGAAGGGAAGAAAGTATGTAAGAAATCTTTGTATTTTCTGCCTAATTTTGCTGTGAATCTACAACTGCTCTAAAAAATAAAGTCAAGGGCTTAGAAGCTGTCTGCAGCCAAACACCAAAAATTGCAACTAAAATACAGAAGAGCATTCATTCAGAACCACCTGAAATCCAGCTGAATGGAAGTCTTACAACTAGGAAATTAAAGAAGCCACATCGAGACTTGTGGGGTGGGAGATGGAGACGCAAAATGGGCTAGTCCCACACCCAGGTGTGGCAGATAAAAATTGGGAGGGATATTTCAGCTGCAGAGGTCCCCCTCTTTGGGGCAAGGAGTCTCAGTTCCACACCAGGTTCCCTCAGCTCAGGAATAAGTGCCCCTAACTTCTGGCTGTAAAACCTAGTGGGGATTGAGGCCAAAGGAGTTGGAGGGCTTCTGGAGCCCCAGAAAGTTCCTCTTAAAGGGCCCACATATGGACTTACTCAAACTCATTTCCTTTGAGTTCCAGCCCTGGGGCAGCAGCTTGGAAGCCACCAAAGACATACAGGGAGGAACTAAACTAGGATGAGAGCTCAGGGAGGGAAGCAACTTTCTCTCAGACAGAAGTGCGGGCAGGGGCCATTGTTCCTTTTCTGAGCTCTACCCCCACTAGCTGGCAGGCAGGTGCCATATCTGAGCTTTTATCAACCTGGCTCACACTGTTGCCCTACCATGGTGATTCTCTGAGGCCCCACCCCACCCAAGTTGTCTCCAGTGGCTTTTCCATACCAATGGCCTGTCTTGGCTCATGCTTTCAGATTTTCTTAAAATCTCTCAAACAAGCAGTATCAGGAAATGAGCCCCACACCTTTTGTGAAGTGGCCCCAGGCCTGGCACTAGCAGCAGCTAGCCTTGGTGCACAGCTTGGCCTCACCTGGGCACCTCTAAGTGCAGCACAAGTAGCAGCCATCTGCAGATTGATTTGTAGTGAATGCCAGGTGGCCCTGGGCAGAACACAGAAGGCAGCTGACCTTGGCCTGCACCTCCTGGGAGGGCCCAGAGACAGTACACCTACCAGACAGCTTGAGACCACATTGAGGCACCAGCACCCAACCACCTCCACAGGCAGCACACTCAATGGGTGAACTCAGCAGGCACCAGAGCACTGCTGTAGTAATGTATTTTGCCATGTATAATGCATACCACATTTTTGGCCCAAACTTTCAGGGGAAAAAAATCTCTCGTCTTAATTTTTTAATTCAATTTTTTATTCATTTATATTTGGATACTTGTTTTTTGTATTATAAAGGAATTATAGTATTTATTTTTGAACATATTATGATAAAGAAATTTTATGGCACAAATAATTACAAAACACAAGAACAGATAAAAGGTATTTCAGGTACTACCCAGGTATAATGTGCATCATTATTTTTCCCTCAAAAATTTGGGCTAGAAGTGTGCATTTTACATGGCAAAATATAGTAAATCCTGCTCTGTGAGGTGGGACTCTGCACAGCTGATCCTCCATGGTGGTCAGAGGTCAGCGGTCATAGCCAATCCTTGCAGCTGATCAGTCTGGGAGTAAATCTCTCCCACTGATGTGCCAACAGCAATCCAGGATCAACTACAACAGGAACGTGTATACAGACAACATGGAGGGTGCACCTCAAGTGCCTGGCTGGGGTGATCAGAGAGGCTGTACACTGGATGCTACAGAACATCTACTACATTAGGCCACACTACCAATCCCAGGAGACTAAGGAACTCTAACTAGTACACAGAAACAAACACAGGGAGGCTGCCAAAATGAGTAGACAAATAAATATGTCCCAAATGAAAGAAAAGAACTCCAGAAAAAGAAGTAAATAAAATGGACACAAGCAATCTACTAGATGCAGAGTTCAAAACACTGATTATAAGGATGGTCAATGAACTTAGGGGAAGAGTAGATGAACTTAGTGAGAACTTCTACAAAGAGATAGGAAACATAAAAACAGAGATAGAAAACATAATGAACCTGTCAGGAAGGGATGATATATTAACTGAAATGAAAATACATTACAGGGAATCAACACTGGAGTAGATGAAGACAGGGATCAAATCAGAGATTTACAAAATAAGGAAGCAAAAAAACACTCCATCAGAACAGAAAAAAAAAAAAAGAATCCAAAAATATAAGGATAGTGTAAGCAGCCTCTGGGACAACTTCAAGCATACCCACATTCACAACAGCAGTGCCATAAGGAGAAAAGAGAGTACAACAAATTGAAATCCTATTTGAAAAAATGACATAAAACTTCCCTAACTTGGTGAAGGATATAGATATACAAGTAAAGGAAGCACAGAGTCAGTCACAAACAAGATGAACCCATGAGGCCCACACCAAGACACATCATAATTAAAATGCAAAAGGTTAAAGACAAAGAGAATACAATTAGTTACCTACAAGGAAGCTCCCATAAGACTGTCACCTGATTTCTCAACAGAAAATCTTGCAGGCCAGACGGGACTGGCAAGAAAGATATAAAGTGTTAGAAAACAAGGACCTACAACCAAAATTACACTACCCAGGGAAGATATCATTTAGAATCAAAGGACAGATAAATAGCTTCCCAGACAAGAAAAAGCTAAAGGAGTTGATCGCCACAAAACCACTACCATGTAAACTATTAAAAGGTCTTCTTTTAGAAGGAAGAAAAAAAAAATAAAAAATATAAACAATAAAATGGCAATAGGAATTCCAGCTAAGATGGAGGCATAGGTAGACATGCTTTGCTTCCTTTAACAACCAAAGAAGGACAACAACCAATTTAAAAACAAAAAAAAACCCTGAAATGCCAAAAAGTCGAACTGTATGGAAGTGTGACAACCACAGAGTTAAGGAAGAAACATTCATCCAGACTGGTAGGAGGGGTAGAGACAGGAAGATGGGTGGAGAGGATGCGCAGCAAGGTGGCAGCTGGAGGACTGGGTGGGTGAGGCAGCAGTTGGTGAACTGGGTGGTGCCACATCAGTGTGCGGTAAGCCAGGAAGAGCAACGGGGGAGCGAGATAGACCACGCAACCCAGATTCCAGTGCAGGAAACTAAAGTTTCAAAACCTCTTGCTGTAAAAATCTGTGGGGGTTGAGGTGGCAGGAGAAACTCCCAGCTTCACAGGAAAGTTTGTTGGAGAAACGTATGGGGTCCTAGAATGTACACATACCCACCCACCCAAGAATCAGCACTAGAAGGGCCAAATTTGCTTGTGGGTAATGGGGGAAGTGAATGCAAGCAAGCTGAGAGTTGAGCAAGTGCCATTGTCCCCTCTCTGACTCCTCCCCCACATGCAGCACCACCAACACAATGAGGCGGATTGCCCCACTCTGGCAAACACCTGAGGCTCCACCCCTTACAATGTAACGTGTGTGCCAAGACAAAAAAAATATGGCCCAAATGAAAGAACAGATCAAAACTCCAAAAAAAAGAACTAAGCGACGAGATAGCCAACCTATCAGATGCAGATTTCAAAACACTGGTAATCAGGATGCTCACAGAAATGGCTGAGTACAGCCGCAAAATAAAGGAAGACATGAAGGCCATGCAAAGTAAAATAAGGCAAAACATACAGGGAACCATAAGTGAAGGGAAGGAAACTGGGACTCAAAATCAACGATTTGGAACTGAAGGAAGAAATAAACATTGAACCAGAACAGAATGAAAAAACAAGTATTTAAAACATGAGGACTGGCTTAGGAACCTCTGGGACAACTTTAAACATTCCGAATCGTATGAGTGCCAGAAGGAGAAGAGGAAAAGCAAGAAATCGGACACTTATTTAAACAAATAATGAAGGAAAACTTTCCCAATCTGGCAAAGGAAATAGACTTCCAGGAAGTCCAGGAAGCTCACAGAGTCCCAAAGAAATTGGACCCAAGAAGGAACACACCAAGACACATCATAATTACATTACCCAAGATTAAAGATAAGGAGAGAATCTTAAAAGCATCAAGAGGAAAGGAGACAGTTACCTACAAAGGAGTGCCCATAAGACTATCAGCTGATTTCTCTGAAGAAACCTTGCAGGCAAGAAGGGGCTGGAAAGGAGTATTCCAAGTCATGAAAGGCAAGGACCTACATCCAAGGTTACTCTATGAAGCAAAGCGATCATTTAGAGTGGAAGGGCAGGAAAAGGGCTTCCCAGATAAGGTAAAGTTAAAGGACTTCATCACCACCAAGCCCTTATTACATGAAATGTTAAAGGGACTTATCTAAGAAAAAGATCAAAACTATGAAGAGTAAAATGACAACAAACTCACAACTATCGACAACTGAATTTGAAAAACAAAAACAAAAACAAACTAAGCAAACAACTAGAACAGGAACAGAATCACAGAAATGGAGATCACACGGAGGGTTACCAGCAGGAAAGGGGTGGGAGGAATGGGGGAAAGCGTACAGTGAGTAGGAAGCATAGTTGGTAGGCACAAAATAGACAGGGGAGGCTTAGAATAGTATAGGAAATAGAGAAGCCAAAGAACTTATATGAATGAACCATGGACATGAACTAAGCAGAGGCATGCTGTTGGGAGGGGCTGCGCAGGGTGGAGGTGGATAAAGGGGAGAAAAAAATGGGACAACTGTAATAGCATAATCAATAAAATATATTTTAAAATGGCAATACATATCTATGAAAACAAAATAAACAAACAAGCAGAACAAAACACACTCACAGATACAGAGAACATTTTGATTGTTGCCAGGTAGGTGAGGCATTGGGGGAGGTGGGTGAAAGGTGAAAGGATTAAGAAGTACAAATTGGTTGTTAAAGAACAGCCATGGGGATGTAAAGTAGAGCATAGGGAATATAATCAATAATATTCTAATAACTATATACATTTTCAGATGGGTGCAAGACTTATCAGGATGATCCCTTAGTTAAGTCATACAATGTCTAATCACTGGGGTGCACATTTGAAACATAATAATAATGTATGTCAACTAAAATTGAAAAATTAAAGAATGATTTAAAAAATAGCCAGACTCAGCCCTGACCAGTGTGGCTCAGTTGGTTGGGCATCATCTCACAAAGTGAAAGGTCACGGATTCAATTCCTGGGCAGGGCACATGCCTGGACTGCAGATTCAGTTCCTGGTGAGTCTGCATGTGAGAGGCAACCAATCAATATTTCAATTTCACATCAATGTGCCTCTCTCCATCTCTCCCTCCCGTCCCAGAAAGAAAGGGTGGGGAGGGAGGGAGGGAGGAAGGAAGAAAGGATACTTTAAAAATTTTTAAAAAAAGAGTGCTAGTGACCAGAGGGCAGCAGTGGCAGCAACAGTGAGTGGTTCTGTGTGGCCTAGAAAAATCCTGCAAAAATGTCTCTATACCCATCTCTTGAGGACCTGAAAGTAGACAAAGTAATTCAGGCTCAGAGTACCTTTTCTGCAAACCCTGCCAACCCAGAAATTTTGTCTGAAGTGTCTGCTCCCATCTCTCAAGATGGAAATCTCTATCCTAAATTGTATCTGGAGCTTTTTCAGTACATGGACCTAAGTTTGAATGAAGAAGAAATACATGCAAATATGGGCATGGTCCCTGGAGTACCAACTCAGGGGCAGTTGGTAGCAAGACCTTCTAGTATGAACTATATGGTGGCTCCTGTAACTGGTAATGATGTTGGAATTCATAGAGCAGAAATTAAGCAAGGGATTCGCGAAGTCATTTTGTGTAAGGATCAAGATGGAAAAATTGGGCTGAGGCTTAAATCAGTAGATAATGGTATATTTGTTCAGCTAGTTCAGGTATTCTCCAGCCTCATTGGTTGGTCTGAGATTTGGGGACCAAGTACTCCAGATCAACGGGGAAAACTGTGCAGGCTGGAGCTCTGATAAAGCGTACAAGGTGCTCAAACAGGCTTTTGGAGAGATCACTATGACTATTCATGACAGACCCTTTGAACGCACAATTACTATGCATAAGGATAGTACGGGACACGTTGGTTTTATATTTAAAAATGGAAAAATAACATCCATAGTAAAAGACAGTTCTGCAGCCAGAAATGGTCTTCTCACAGAACATAACATCTGTGAAATTAATGGACAGAGTATCATTGGATTGAAGGATTCTCAAATTGCAGACATATTGTCAACCTCTGGGACTGTAGTAACTATTATAATTATGTCTGCTTTTATCTTTGAACGTATTATTAAACGGATGGCACCAAGCATTATGAAAAGTCTGATGGTCCACACCATTCCTGAGATTTAGAAGTCATGTCACAACAGAAACTTCACTGAACTTTTCCAGTTTACTTCCTTGGCAACTTAACTTTGTATTCTGCACTTGAAGCTTTCTAGGAGCCAGAGAGTATATGCTGCATAATGCCCTTTCTATCTGACATGGCTGGGAACCTTAACTGTTTGATCTGATACCTTGTTCGGACTTCGGAATAGCTGTAGCCTTATTCTGGTTTTATGGATGTGTAACTTTGGAAAGATTTACTGATTTTCATAGATTAGTATCTCTACTGGAAACCTGATGCTTTTATAAGCCATGATGATTAGAATGACTGATGCAGGCTTCAGCTTTGTGTTAGAACCAGTCAACTTTATTCTAGAGATCAAGTAGTGCTGTTCATACTACTTTAGTTCTACGGTATCTTTGGATTTTTACTGTTATGGTAGTACACTTAGAATGATTACTTTTGATAGTTTTTTTATTTTGTGGTTCTGTGCATGTGTGGGTGTAGTGTGTGTCTTTAAAACACCAATTAAATAACACTGGTTTCATTCCATGTAAGCATTATACAGTGTATGTAGGTTGCAAAAGATAGTATTATCATTAAATTTTTAACTACCTTCACTTAATATGTTTGAACTGTCGCCTTACCTATGTTAGGCATCTAGAATAAAAGCCAAAATAATAACTATTGCTGCCTTTCTAAAACCCAAAATGCAGTTCTATATTAAACTGAAATGTACACTAGCCCAGAACAAATTAGTGGCATATACTGAGCTATATATAGCAAAACTGCTTGCTTAGTTGCATTTGAGATTTTGTAGTTATTGTGTAATGGAAACTTCTCAAAGTTACTAATATCATTTTCTGAGAAATGAATCACTATATATTTAATGTAAAAACTCTTATACTACGTAGAATAAACTTTTGACTTATTTTTTATTGTAGATTAAGTAGGACGGTGCCTAATTTTGACATTTTACTCTAAACATTATGTAACCTATCTTCTTTGGGATGGTCTTACAATGTTGTCCTGGTAATCTGTTCTATCTCCTGACTTCTCCCTGCAAACAAAATTGCATTGACACTTTATTCTGATTTTTTTCTTCTTTTTCGGCCTATTCCAATTAAATATGTATAAATAAACTTAAACTTTAATCAGAAAAAAAATTTTTTTTAAAAGCCCGAGTCTTTATATAGAATCACGTTTTTGGTGAATAAAGATAGTTTCTTTCTTTTTCACTCCAGCAGTTTTTTATCTTTCTGTTGCCTGAATGCACTGGCTAAAGTCTCCAGTACAATACCAAATACAAGTGCATTCATTTCAAGCATACACTTCAATACAAGTGTATAAATCTTTGCCTTGGTCTCAATCTTAGAGGAAAATCAGTCTTTCACCATTAAATATTACATTAGCTGTAGATTTTTCATAGATAATCTATATCAGGTTAAGAAAGTTCCCTTTTATTCCTAGTTGAGAATTTTTATCATGAATGTTGAATTTTTGTCAAATGCTTTTTCTATTATACTAAACCTGAATTCCTTGGTTAAATTCTCCTTGGTCATGATGTATAATCCTTGTTTGTTGCTGAATTTTGTCCACTAATATTTTTAAAGGATTTTTGCATATATATTATGAGATAGTGATGTAGAGTTTCTTTGCTAATTTCATCCGGCTTTGGTATCAATATAATAGTAGTCTAATAGAATAGAATGAGTTGGGAAGTGTTCCCTCTTCCTCTATTTTTCTGGAAGAGTTTGTTAAACAAACTTGTTAAAACAGGGAAGCCATTTGGCCTTGGGATTTTCTTTGTGAAAAGATTTTTAAATTAATTATTTATTAATTCGTTATAGGGCCGTTCAGGGTTTTTTATTTCTTCTGAGTAAATTTGGTAATTTTTTGTTTTTTCCCCCTTTGTTGGCTTTGCTAAAGAACAGTCTGATCTTTTCAAAAAACCAACATTTGATTTCATTGATTTTCTCTATTGTTTTTCTTTCAATTTCATTGAATTTTGTTCTATTTCTATTATGTCGTTCTGCTTACTTTAGGTTTATTTTGCTTTTCTTATCTTAGTTTTCAAAGGTAAATAACAGATTATTCATTTGCAGTCTTTTTTCTTGTAAAATACAGGTATTTATAGCTCTAAATTTCCCTCTTAGTACTATTTTGGGTACATCTCATAAATTTCTATATAACGTACTTTCATTTTCATTCAACTCAAAATATCTCTAATTTACTTTGTGATTCCTCTTTGGTTTATGAGTTATTTATAACTGTGTGGTTTAACTGCCAAATATTTGTTGATTTTCCCAATTTTTGTTGTCTAATTCCGTGTGATTTTAATCCTATTAAACTTATTGAGACTTGTTCTGTGGTCTTGCATATGGTTTAACCTGGAGAATGTCCCATGTGCCCTTGAGAAGAATGTACATTCTGCTGTTGGGTGGACTGCTACAGAGATGTTAGGTTACACAGGTGAATAGTGTTGTTTAAATGTATATCTCTGTTGGTTTTCCCTCTATTTGCTCTATCCATTATTAAATGTGGGGGTATTAAAGTCTTCAACTTCTATTATTGAGTTGTCTGTTTCTCCTTTCAATGCAAAGTTCTTGCTTCATGTATTTAAAATTCACATATTTTGGAGCTCTGCTGTTAAATGCATACATATTTATAAATGTTATATCTTCGTGATGGATTGGCCCTTTTGACATTATAAAATGTTCTTCCATTTCTAGTATTCTTTCTTAAAGTATATTTTTTCTGATATTAGCATAGTCACTCCAGCTTTTTCACAATATCCTTTTCCATCTTTCTTCTTTCAACTTATTTGTTTCTTTGAGCCTGAACTATGTTTCTTGTAAAATGCATATTAGTTGGATTTTTAAAAATACAGCTGGACAATCTCTGGTTATTGATGAAAGTGTTTAATCCATTTATATTTAATGTTACTATTGATATGTTTGGATTTAGGCCTGCCATTTGCTATTTGTTTTTTTATATATCTTAATTCATTTTTGGCCTTGTGACTACTTTTAAAAGTTACTTTCTTATTACTTGCTTTAGGGATTATACAATTCATCTCAATTTATCACAATTACTTCAGATCAGAAATAATTTAATTCAAGTAAAATTGTTCCAATATAGTTCCACTTCTTTCCCATCTTTGTGATGGCCCTGGATAGTGTGGCTCAGTGGACTGTGTGCCCGCTTGCAAAACCAAGGGTTGCCATTTCAATTAGGGCACATACCTGGGTTGTGGACCAGGTCCCTGAATATCAGCAACTGACTGGTATTATCTCTCACACACTGATATTTCTCTTTCTCCCTCCCTTCCCCTCTCTCAAAAAATAAATAAAATCTTTAAAAAAGAAACCTTGTTAAAAAAATATATATATTTTAAAAATAAGTCAATGTTATTATTATTATTTTATACAACCATATGCATTTTTTAAGTTGAGGGGAAAAAACAATTAAGAGACTAGATTTACAAAGTCTTTTATATTAATCTACATAATCACCGTATCTAATACTTTTCATTTCTTCCTGTAGCATTAAGTTACTATTTCCATCTTCCAATAAATCATTTCTCCCCTCTTTTATGCTACTAATGTCTTATTCTTATAGATATTAATGTCTATATCTTTTGTTCTATTAAAGATATATATCTTTAAATGTTATATGCCCACTTCACATTTATTGTTTTATTAACTTTTTTTAGATCAGAGAATTAATGTTTATGCTGCCTTTAATAACTACTTAATTATCTCTATTAATGTTTTTAATTCTTCATGTAGATCCCAGTTATTATCTATTATCACTTCCTTTCAGATTGAATAAGTTCCTTTAGTATTTATGTAAGGTAGGTCTGCTATCAACAAATTCTGTTTATCTGACAATGCCCTCATTTTTGCCTTTAATTTTATAGGACTGTTTGCTAGATATAGAATTCTTATAAATATCTATAAGATACAGACATCTTATTATTTTCAGCACTTTGTCATTCTACTGCCTCTGGCTTCACCATTCTCATGTGAAGTCAGCTGTTAATCTTATTGGGTGTCCCCTGTATGAGTTATTCTCTTTTTTCTTGCTGTTTTCAAGATTTTCTCTTTTCCTTCCAATTATTTAACTATTATGTGTCTAGATGTGAATGTATTCAGGTTTATTCTTCTTGGAGTTTGTTGAGCTTCTTGGATAGATAGATCCATGTTTTTATCAAATTTTGGAAGTTTGTGGCCATAACTTCTTAATACTTTTTGTGCCTTTCTTTCTTCTCCATCTGGTATTCCTATCACATATATGTCGGTATTTTTTTATGTTGTCTTATAGGTTTCTTAGGCTCCGTCATTTTCTCTTCATTTTTTAAAATGCTGCCCTTTTCAAAAAGCAATCCATATTAACCTATCTTAAAGTTCACTGATTCTCTAATGCTATCTCAAATCTGCTGTTGAGCTACTCCTCTCCAGCAAAATTTTAATTTCTATTATTGTGTTTATCAATTCCAGAATACTCACTTTGTAATAATTTCTATCTAACTGATCGTCTCTGTTTGATGAATCATTGCCACCATACTTTTAATTCTTTAAAAACGGCTTGAAGTCTTTTGTCTGCTATGTCAAACAGATAGTCCCTGTCAGACATATTTCCAATGATTCTTTTGTCTATCCCATTTTTGCACATCTTGTGACTTTGCTGTTGTTGAAAACTGGGTGTTTTGGGTAATAAATTATAGCAACTCTGGATTTGGAATATCTCCTTACCAATGGGCATGGCCATGATTTTTTGTTTACAGGATGACTTGCGTGGACCAATTCGTCTTTTTTTTTTCTCGAATACAGTCAGTGATGTGTCTAACTCAGGTTTTATTTTTATGTCTAGCTTCCTAGGAATCATACCAGCTAGCAGTCCACTAATGATTTGTCAGAGTTACGCTTAAACATCTGAAGCCAGTAAGAAGTCTATCTTTTGTCAATGGATCTGTCTGTGGCTTGAAGAATGTATTCAAAGTTCATGCAATTTATAAATCTTTTCAGACTTATACTTTGTGTTCACAAGGCCTCACAATTAACCAAAAGTAAGTAGCTTGCTCTCACCGGTGTCCCCTGAGTATGCATGGGTTACTTACACATGTGCAGAACTCTCCAGAGTTCTATGGATTAGCAGAATCTTATTATAGCCCTGTTTAGCTGTCTTGTTCTGTGTTAAAATTCTGCTTCATCTGCCAGTCTAGGGCTTGCCCCAAAGAGTATCAAATCCTCAAGTTAGCTGTGTGATACTGTCTTTCCATGTTTACAACTGTTTTTAGCAACACCTGTAGGCATGGAATTTTCTATACCATGTTCAAATAAGGTCATCTATCTCAAGCAGCAGAATTTTGGTCCTCCCAGCCTGCCCTTCTCTTAAAGAACTTCAACATGGGGCTTGGAGTTAGGAGGTGGGAGCAACCTTAGTTAGGCTAAAACACTACTGACTTCCATTGTTTTTAGAAATTCTTAAATAATTGTTTCTCAATTTGTTGTGTGCCCTTGGTCAATTCACTCTCAGTGTCAAATATACTTTTATTATAAATGTCCAGGCCAATACCAAATAATAATGATGAGGGAAGACATCCTGGACCTGATTCTGACTTCAAAGATACACCTCTAGTATTATATCACTAAGTTCAATGTTGGTCACTGGTTTGAAACAAAAATATATATTACACCAGGTATATTTTTCTGTACTTATTTTAGTAGTATTTATTCAATCAAGAGACATTTGTTTTATCCGCGATATGTCAAACAATTGTTATATAAAAGGAAATTATTTTCTCTGAATTCAAGTAGGTCATCTAGTAGAGAAACAAAACAAATAAACAACTACAATATACTGCTTTGATTAAATGATTTATAGAGAATTGTGAGAACACACGGGAAAGACACCTAAACAAACCTAAAGATAGGATAGAGTTTGGAGCTAGGGAGGACCTTCTAGGGAAGCTGAAGTTGACAGAAAAGGTGGACCTGAAAGATACATTAAGTAGAAGCTGAAGAAAATTAGTTGTGGGAGTGAGAAGGGGGGTTCAAGAAGAGGGACCAACACATGTAAAGCATGAATATGCTGGGTTTGGGAAATCCAAGTGGATTCATAACACTAGAGCAGGAGTGGTACATGGGGCCAGATCAATAATCAACACTGCAGTAATAAAAAAACTGTGGGAGAATATCAAGCAAAGAAGTATTATAATCATATTCATACTTCAAAACAAAGACAACAGAGGAGGTGGAATGAACCAAGAGTAGAAACAGGGGAGACCTGTTAATAGCAGTAAGAATAAAAAGAAGATGAGAGAAGTCCATGTATATTTAAAGAATATAAATGGTAGGACTAGGAGTTTGGTAAAAGGGAAATAAAGGGAAGAATTACATCATTACTTCGCTTCCAGTTTTGGAATTTAACAGGGTAGACAACAAAGAACAGTACAGCAGGACCAAGTATGAAAGTTGAGTGGAGAAAGACAAGTATTTGGTTTGGATATAAGCATTTGAGCTTATAGAACATGTAAAAATGTTCACGACTTCAAAAAGAGCAAGTTCTAGCTGCTCCAATGATATTAATGTCATTTTCTTTCTTCTTCATCTGGTATTCCTATCACATATATGTCAGTATTTTTTTATGTTGTCTTATAGATTTCTTAGGCTCCGTCATTTTCTCATTTTTTAAAATGCTGCCCTTTTCAAAAAGCAATTCATATTGATCTATCTTAAAGTTCATATTTAAAAATTTTTTCATTAGACTATTAAGTTCAAATTATGTTTATGTGTGTTTGTGCATGTATATGTATACATATAAAAAGAGAGAAAGCACCCAAAATAGAGCACAAGTGATAGAGCTAATGGGCTAAAATATTAATAGCTGCATCTCTGTATTAAAAGGTACTGATGATGGTGTTCCTCCTATCACTTTTATACTTTTATTTTTGCAACTTTCTATAACTTTGAAATTATTTCCAAAAAAAAGTTTTTAAAAACTGTTACGTGCAGTATATGTGAGTTTTTGTATGTGAGAGAATATACGTAAGTTAATGTTTGAGTGTATTCGTCTACATTTCCAAAAATAACACTTTAATACAGTAAGCCCTCCCTATCTACATGGTCCACATCAGTGGATTCAACCAACTGCAGATTTAAAATATATGGAAAAATAATCCCAGGAAATTCCCAAAAGCAACACTTGAGTTTGCCATACCTCAAGGACTATGCTGAATCTAAATGAAGGAAGGGATATGTAGTCATAACCTGCTGTAGCCAATATACAAACGCTATGCCACTTTATACAAGGGACTTGAGCATTTGTGGATTTTTGGTATCCATGGGAGGCGGTAGGACTTGAAGGGTGTGATGTCTTGGAACCAATCCCTCATGGATACCAAGGGACAGCTGTACTTTCTTTTTTTTAATGTTCACTTTAAATATCTACCAGACGTGGAGAGCTTTAAAATAAAATCCAAACTCTTATCATGAAAAACCTGGCCCCTTTCTACTTTACCTCACCAATTTTATCTCAAGCCACTCTTACCCTCATTCACTATGTTCAAGTCATGTTATCCTGCCTTTGAGGAACTTTCTTGCCTAGCAGCCTTCCCCTTTGATGTTCCCTCTGCCTAGGCTACTCTTCTTTGCAAGGCATCAAATGTCACTTTCTCAGACAGGCCTTCTCTGATCATCCTGTATACAACAGATCCCACTGCCCTGCCTTTTTGGTATATTCTATCATAACAAACTGTTTTTTCCCATCCACATTAGACTGTAACACTCCATGAAAGCAAAGATCTTTTCTGTTTTGTTTACCAAGCATACCAAGGACCAAGCATAATAGTTTCCATACATTTTGCAGGAATGTTGAATAAGTCAACCAAGGAATTCAGTAGCTATGACTTATACATCCTTACATATTTCCCAAATCATATTTGAGATAGAAAAACATAAATAAGAACAAAAATGTCTTACCTCCTGCAATGACAAAATGGCTTAGTGCATTTTTATCTCGGTACACATTTAAACCAGTGTTCACTATGCTGGCAAGGGAGGGAGAGAAAAACATAAAATTTGAATCACATCCCATTTACCTTCTTGACCATAACTTTCACTAAAGAGATACATATTAGTTTAGAAGAGCCTATTATGTCAATCCCTGGTCCCAGTCTATGTCCACAAATGTGTTTCACAAGCTAGTATGCCCATGGGTATCTAGGTGAACCTTCTGCTGAAGAATGAACAAAAGAACAATCAAATTCCTGGAATAAATATTCATAAATTTATGTTTCTTAAAAATAGAAACATAAAGAATTTTGCCGAATTCCTTTCCTTAAAAATCTTGTATCTATTTTGATACTAGTTGGTAGACCTCCATTCATGAATGCGAAAACTACCACTGAACCAATCTTTTACATAGATAGGTAACAGTTCTTAAGAAAAAGGTATTATGAATCCCTTTCATGTGGATGTTCACTTTTCATAATCCCACTTGCTCAAAAGATGTGCTGATAAAAGAATACCAAGACCCTCTTTCACAATTTAGAAAGAACTTACTTGAATATAGTCACAAACACTGTTGTTCTCCAACTCCAGCGCCAGCCATACCGGATGAAGCCTCGTGTGGCAGCACGATGTGCAGATTGCTAAAGTTAATAAAAAAGGCTGTGAGGTTCCAAGACACCTTAAACTTTCCTTATTCTAAATCTGTGGTGGAGGGATGTCAGCTATGGATTAGGCAGGGACACCAAAACAAATAGACAATAAAAAAATCTCTAGAAATATCATTCCTTAAACACTGAAGCTTAAGTAGAAGTCCCATGTGCATCCTATTCTTACAGGAGATAGAAAAGAAACTAAGGATTGCCAATGTCAACCAAGTAATCCATCAATTAAGTATCCTTGATATGACAAATACCATGCCAGCTATAAAATCAGTATTAGACATGATGCTTTTTTTTCCGCCCAAGAAATCTTGGGGAAAAGAAAAACATATAAAGAACTAAGTAAACTGTAAACTCCAGGGTAAGGATTAAAGTAACACAGATGTGTAGGAAGGGAGCAGAGGAAGAAAAAAAAGTATTTACTGACCACATTCTAGGTAAAAGATGTATTAACATTTTACCCCATTTAATCTTTACATTTTCCTCTGGCAGGTGTTTTAGCTTTAACTAAAGCATTGAGAGGAAGTTTCTAACCAAAATCACTCAGCCAATAAGGAATAAAGTCAGAAATGGAAGGTAGGTTGTCTGTCTCCACAGCCCATTTTCAGTAGACTATCATAAAAGCAGTCCTGGTATAATATGGTGGGGATAAATTCTGGGTTTTTAAAGAATCTGAGAGAATCCCTAACTGGATTCTAAACTGCTAAATAATACTGAGCAAGTGAAAACCACTCTGAAAGGTATCAGTATGAACTCATGGCTTTTAATAAGTAGGTAGAGATACAAATAGACACCGATGTATGTAGAAATATGTACACGAATATAAATCATGCACACGTGCACACACACTTCCTATCTGCCTAGGGCCTAGAAGCCATGATACCCCAGTAGCAATGACTATACCTAGCACCAGATATTGGTTTTTAAATACCATTTTCCACTAAAAGAAACTGAAGTTCCTTGGTGAAATGGTCCATTCTAACTTGAAAAGTAAAGGATGAGCCAGGAATACCTTGCTGTGTCAAAAAGTAAAGGCATACTCAAAAAATGATGAGGAAGTATCAAAAGAGGCTAGCTTGAAGGGGGGCTCCAACTGTCCACATCTAGGCCAATTGGAGTATCAAAATAAATGATGATAATAATGGATTTATAAACATACAGAATAAAATAAAAAACCATGACTCTACGCTGAATAAATTAAATAGATAAATAAACAGACGGGAAGTGAAAGCTCTTTCTGAAAGCAGAATACTACTAACCAATAAATGCAGATGGATGATAGGATTAGAAAATGGCCATTTGGCAACTACCACAGTGGTAACTGTTTTCACACAAGAATCATTATTGAATGCTAAAACTAGAGGGTAGACATTTGATGAAAAATAGGATATTTGTATAGTCTCAAAGTATCTAATAAATATTCATAAGGTAACATTAGGGCAGCAATTTTCAATTTTTTCATTTCATGGTACATATAAAATAAAACTAAAATCCTGTGGCACACCAAGAAATATATTTTTTGCCAATCTGACAAAAAAAAAATAGGTATAATTTTGATTTGTTCATACTGGATGGCCATTGCTGTATTGGCCGTTGTCATTTTTTAATTTGAAAATTTAAGAGGAAAGAGGTCAATACCCCTGACTAGTCAGGTATTGTATGCTTTAAAAATTCTGGCAGCACATCAGTGTGCTGTGGCACACCCTGAAAATTTCTGACACAGGGAAAAATAGTAACTTAATGGTGGAAAAAACTTGCAGTGACCATCTTAAACAAGTGACTAAAGTAAACATCACGAGTATAGCAAAAAATAGGTATCATGGACTTCTGATATAACATATCAGAGAAGGATACAACATCATTTCCAGGGTATTCCTGCTAAAACAAATAATCAGAATCTAATCATACTTTTAAAAATCAAAATCCAAATTAAGGGAAAATCTACAAAATAAATGGCCCATAATCTTCAAGTGTCAGGGTCAATAAGTCACAGACAGACAGGGAAACTGGATTAAAGGGGACTAGAGAGACATGACAAATTCAACATCTGATACAGTATTAAATCCTGGACCAGAAAAATTTTTTCTAGTTACTTTTCAAATAGATTATATTAGTGGGAAAACTAGCACAATTTACATAAAGTCTGTACGCAGTATATACTCTATCAGTGTAATTTCATGATCTGCACAATTATATAGGAAAATGTCCCTCTTTTCAAGAAACAATGCTGAAGTATTCATCATGTCTATAACTTACTCTCAAGCAGTACACACAAAAAAATAAAAATATTATACAAAGAAAAAGTGATAAAGCAAATGTGGTAAAATGTTAACATTTGGATAATCTGGGTGAAAGGTATATAGGAATTATTTGTACTTTTGAAACTTTTAAGTATGACATAATTTTAAAATAAAAAACAAAAACTCTCTGAGCTGTAACTTACAACAGAACTGATGCACAGACCTAACAAGAGTTAGCACTCTATAAACTCTAAAGTGATGTTATTGTTTTAGTGTGAGCTAGAGTACTCCATGGTGGCTTTGTGAAGAGGATAAATATGCCACAGTTGAGTCTTGATATTTTAGCAAATTAGAAATATTTTTCAGAAGAGGGAACTATAGGGGTAATCTCTTCCAAAAATAAGTGGTCTGACAGGCCATGTATACAGTTTAGCATTAGTACTTCCATTGTTATTAAGGATAGACTTTCTCTTGACATCCTAAGCCCTCCTGACCTACCACCTGAGTGATTAAGTGTAAAGTTAATTGCTAAATTGATATGCCCTTAAATGTTTTTAGAACACCAGTACCTACCACAGCATCAAGCCGGTTATGATAAATTTCTGCTTGGTTCTGCTCAATGTAGCGCTGTTTGGCATGAATAAAAGCTGGTATTCCCCCATATGCCCATCCAACGATACCTGCTGAAACTGCTGCCCTATAAATATTCTCAAGTTCTTTTGACGTTCTCTGCTGTTCACTAAAACATCAAAAACACAGTGTGGTTTGGGATTAGTATATGTATACTGCTCTCCAAAAAACAGTATGATAAGAATTACCCCAAATGCTAATACAACCACATTTTTCACTACAGGCTGAACCAATTAAATCCTCTGATGAATTAAATAATGTAGTTATAAGTAACTCAAATTTCAGACCAAACTAATCTATGTTGTTAAAAATCAGGCTAATGGTTGGTTACTCTTGGGAAAGCACACAAGGGGAACTTCAGGGATGCTGGTAACACTCTCTTGCTATTGGGTTTATGAAAACCCATTGTTCAGTACGCTTATATATTTTTCTAGATGCATGTTATATCTCAATAGAAAGGTTTTTTGTTTTTTTAGTTGCTTTCATTTAATGACTCTACTATAGCCTCTGGAAATAGAAATTGAATTGGGTGTAGAGATCAATTATTTTCCTTTTTGAATTTTAAGCCAACTTTTGGAAATTACACACTTATGGAATTTTAGTGCAATGTACACAAGAATGAAATCTCAGCTATAAAAAAATGAAAATCCTATCTTTGTGAATATTCCAGCTGTTATGTCATGCTCAGATGGGCATAGAATGAGAAAACTTGTGATGTAGTGGACAGCACAGACCAACCTAAATAACAAAAAAAAATGTTTTAATTCAACTTACTACTCTCAACAGCATAAACTAGAATTGCTAAGATGTCCTCCAGATGCCTATCCAAGATGTTCTCCAGAAACTGCTCTAACGAATAGCTATATTTGTTAAGTATTGAGTTACTATAAATATTGACTCTGCCAGGTAAATAAACTATTAAATGTTAATTATTTACATTACTAACTTGCTTCTTCAGTGACTATACCAGTGTTTATCTAATTGCCAATATCCACATTTCTGAAATCAGAATCAGTGTCTTTAGTTTCTGCATCTATGAGAGAAATCTAAATCTCTTAGAAAACTGTAATTCTTATACTAGGTCATTAAGAAAAACTATAATTTGAACTTCATATTTTATCTTTTATCGTGAATAAGATCAAAAACAACACTTACATAAAAAGTGGCCTACTCTGCTCTAAAACTAGAATTCAGAAAAGAAAAAAATGTAAAACAGCTTAAGATTTAACAAGATGCATATGCTTTTTATCTTTTTCAGCTTCTGAAAAATTCCATGATATAGGTGGTATTTATCTACATTTTACTGATACGGAAATAGAGGCACTAAGAAATTTTATGGTTGGCCCAAACTAATGAATAGTGGTGAAGAAACAGGGTACAGTGGTTGAAAGTGCCTAGACTCCAGGTAACAACAATGGGGCTGTGGTTCTGGTTCTGGCTCTGTCACCCACTGTGAAGTGACCTGCAGCCAGATCACAATCTCTGTGAACCTTGCTTTTCTCATTTATGATGGGAGCCTGGAAGTTATACTAGATTATCTTTCACGTTTCTTTCAGTCCCAACATTCTCTGGTTTATAAAGCTTATCAAAATAACCCTCTCCTGTTACATACTACATAGGATCTTCCGCAAGAAATCTCAACTAAATATTGGAAGGACGAATGGAAAAGGCTACCTCATCTTTAAAATAAAGATGATAAACTTTTTAATATAATTCTGCCAACTCCCTTGCCCCAACTATATGCCCCTCAGCAACATAATAAAATTTCAAAGTTAATGCACCACTTTGTATAACATAGTATGGTAAACTACTTCATGAAAGAGCAAACTTTTCACCAGTAATTGATAGATAAAATGAATCAAAGAACAAATAAAATATCCTGAGTTTTTCATTAAATTCAAAGGATTATCTTTTATTCTGAAATATCCTCATTTGTTAACCCAGTTAATATCTTTTATAAAATGATGAGACAACAGGAGCTATTTTTACAGGTTCCTTATTGGCAGAATAAAAGTTTTACAACCCTCTGCCCATCTCTCCAACTTCCACTTTTTGGAGGGTAGGGAGGCTACTGGTCATTAAGTTTGGGATCAAGTGAAATCCGAAAAGGAATACTGGAGTGGGAGCTTGCAAATGTGGGTTCCAGAGTCAATTCTGACACTAATCAGTCAGTGCAATTCTTCTAATCTGCAAAATCAGCGTATTGAACTAAGACTATATGCCCTAAATATCCCTAAACGCTCTCATTCATGAGTCTCACCCTTAGCATTTGAAACCCGTCCTGTCATCAACACAACTATCAAATGAAATGAGAGGTTGCAAGGTTGGGATACAAATACTAGAAGCCCAAATCCCATTTAAAAATAAACCAAAACGTTCTGTGGTCCTTTGCCTCAGGATGACCCAGGTTTCAGGGCACTTCCTTCGCAGCTCCTCCCCACAGGCCCTAAGCACTTTTACTCTTTGACAAACAGCTCCCGGAGGCGGTCCCATCCAGACTCCAGGTAACGGGGTTCCGAGACGCAGGGAAGCAGATTCTGGTCCTCCGTAAGGACCTCCGATTCGGCAGCCACAGATTCCGCAGCAAAGACCCGGGGGAAAGGACCCAGCGCCCCGTAGAGGAAGCTCCGTGGCGCCGGAGGTCGCACCTCCATTGCCCTCTCTGAACCTGCGGACAGACACAAGCTTGGGTTGTCGGGGCTGCAAGGCCTCTCGGAGAGGCGCTAGGAGAACTGCAACAATTAGTAAGTGAATACCCATGCACTAGGTACGAATTTATCTACCACCAAAAGTCTTGACACTCCAGCTCTCTACACTCTGTCTCACTATGGTGGTTCTTGGACACAGGAGACAGGAAGTCCTGCCCCCACCAGGGCAAAGGCCAAGGGGCGGGGCGACGGCGAAGACGGAACCGAAAATGCGTCCGGTTGGAGGCGGGACGGGCGAGTGAGGTAGCAGCGAATAGCCGCGCTTGGCGCGGTTTGGCTTCTCCTCAGGTCCCGCCTCCGTGGGTTTCCAGGGCCACATTCCATGCCGCGCATGTGGCCTCAGGCTGAGGTAATGTAGAGTATTTAAAACGCCAGAAATCCCACAGAGATGAATGAGACAGTGCGATATTCAAGACACGTGGAACATGAAGAGTAGTTTTGTTCAAAGAAAAGCCCAACCCACTGTATCACCCAGGTAGAAGCTCTGGCTGGGCACGAGGGCACGAGGACCCTCCCGGGCTGAGTCCATTCATACTCGTTCAAGTTTGGGTTTCCAGAAAGAACCGAGGCATTGAAGATGGGTCTTGGTGATAGGTACGCTGAGATTTACAGAACACTGTTTTGAATAATCAGTTTTGGGCAGTTTCTCACAGAATGGATTTAACCTCTTCTACTCCCTCCCGCGCCCAATTCCTGTTGTTTCTCAAAAGGCCCAAAGGACAGTTTCTGGAATTTCTAGCAAGTGCGTGTTTAATAGTCCAGCAATAATTTCCCAGCAGTGCAGCCTCTGCTAACAAGCTTCGAAGTATAGTTGTTATTAAAATGCACATATATAAAATAGTCTCAAACTGGTTTGTGTACTTTAAATCTCTGCTAGCAACCAAACATATTCTGTTTGCCAATCCCTACCTCTTTATTCTTTACTAGATGTTAATTCAAAACTTAAACACTCTTTGGTAAATAGAATTCTGGAATTTGATAGCTGGTATATAGAGCAAGAGCAGGGCAGGCTTTGGATACTTTTCAAGAATCCAATATGGAATCACTGTCAGCCATGACAGTTATGTCAAGTGGCTTGACGCTCAGAACTGAGGTAATGAAGTGTAACAGGAACCCCCTTACGATGGTCCTGAAATACCAAAAAAAGTCTGAACACTTGGATAAGGACTTCACCTGGACACTGATATGAGTGGGACTGCTACCCATTGTGACCTATAAAAATTCAGAGCTCCCACTATTTTTTAAAAATCTTCACCCGAGAATATGTTTAGTGATTTTAGAGAAAGAGGAAAGGAGAGAAACATCAGTGGGTTGCCTCCCATATGTGCCCTGACCAGGGATCAAAATGGCAATCTTTTTGGTGTGCAGGATGATGCTCCAACCAACTGAACCACCCAGCCAGAGCTTCTACCATTTGATGCTTGAGCTTGGCTGTACCAGGAGTCACACTTGGAATCCGATAGGACTTTAGCTCCACTAGATGCATACCACCACTATAGCTGCCTACACCTGCCTCTCCATCCATAGACATCACCAGTGAACCGGACTTTGCACCTGGGGCTTGCTCTGCTTGCTCTATCACATAAGCTTCCCTTTTCTGTGTGTAACTATATTGGTTTATTGGGGAGGTCTTCCCAAATTAAGCTGGCACCATTGTGGAAAAACACAAATGCATGTGACTCCTTTTGGGGATGCTCTCTTGCTCAAAACAGCTGGAATTTTATAGATAAGGCCAAAGAACTGACTGACTAGACTAGCGGAATTACTGACAGTACGAGGAAGACTTCTCTGGTGTCTGGAATATAGGAGTAGATTCATCTTCCTTACTACATTGCATCACAATTTCCTATTCACTGTTTTAGACTAGCTCTGAGGTCAGAGATGTGTATTCATCTTTATGTCCAGGACCTAGCACAGTGTTTGGCACATACATTGTGAACAAAGAATTCAGATCCCCTGACTCCTGGCTCTGGCTCCAGGTTACTGCTTATTGCATATAGGCCCAGGTGGATATCAGGATAAAGTCCCAAGAAAACGTCTATGTACTCTTTCTAGTCTACATGTGGAAAAACCTAAATGCATAAGATGATCCAAGAACCATCCTGAGATGAGGGAGGACTTGGATTTGTGGGGCGGGTGTGTTGGGCAGATACTAATGAAGTAATTATGCACAACTCAAATGTCTACAGGACTCACTACCTTGTAGATGATACAAATGAGGTCATATTAACAGGCAAATTTCACTTAACTTCATAGCTGCCTTTCCCTTTGGGCAACTGGAGCTTCATTTATAAGTTTCCCTTTGCCAGACAGTACCTCAGGAAGATCCTAGACCCTTGACCACTGCTCACTGTTATTTCATCACACCTCCTGACTCTGTCACACTCCTACTTCTCCAAACCTCTGGGTCTTTCCTTCTATCACTAGAGAAATACTCTCTCTACTCTGTGCTGCATTTGAAGGGTCTGAGAGTAATGATAAACCAAAAGATGTTATGAGATTTACTTGGGCCACTGTTTAACATACAGCTCTCTCCTCCCACTGTGTGCATTTGCACAATAAAGGAATCTGGGAAGGATTTCAGTACTCACGTTGTGCCTGGAACCACCATTCTCCTCCCCTCAGCCCTCACTGCTGAACTCTACTCATAGAGCTCAATAGCATCTTCTGGCATCATGAACTTTCTCCCAGGGGTCAAAAGTTTCTCTGTCACTGCCAGGTTCACCAGGTACTTCCCCTTGTCACATTAATTTATTATATTATGTTATACAAACTGTTTCCATAAGTAGAATGAACTTTGAGAACCCTCAATAACCCCTTCATTTACACACCTCTCAGAACATAACTCATTTTTTTACCTCCATGAAGTTTCCCATCTGCACCAGATTAAAATTGCTTCTTCCTCTAAACTCCAAATCCAATGTCTTTGTGAATAACTGGCCTTATAATTGACCTCATGTCACTTTAATCACCTTCTGCTTATGAATGCCTCCAGTATTATCACCTCAACTACACAGCTCCTTCATGATGAAGAGCCTGTTGTAAACACCTTCTTATCTCCCACTGTTTGTGTAGAGTAGATGCTCAAAAAGTATTTGATAAATATTAAATGAGTAATTGTAATTTTACCACTCTGCCTCATTCACACTTACCTCTGGATGCAGTAGGATTATCTTAAGTGAAGGTCATCTTCAGGTGCATGGGAAGATGATTTTTTATGCATGTGTGTATTCCTGTTTGTTGTCAATATAGGGGTGAAGGATAAAGGATAGGGAATTATCCTCTTTGGAGATGACCCAAAGGAGCCCATTAATTTTGTTTTCTCTTGGGAATATTAGGCTGAAAGACAGAGTCGGGCAACTTCTGGAACTTCACATAACAGCATTCTATCATTTAGAACTCTTGCTGAGATTCCTGGAGTTGCCTTGCTGTCTACCCTTCCAACTGCTATGAAACTTGTTGAAATTCTTCAAGATGTCTTCATATATCCTTCTAATAATTGTTTTGCTTAATCTAGTTAGGGGCAGTTTCTGTTCTTAGTAACTAGGAGAACCTGACCTAACAGTGGTATAAGGTGGGCCACTGACAACATCACACAGATGAAACTCACCAAATAAAGGAAAAGCGTAACTTGTGTTATCCAAGTATCCCACTTCATTCAAATAACTAAATTATACTCTTTCCTTGAAAAAAAAAGTGTGGCCTTTAGGTCACTGAGGAGGAAGGGGTAAGTGTGAGACCCAGCTAGTATGAACAACAGCAAACAACCTTCAAAAGTTATGGGGATAAAAATTATTTTCAAAAACATACATTTTACATATTGTTACACACCATTCTCATACCACTCACATCGAGGTAAACAGGTAAGTATAAAATCTGAGTAACATTTTCTGTATTTAAATATAAAGATGTCCTTATTGACTCTGAAAAGGGCAGATGATAATATGCTTTGTTCCAATTGTTAGTCTTGAGCAGTCACTCATTAAAACCAATGGCTAAGCAATCTGTAAATAGGATATAATTAAACCAACTGTTTCCATCCATCTACCCAGTCACCCATCCACTTCCAACAATACGTTAATGTCTACTCTGTGTGAAGCATTCACTGTACTGTATAAATGGAGGCATCATGGGAAAAATATGATTCCCACTCCTCAAGAAGCTCCAAGAATAGGAGGAGAAATAGTCAAATGTGATGTCATATAATACAGGCATGAGCAAAGTATTATGATGCCCCCTAATTGCCTAGAGAAATAAAAGAAAGGCTTCAGAGCAAAGGTAATGCTTGATCTGGAACTTGAAGCACAATGGGAAACACTCCGAGAGAAATGTGTTTCAGCTCCTAATCCAAAGAACAGAAAATTTTGTCACTAGTTTAGTGAGATAAGAAAAATACAGAGAATGATTACGTCTATTAGGAACTCAAATTGACAAGGCAAAACCATAATATAATTCAGAAATCTGGACCTCTTATTGCTAGACTTACAGCACTTAAGGACACAATCCCTAGTAATTTTTAATACTCAAAAAATTCAACTTTAAATGTCTGCCTTATTCCATGCAATGATCTCACCAGGGATATTTAACTCCTCTAAGAAGTTCCTTAGGCTTAAATTTTTGTGGAAGGGGGTTTAAAAAGGCCATTTCCCACAAATGGAATAAAATCATGAATTTAAATGACTGAATCCCACATTTACTAATTTTGAAACCAAGTCATACCAACCTGTTCTTAGGAGTCAAAGGGAAAGAAATGATTTCCCTGTAGAAAGCTTGGATTTAGAGGACAAGGATGCTTCTAAATATCAGATTATACGAGACTTAATCTAACAATTTTTGATTTTTGATCATGTTAGCAAGAACATCCCGAGAAATTAAACTACTATCCAAATGTCTTTTTCAAAAAGGGAAAAGCCAGTCCCTGCAAGACAGTGAAAGAGTGGACTGCAGCCAATTGAAGGAGAAAAAAATATTAAGGGTGTGCAAAGAATGAAGAATTGCTGTTTTATGCACAGTTCTCAAAGAGTGAGAGCTACTTCCTAAATTTATTAAGGTGTTTTTTTTAAGAAACCTTAAAAAGAAGAGTGTGAAGGCACAGAAAGGAATTTGAGATCCAACTGCATTTACTCATGCAACTAGTCCCTTTCTGTGTGGCATCATAGAAACCTCCTGAGTACCAAAGAGTTTATGCTTTTAAAAAAGAGAACTCCTACATCATTGCATGGCACAATTACTGCTTCCTCAGACCTTTCAGGAAATAATCCCCAAGTCATTTTTACAACTTTACATTAAAATACAGCATTAAAGATCAAGCCTAGAATAACTGCAGAATTGCAGTGATGAGTTGCACTGGTTCCAAATGACTGGATTTCTGCCCCAAACAATGGGACAAAGGACATCACCCCATGGACATAGTCAGTTTCGATGATGGACATACCTAAAGTGGATGATCTGAGGCACAAGCTGTGATTGGTCCTAAGAAAACGAAAGGTAGAATCAGGTTCAAAACCTGTATCTCATAATTTCTGGTCCTTATTCAGCCAAAGCGTTGAGCTGCTTCATATCTGTATTATACACATTTTGGATCTTTCTCAAGACTTGCTCTGGGTAAAGCATGATACAGATAACAAGATATCTGGCTTGATAACAGTATTCAAGGCACAGATGGGCCACACTCAAGGTAAGCTTCCCACCACAGTATATCTCAGATCTGCCGCCAAAGAGAGGACTTTATTCCGATGATGACTATTAGAGTTCGGTTTTCAAAATTTTGGGAATAATCTGATCATAGTCTTTTCTTCTTGTGACATTATAGGACAGGAATTTGGAGTATTCAGTCAACAGGTTCTCCCAGTAACAGGTGATGTCATCCATCCTCAAGTGGTTCACAATAAACTGGCTTCCCCTAAAGATTAACAAGAATATTTAAAGCACGGTATTAAATAATACTAATAGCTCATGAGTGCTTATCTTGTGCCAAGCACTGTTCAGGGTACTTTATATTATGAATTAACTTTTTCTTCTCACCTGATGATATGTTTTTATTGATTTGAGAGCAAAAGGAAGAAACATCAATAGGTTGCCTGGGAATCGAACCCACAACCTTTTGGTGTATGGGACAACGCTCCAATGAGTTGAGCCACTGGCCAGGGCTATATGAATTAACTCTTTTGATCCCCAGAACCAACATTCTAGCCATCATATCCACACATGCACTCTTAGCAATAGAACTTAATTTTTTTTTCTTAAATACAAACATGTAAACAGCCAATGCTCAGAAAAAGTACTTGTTTAGTTATCTCAACGACTTCAGTCTACTTCTATAAAGGATGGGCTTGGGATTTTCTCCCAAAACTTTTTTAATTCTGATTATCTCTGTATAATAAGGATCAAATCCAGATACTGCCATGGTAACAATAATCACATAACTTTAGCAAGGGCAAAATGGGGAGGAATAACTGGAAAAGGAAAAATGAACAGAACTTACCTTTCAGCGATTTCTTGAGCTATGTCATCATTTGCTTTCACAAATTGCAACAGCTCCCTAAAATGGAAAGACTGATTAGACTCTGAAATATAGAGCAAATTCTTTAGTACTAAATCAGAAAGACTATAGACTGAGTTGTATGGTTAATCTCTAGGTACATTGCTGGTCGATTATTTCTTTTTTAAAGGAACGATATCAGGATCCCCACAGGGAAAAAATAACAACAAAGAGTCCCCACACAGGCTAAAGGCAATGTGTTGCAGTTTTGGAACATATCTGAAAAAATAGAGAAATGTTCAATGATACACATCAAAAATCAATAGTGCAGAAAAACTTCTCTCCTATCTCCTGCTGTGGTCCCCTTATGTTTCTGGAGCCTCTCATCACAAGAGGAAAATCTCTTCAACTTCAGTGGGATAATTTCTCATGATGTGTCTGAAAGTTCCTTAGACAATATAACAAGATCTTCAGTCTTTGAGAGATTAGAGATTTTTCACTGAATACTGTCTGAATGTCACATTTTGAACCAGTACTTTTTCAAATTAAATCCCACTTGTAGCCTAGTTGGACAATAATGCAATAATATCTATGTGAACAAAATAAAGAAAAAGCTTTCAGTGGAAAAAGCCATCAGGAGTAAATGCCTTAAAAGGCTCAGGACTTAGAGGCAGATTACAGCGGTCATTAGACTCTCTGCTTGGGAGAGAGTGGCTGGCTTACTGGACATTGGAGAGATCTGTTTTGACTGGAATATAATGAACCCATGGCTTCAGTTGCGGATAGAAGAATTCCAGCCATTCATCACCAACATGGAAAACAAGTGAACCACACAGGAAGAGGTGTTTGAACCGGAAACTAGCAGCTACACCTCGAAAATTAAACAGATACCTGAGAAAGAAAGAGCAGAATATACTTGATATTACATAGTTGCTGCCATAAATATGACCTTTTTTTTCTTAATCCTTTCTCCCCTTCTACCCTTTTTCTGACCCCTCTCTCTTCTCCTTCCATTTTCATTTTTCAAGAAAACATCAGCATGTTACTGTGAAGCATAAACTCCTTGCTTTTCCAGGGGCTGTAGGTTATTTTTGTAAATGTCAAGGTGAGGCAGAAAAGGGCAAACTTTCTTCAGGCAGAGCTAGATAGGTCCAGGAGCTGGGTGCTAAGTAGAGAGGATTCAAAGCTCAGAAGGAAATAACACCTACCCTTTGCTATAAACTATTATAAGCCTAATTTCTCCAATTCGTCATGCCCACCCATAAGGTTTGTTTTTCCCATAGGGTACCCCATCTGGTCAAAGGCATCATGCCCTGGTTCCTCTTCTGAGGTCTGGAGAGGACAATCAGGCTACCTAATCAATCTTCAAAGAAATACTCCCTGGAAAAAAGCTATCTTAGAAAGAACATTTTCTTTCCAACATGTCTCAGGCGTGCAGCCCTGTCTCCAATCAGAGTTTCTTCTCCTTATAAAGTTCCTACTGTGCACTGTGATCAGCATCATCTTTCTGAATCCTGCCACTGCCTCCCTCCTGAGCTGATTTACCTCTTCTTCTAATTCTTAGTCCTGGCATTTAAATATAATATTCCAATTACATATTGTTTATTCATGTTGAACCTTAAACTATTTTATTAACTAAACTATTTGTTAGATAAAATATTTTATCTAACTTTAGCTATTGACTGGATGGGGTGTGGAGAGAAGGAATCCCATCACTTTGATTAGCACACAAGCTCTATGGAAGCCGGGACCATATTTCATTGTCTACACAGTTCCTATAGAAGTTATGCCAGAGCCTTGTGCATAGCAGGTTCTCAGTAAACAACAGCTAAATGAATTATTGTGACTTTCATAAACCCCAGCTGGGCCCTCACCCATTAAAGTTCTCACCCAAAGTGCAGCTATTCCAAAAGCAAAAGGAAAGCAAGAGTCGGGAGTCCAGGAGGTCTTACTTGTATTTACAGTGCTCCGCAAGATGGACATCTTTAGCAGCTGGCTTTCCCAAGGTATCCTTTAAGTGAAAAGGATATTAAGCGAAAAGATATTAATATTAGTGATAGTAGTATTTATTGAAGAAAACTTGCAGCAAGCAAGGTAAACATTTCAACAACACGATCTCATTTAAGTCTCACAATAAATATACTCAGAAAGCATTATTACGTCATGTTAAAGAAGCCAAGGGTTTGAGAAGTTGGAAGATTTTCTCAGGGTCATATGGCCCTAAGCTATAGGGCTACATTTTTAAGTCTGGGTCTGTCTGATTTTAGAGTTTAAGCTCCCCTGGAGCCACATGATCTCAGAGGTCATGGCCTACAGTGCATTGCACTCTGTGTAAACTATACACACAGGAGGTCACAAGTGGGCTTAGAGGTGTAGCTCATGCACAAATTTTGTTGGCTATGCAAAGTATTTGAAGTAAGCAAACCACTGCCAACATTTATAGGTAGTAGGATATTTCTTACAAAAATCCAGATTTTCAACTTTTCTTATAAAAAGAGCTGGTATTTTGGGCTCCTATCCCCCCTGACAGCAATGACTGGGCCTTTGGCACTCTCTCCTGCTTATTCCTGTGGCCCCTGGGGCATCTGCATTTGAGACACCCATCTACGCACATGGCAGTCACCTTAGCAGATGATAAACTCCTTGATGAGGGGAACAAGTCCTGTTTGTTTTTGCAGCCTCCCACAGTAGATGCTCTGTTGAATGGATACATTTTTTTCATATTTTTATTGTTAAGCAAAGTTTCTTAAGATTCATTTGCTCCTGTTTAATTTAAACTATTATAAAATAAGTATGCCCATCTTAACGATACACTTAATTTTCCCCACAAGAAGTTTTTTTTTCTCATATCCTCATATGGTATGTGGAAATTTCAGATGAGGACATTTCAAGCTTAAAGTTATTTGAATAAGGTAAGAAGTCATAGAATGACGAGGACAGAAATAGGCTCCAAACCAAAGCCTAACTGCTGGCTTCACCTTAGAATTCTTAGAGTTTTAAACAAATGAAGATGCCTGGATGCTATCCCCAGGGACCCTGATTCATTTGAATCATTTTTAAGCTCCCTGGTTCGGCTGTATAGTCACAGGGTTGAGAACTACTCGTTTAAAACAGGGGTTGTCAAACTACAGTCTATATGCCAAATTCAGCTTACTGCTTGTTTTTTGTATACAACCCATGAACTAAGATAGTTTTTACCCTTCAAATGGTTGCAAAAAATCCAAAGGAGAATATTTTGACCATGACAATTATACGAAATTCAAATTTCAGAGCCAAAAAGTTTTACTAGCACACAGCCAAGTTCATACATTTATGTGTGGTTTATGGCTGCTTTCGTGCGGCGGCATCAGAGTTGAGTAACTGCAACAGACACCTTATGATCCATAAAGCCTAAAACGTTTACCATCTGGCCCTTTACATAAAAACTTTGCTACCTTTGGTTTAAACCTTCAAAGTTGTATAATATACTACTCAGAATATGGACCAGAAAAGCAATGTGAGTTTGAAAAAGAATGCTAACACTAACACTAGTTGATAGAACTTTCTCAACATTCATCACATAACTGGTAGGAATCCTACTCTGAAATTCTATCCAGGTGGCAATGTTCTTTGAGTTAGAATATTCACTGCTTTAGTTTCTATTCAGATGATTGGTGATTACTTTCATAGACTTCCAGGCCTGGTTTTTGGTGTACTCTGCATCAACAAGTTTTGGATTTTTCCGAGATAGGAGAATGAGAGGATCTCGTTCAGGACTTGTCCTATAAAAGAAACACATGACATAAAACTATATGTCCCACAGCAAAATACCATTCCCAAACTCTGGAAGGTAAGCAGTAAATGGGCCCAATGCAATGATGGTACACACAGGTGAAGAACTCATTGGTTACTTCAGTAGTAGAGGAGAAGGATACTGGATACTGCAACATCTAGGTGGTTCGGAACTGTCCCCACTTTACCCTTCAGGAATGGGGAGTATTTGGCCTGTCTCTGCTTACACCTAATTTTTAAGATTATGTTGTTTTTGTCACTACAGGCATATCCCAGGAAATGACTTCACATTTAGGAGGGTTCATGTAGCTTCTATAATCAATTGCACCCAGAACTGTGTGACTACGTAATCACCACTCACCAAATAGCTGCATGACCTTTGTTATGTATGCTCTGTAAAGTCTAGGATAATATTTAAATGAAAAAGAAAACTAAGAGGCTTAAACACTTGGACTATATGGAGAAAAAGTCCTTGCTAGGGTAGCAAATGGTCTTGACATTTGTGCAGTCATAGAGCCTCTGAGAATCTGATGAGAACTATGGACTCCCCTCTCTAGAAAAATGCACATATCCCCCTATAATTTCAAGGAAGTCCAAAAACCCTTGAAGTCCACACATGGATCCCAAGTTGTGAATCCGCGATTTCAAGATTTAAGCAGCAGAGAAGTTAATAAGAAACAGTAAGCAGTGGTTGTTCGGCTGTCTGACCTCTGAAGTTCAAGTAAATAGAGGATGGGATCTCTGATAAGAACTCACTGAAATAAAAAAAAAAATTTTAAAAAGCTCACCAAGAAAACTACAAAACCCTTCTCTGATCATAGTCTCTTTTGTATCCATCTGTTCAACACATACTCATTGTGTGTCTATGTGGCAGATACTGACCTTGGCAGTGGGGATATGGAGCTGAACAACACAAATGGGGTCCTTCCCCAACTTTTCCCCTTTTCTTCTTCCTCTTTTTCTTCCCTGCTGCCCTCTCCATTTTTATCAGTCTCAGTCTGTGCTCTCTACCACTATTTGGCAGTTACACGGTCTGATGAAAAAGGCAGTCAGGGGATCCACTGATGATATATCTTGTGCAGAGTGACTGGGCAAGTTCATAAGCTGCTCCTAGGAACCTGTAATCTCTCAGCCAAGAGGACAACTCCTCTTTCTGTTCAACGTTAAGTACTCATTGCCCATGACACTCATGGCACTCTGCAAATATCTGCTGAATTACTGAGTGAACTGTATCTCTTTGAATTTCAGTTCAATGAAGAGTGATTTGGGCAAGTAATTTGAGTTCTCCTATGGTCTAAAAATTCTATGATTCTACAGTTATTTCTTAGCTTTCTTTGTGAGCTAGAGTTTGCTACATCCTCAAAATTACTTACATTTTACACATTAACTGTAAGAATATCTTTGTAAAGTGTCAGAAAATATAATCACCTTGATCCTCGGAAATACGCTGTGGAATTTTTCTTTTTCCATGGCCACTGTGCTGCTGACCTAAAAATAGAGTTTGATTAGTTTCTATTTTTTTTTCCTTAACCATATGAGGATGCGTTTTAACCAATTCTGAGGATTAGTTCAGAGCTTTACATTTTTAAATAAGTCTGAGCCAGGCTAATCAAAAGAAAATCCCTAAATGACAGTAATGTTCCCTTTTGTTATTACTTCACTCTTCTGGAGGTATTAGCAAGTAGTATCTACACATCTACTGCTCAATTAATAAGTTAACAACATTAAAAGAAAAGTTCCCAAACACTAAATGACATGTTTAGGGCTATATAATTCAGAGGATTTCCTCTGTACTTCAAGTAGAGTGCTATCAATAAAATTAACATGCAAAGAGTACTGGAGAAAATATCAGAAATTGAATTAAAAGCAAGAAAAAAAATCACTCTTTGACTACATGTTTTGGATACATAGGAGATATCATCAGATTTAGTCTGATTTTGCAAAGCACCATGGTATTCTCAAATCTGCACTAAGTGCTCCATAAAGACAAAGTCCCTGACATGCAAGTCTCGGAACACATTAGCACAACCAGCTTTCCTTGCTAAAACTACTAGCTCACAGATGCACCCTTCTTAACTTTCTTTGTAGGGACCCTGCACAGAAGCTTTCATAATGTCTTCTCTGAAAAAGGAGTGGGGGGACTCAACTGGAGTTAATGGGGGATTGGTGGTCTATATTACTATAATGAGATTTAGGATACAAACTTTTTAGGTAGAGATACTTTTCAGATACATAGTGTCACATTGCTCCTTTCTCTCAGCTGAGAGCACTGCTCCATTTTTCCTGGCCTATCTCTCGCCCTTTCTTGCTGGATCATCTTCACCTGACTGTCCAGTCCAAAGCCAGCACTCTCTTGGACCCTGTCCTGTATTTCTTTCCACTAAAATATAATCACTATAGCACTGGGTTTTTGTTTTATAAGTTTTCCAGTAGAAAATAATATGTGCTTATTATATAAATATAAAAATGTAAAATAAAAGTAGAGAAAACTTCATCTAATTTCACTACTCACAGATAAACACTTTTTAACAATTTAACATTTGTTTAGTTAAGAATTTCCTTCCAATTATATCTCCATACCATGTTTCTCAACTGGAGGTGATTTTGCCCCTTTCCCTCAAGGGGCATTTGGCCATGTCTAGAAACATTTTTGATTGTCATTACTAACGGATTGCTACTGGCTGCTGCTAGTGGGTAAAGGCCAAATCATGTTGCTAAACATCCTTCAATGCATAGGACAGCCCCCTACAACAAAATAATGATCTGGCCCAAATTGTCAATGTACCAAGTTTGAGAGAAATTGTTATATACCAGAGATCATACCATGAATGCTGTTAGGTAACATTCTTCTTCTTTTTTTAAATTAAAATTTATTTATTTATTTATTTATTTTTAGAGAGGGGAAGGGAGGGAGAAAGAGAGGGAGAAAAACATCAATGTGTGGTTGCCTTTCACACGCCCCCTACTGGGGACCTGGCCTGCAACCCAGGCATGTGCCCTGACTGGGAACCCAAGAAGCGACCCTTTGGTTTGCAGGCTGGCGCTCAATCCACTGAGCCACACCAGCCAAGGCTGTTAGGTTACATTTTTATAAGGTCATATATTATAAATAATAAGAGCCAACACCTATATAGTACTTTCTATGTTCTGGACACTGTTCTAAGTGATTTATACATTTATTAACTTATCCTCACAACCTTATGAGGTGGATTTTATTATTATTACTATATAGCCAAGACTCTTGAGAGGTTAAGCAATTTGCCCAGAGTCACACAGCTAATAAGAGCCAGGGTTTGAACCCAGAGTCCCTGTCTTTAAGCCCTATACTAATTTTATTTTCCACTCACACACAGTATTCCATTTGATAGCTACATAATAATTTGTTTCTTATGGATGGGCTTTTTGGTAGTTTCCAACTTTTTGCTTTAAGAAACAACACCATAGCAAATATCCTTATACACACATCTTTGCACACTTGTCTAATTAACACCTGAAGATAAATTCTAGAAGAGAAATAGCAGGATGAAAGGATATATATACTTTAAATTTTGATATATTTTGCCAAACTATCCAACAAAAATTGTATTAATTTGTACTCAAATTTTTAGTATAAATTCCCTTGGTCCCTGAGAAAGCTATGTTTAATATGCATGGGCTTGAATGATGCATGTCTCTGTCTTCTCTCTCTCTCATTCTTCCTCCCCACCTCTCAAAATACATTCCTTAGGGCTTTTTTCTTCAGGCAAGTGCTAAGAGCAGCCACCATAGCCTAGTGTTGCTTCATCCCTCTTCAATTACCCTCTCCCCGATCCCTGTCTATACAGAGTTCTTTTACAGAGAACACAAGTAACAAAGAATTCTTCCACAGAGTGGAAAATAAGTCAATGGAGAGAAATTCCCAAAAGATGACAAAAATAGAAAAATGGCAAGCCAATGCATTTGGATAAAGAAAATATTTAAGTTTCATGGTAAAAAATGAATTCACATAGCTAGAGATTCTGAATGAAAGGCTCTTAAAAATAAAATGGCAATTCTATAATCATGAATAAATTCAACTGAAGAATATAAGGGGAAGATATCAAAAGAAAATATTTTCATATAAGATTAGATTTTAAAATATGTTCTATCTCCCTATAAACTGCTTATTAATTTACAAGGAGGAAAATAACACCTTGACCAGGTGATCAACATCCACATCCCTAATGAGGGGCCGTTGGATAAAAAATCACTCATGTAGTAAATAAATACAGTATTTGGACCAACAATCCATAAATTGAATTTGACTATGAGGAAAGAGACAAATCCAAATTGAAGAACATTCTGTATTCTTCAAAATGTTAATGTCATGAAAGAGAAGAACAGACTGAAAAGCTGTTCCAGATTAAAGGAGACTTAAGAGACAGGACAACTATATGCACTATATGATTGTGAACTGTATCCTGTACTGGAACAGGAAAGTACTACAGAGGACATTATTGAGAAAATTAAGTACTGTATCAACATTGTTTTCTGAATTTGATAACTGTAGTGTGGTTATAGAAAAGGATACCCTTGTTTTTAGGAAATACACAACTAAATTATTAAAGAGTAAAGGGTTCTAAGGTATGCAACATACTTTCAAATAGTCCATTAAAAAACAAATTATGCTTGTACTGTTGTATACATGTCGTCTAAATGTCTATCAAAAGACATAAAATAAATTATCATCTATACAATAGAACACTATGTAACTGTTAAAAATAATGAGGTAGCTTCATATACACTGATATGGAAAGATTTTTAAGGCACATTGATAAGTGGGGGAAAAGTTGCCTAGATTAGACATATTTATAAATTTTTATGAGTACATATAGGTTTTGTAACTTAAAAAGTACATGTATAGCAGGTAGAAAAAGAGGTACAAAGAGTGTGAAAAGGGTATTTGCAAGCACCTGAAAAAAAAAAAGGATTAGAAAACTAAGGCCAAGGATAACTTGGAGAACAAAAGGTTTAAGACCTACTTATTTTTCCCTTCTCTCAAAATTATGTTCAAAATTAAAAGATAAATAAGAGATGATGGCCCCAATGGCTGGAAAACACGGGTAACATTAACAGGTAAAGTGGAGAGAGTAATGCTCTCAGAAGCCTAACTTGAGGCCTAGACACTTAACCCATCTGGGTCTTTGTTCCCTCATCCCTGGAATGCCTCAGTTTCTTTATCGTTATAATGGGAGAAATAACAATATCAATAATATCCCTGAAATAAAGAGTTGAACAAGCACAATTTCCAGTTCCCGGTCTATGAAGTATAAGACCTGGTTATATTAAAAAATAATTTCCAAAGTATACCTATCGACAATAGACTCTTTTGTTTTCTTTTTTTACTCAAAGGGTTCTAACAGCCACTGAGGACTGTGGCCCCACATTTTTCTCCAGGGAAGGGACATTCACTTCATCCCCTTTGAATCTCCAGCCACACTTAGTACAGGTGATAGAGATTTGTGGAAATATATTTGAATTAAATTATTGTTTCCCCTATACCTGAGAAAAGACCTATAAAGACTGTGTTTCCAAAAGTTTGCTAACTAAGTACCAAAGTTGTTTAAATCATTAATGTAAAATGTAGCTAAGTAAGAATACCTACAGCTTAGATAACCTCAACAATATAGATTCTGAAATGATGGCAGGATGGGATGAAGCCAACAGGCCAAGGCATGTCTTATTCGTGTACCAGGGAGGATATGGAGTAAATTTGCCTTTGAGATGTTTATGGGACATTTGTGCCCAAGCCATTCCCACCTACGGGACTTATTTCTAAGTTATAAAGTATATTTATGTTCCTCCGAGCAATGTTCTATCCTCCCCCACAACATGGCCATTCATTTTTTTCTAATTATAAAAGTAATTCATTCTTATTTACAAAATCTTAAAAGTATAGAAAAATTTAAAGAAAATGCTCCTATAATCCCTCTCCTAGAGGCACTAATAGTTTGGAGTAGGTTCTTCTGTACTTTTTCTATGGATATATAGATATTTTTATACACATACAGAATTGCGTTTACTATCAACAGTTTTTGACCTTTATTTTTGACTTAAAAGTTAGTTATTTTAAAGTGACTGTTTATATGCCGTTTATTTTAAGAAGACCCATAAAGAGGGAAAAACAAAACCTCTCTAAAGGACCTACCTTATCAGATCTTCTCTGAAGAGGTCCCACCGTCCAAGACCCGCAGGATAAATTGGCCAAACAGCAGGTCCCCCTTCCCAAAATGTCCAAGCAGGATACATGATATCATGGTACTCTAATGTCTTCAACAGAAACAGAAAGGTTGTTCTAAATCAGTCTCATAACAGAGGGAAAAAGAGCCAACTGCATTCATACCACAGGACCTGGAGAAAGGCCTGCAAGCCCTACTGCCACACTGCCAAAGATGTACCTTCCTTAGCCTGCAAAGTCTAGACTCTAGATACTAAAAGGTAAAAATGACCATGGGTTAAAATTCATGGGCTCATTGAATCCCAGAATTTGAAATCACATTAAAAGTCAACCTTTCCAGTTCCCCAAGTTCTGTTTTTCTATAGGACATGCACTGTTATGGCTTTTAGTTTAAGGAAATATATACACAATTATTTGATTGCCTATTTAAGGAAATATATACACAATTCTGAATGATTACAAAGCTCTCTCATATTTTAACTCCTATTACACTTAGAGTGTATACTGTCTTACCAGTTCTTGGTTATCTCCTAGATGGGTTTTTTGAGAGCAAGACTTAGGAAATACAGTGCAATGGTTAAGACTATGGGTTCCTGAGAGAGATCATTTGAATCTGAATGCTGACTCCACCTCTTTTCAGCTCTAGACAAATTAATCTTTCTATGCCTCAGTTTCCTTATCTTTATAATGGAAGAAATAGTATCAATATTTCTATCCATGTAATAGGTTTTGAATATTGATGAGTTATAACATGTACAAAGCTTAGAATAGCACCTGACAGGTGTTACCTACTCAGTAAGTGTTAGTATTTCCCAAAACTGTGGCACTGTTGAGCTCACATTGGTTGGTTGATAAATTCTTGGCTATTCATCTATCAGGGTTAGAAGTGCCGATGGGCAGAATGGGGTAAGGGGTTTTATCCCACATCTTTTCAAACAATGTTTGAAACCATCTGTTCCCTTTTTATGGTTAAAACTCTGGCTACTGAGAAACCTCTAACTCTACTGTTTCTTCCATTGGAATTACACACCCAATATGCTGTTTGCCTTCTCTCTCAAATACTTGAAAAAAGGTATGTGATTTATCAAGCAGCTCAGACATTGCTGCTCAATAGAATCTGTACAATTAGTATAAAGTTGACAAACTAAAATCCTTCCTTTGGAGACTAGGAGTCATTGGTTTGAAAAAAGGAGGGAAGTAAAAATTAAAAGAAAGTTAGTATAATGATGGTCATACTTTATTACCCATAGAAACGACAGATAAATAACAAACAAAGTCCTTACTGACTTACATGGGAGCCTCTATTTGTTCTTCAGGAATGGTTTCATGACAAACAACAGGACCAAGCACTTTTGAGAAAGGAGGCTAACTCATGGGAAATGCAACACCAATGTGGCCTCAGCCCACTTGCAATACAGGAAATAAACAAGTCTAGAGAGAAAGTAAACTGGGATAAAGAAAAAGTGGGGATGAAAGTTCCCTCTGCTTTGGAAAAACCAAATCAGAGATGATGTTCCTTTTCTCAAAGTCCATGGGGTTTTCCTAAACCCACTATTCCCCCATAGAATCTTCAAACTGCTCTCTTCTAGCCTCCCCCACCTGCCCACAAATACTTTCATACTTACTCTCTAAGGAACTAAGGCCCATCCTTGACAATACACCATTTACAAGAATCTGAGCACTGGCAAGATATTAACTGGCTAAGTTCTCCAAGCTCACAGATGTGTCCTAGTAATCCTATTCCTCCATAACTACATCCAAAGATCACCCCCCTCACAAATCCCTCTTGGATATCCCAGGCCCAACCACTCAATGCGCTGCTTGGGCACAAACTGTGTGGAGTTATCTAACACCTTCGGTTTCACTGTTAGCCATGCTAGGCCCCCAGGATACAGCGACAGGCCAGATGATACCCAATACTGTGGTTGATGTATATATTGTCGGAGCTCAACAAATATTTTGAACGTGTTCTCTAATTCCAAACCCATGAGTTTTCTTGGGCCATTCTCTCTCAAGAATCTCTGAATACTCCCTCCAATGTCCTATAGGTTCCTCAGGCTCTCTTTCCCTAACCTACATCCCTAGCCTTCCAGCCACTTAAGCAATCTCACATTTCTTACAGGTTCTCAACCCTACCTCCCCAGTCTTCTTGCTTAATTTCTGTGAAGCCAACAGGCACAAAGACCCATTCCTGGATCTCAGGCCCCATCCTCACCATTACCCATTAGACTGTTATAGGACAATCATCTCCTAGTCACACCCTAGAGGACCGCCCTGCATCCTCTCCTTTGGCTTTGCCTATACTTACCTTGCTAAAGGAGAAGACTGGAATGGCAGGCTCCATCCATTTAGGAACCTGCGGATAATCTCGTACGTTGATCACCATTTCCATGTCAGGGAGGCGTCCAATAACCTCCAAAATAAAGTGTTCCACACCACTACACCTATGAAACAGAAACACCATCAATTCACCAGAGCAGGACCAGCTCTAGGACAAGCCAGTGGAATTATAAATAGGCAGTGTTCCAGGCACATTTTTAGAGAAAGACAAATCAGTGGTCACATCATCAGCCTACTGCCAAGTCTCCTGAAAACAGTGCTCCTAAAGGACTATTCCACTATTTCATGCTGTGTAAGTCATCTTTCCTGGCTAAGCTGCTCCAGCTTCCAATACCTAATCAAATTTTCCAACTGGATCAACATAAGTTTGAAGGGAGTATTACTGCTACTCCTACCACCACTTCTCTGTTCTTTACCTTTTTCTTTATTTCCCCAATATGGAATACTTTAGTGAGGAAAACACAAATTGTGATTGGAACCAAAATGGCTAATTTTCTAATTGTATACCTTGGGCTTGCTTCTCACAAGACATTTTTTGTTTCTACATAATTAAGTCTTAAAGTTTATGAAGAAAGATGGGAAAACTTTTATTATCTTCAACCTGAAATAAAGAACACTATCAAAATTAGTTTTGCAAGGCAGAAAAAGAATGTTATGTACACATAATGATAATTTTAATATGGCATTCTGACAAGACTCCCTGTAAATTTTCAGAGGATTTCTGGAAAGAAACAGAGGCCAGAGTGACAGCTTAGCTTTTCCGACCCATCCTTTGAAGTCCTCACCAGTATTATACTGGGAGCAGCATTCCAAGGCTTGATCGAAATTTTCTGGCAGCAGGAAAACAATGATTTAAAACAATGATTTAAAACACTGATTTATATATAGGGAGATAATGGCAAAAAAAAAAATCAATGGTCCATAAACATAAGAAAAGTTGCTCAACTCTATTAATAATAAAGAAATGCCCAGCCCTGACTGGTGTGGCTCAGTGGATTGGGCATTATTCTGCAAACCAAAAGCTCACTGGTTTGATTCCCAGTCAGGGCACATGCCTGGGTTGTGGGCCAGGTCCCTGGTTGCGGGCAGGTTTGGGAAGGGCAACTGATCAATGTTTCTCTCACACATGGATGTTTCTCTCCCTCTCTTTGTCCCTCCCTTCCCCCTCTCTAAAAATAAATAAAAAAAATCTTTTTTTGGAAAAAAAAAAAGAAATGCCCAAAAGCCAAACTTATAAAAACAGAGATGAAAATGGTGGTTACCAGGGAATGTGGACTAAGAGACAGGACAGATGTTGTTTAATGATACAAACTTACAACGAGTATTAATAAGTCCTAGAGATGTAATGCACACAGTACAGCACATCCTCACTTAATACCTACAGGTTCTACAACTTTACGTGTAACAAAGCCAATCTTACCATAGGTTAATTGCTATAAACAGGAGTTAAGCTCTTACAAATGACAATATTCTGATATTCCAGGACCTGCTGTGTAGTGTCTACAGATAACAATATTGCCTCATAATCATCACACTTGCTAAGAAACTAGAACTTATATCAACTACTAAAAAGGATAGTTATGTAATGTGATAGAGGTGGTAATTATCGCACAATGTCAATAAATTACAATATAAAAATTTATCAAATCAACACATTATATACCTTAAATTTATACAATATGTCAAATATATTTCAATTGACAGTTAAGTAAAGTATCACCATGACCAAAAAAAAGACACATAGGGAATTTAGAGGCCAGTTTTCACCAATCAAATTAGCAAAGATCAAAGAGTCAGATAACACACTGTTGGTAAGGGTGTGAGGTCTATTCTGAGCATGTGATACAAGGGTGGTGCAATTATAAATAGGCAGAGCCCCTTTGCAGAACAACTGGCTTCTATTTATGAAGATTTAAAAAAAAAAACACACACACACATTAATTAATTATTTCTACTTCTAGGAATTAACCTGCAGACATATTTACATTGAGTGCTCAAAGGTGTATGTACAAGGATATTCACTGCATTGTTTGCATTAGTCAAAAATCACAGGGGACGGGGAAGGAATAATTTAAATGTGAGTTGGCAGAAGACTACAGTAATCTATATAATGGGTTATTATTTAGCTATTAAAAAGTTAAGTGTTCTCTATGTAGTCTTATGGAACAATTTCCAAATATACTGTTATATGGAAAAGAAAAGTAAGTTGCAGAACAGAAGATTTATATGTTTTAATTTGTTGATGAGTCTAGATAATTATATGTACTTGGATTATTTCTGGCAGGATATACAAGAAACTTGTAATCATGGTTGTCTCAGGGGCTAGCAGTCCGGGGTCTAAGTTGGTAGAGAAACTTCCTTTTCATTGTATTTCTCTTTGAAGTACTCAAATATTTTACCACATGCATGTTAATGCTCCGACACTAAAAAATTAATTAAACTAGTTTAAGTTTTAAAAATACATTATTGCAGTACATTTACATGTAACAGCTAAAACATTTTCTCTCACATTTGGTTTTTAAAAGTTTCTTCTCACATGCTGAATGATTCCATTTATATAAAACTCTAGGAAACAGTCTATGAGAGAAAGCATTATCAGTGGATGCCTGAGGATGATGGGAGGGGTGGGGGAGAGGGACTGCAAAGAGGCACAAGGACACTTTTGGGAAGGACAGATGTTCATTATTCTGGTGTTGATTTACATCAAACCATCACATTGTATACTTTAAATGTATGCAGTTTATGTGAACCATATCTCACTAAAGGTATTATTTTCTTTTAATTCTTTTAAAATATTTTATTTATTTATTTATAGAAAGAGGGGGAGGTAGGGAGGGAGAGAAACATCGATGTGCAAGAGAAACATTGATCTCACACGCCCCCAACTGGTGACCTGGCCCGCAACCCATGTGTCCTTAGTGGGAATCAAACTGGAGACCTCTCAGTTTGCAGGATGACATCCAAACACTGAGCCACAACAGTCTGGGCTGAAGGTATGATTTTAAAAATACCATTATTCTCCACCTCTGAAATGATGATGTGTCTCCAGTGTTAATTATAAGATGCTCTGCTTCCTTAGCAAAATCACTTAGCTTATCCTTGAAATGCTGACTTGACATTTTATTTTGCTCAGGACTGAATTTTTAAAATATCATGTAGTTTTCTGAAACTGGGTGAATTCAAAGTAGCTAGACCTAGAAAGGTATTATTTATGGCTACATAGAAATCTGAGATATAACATAACTGTGCCCATTTCATCAAGAACACTAGCCTGAATATTTTCATTCTATTTCTGTTCTGTTTTCCTTAGCTGTATGTGTAGTTGGGATAGGGAACTTTCAATGCATTAGAAATACAGAAATCATTTTATTGTCAATGAAAGGCCTATGCTCTTTTAAGAACTTTTCTAAGAGCTCCTGATCCTGACCAAAGGCTCTAAGGTCTAAAATAAGAGTTACGTGCCTTTTAGAAAATTTGAAAGTATTTAATTTCATATGGAAATTGTTCAGCTAACTGTTGAACATTGGGCAAGTTTCCAAAGTCCAATAATGTATATATTCATATTTCCTTTCTCACTGTGGAAATTAGAAATTCCTCTATGCTCATAATTTGTAGTTAGAATCTCTATTATTGTCCCAAATAATGAAATAAATGTCTGTTTAAAATAACTCAGTGATTTTCCCCACTACCACCTTATTTTCTCTCGACACTTGATAACCAAAAGGTAATTACAATTACCTCAGTGTATAAGATTCTAAGTGATCTTTATTTTCTCTTTCGTTGTTGTTTTTACATATTTTTACAATAAAAATGTACTAAATCCTAATAAAGTTGTTATTAAGAACAAATAATATAAATCCTTATGTCCAAATGGACTGTATTTTTTGCAATACTGATAATTTATTTTACTTTTAATAACAGCGTAGACATTGTTTAGAAAGATGGTCTTGGGCAATGCCATGTCCTCTGAGATTTACACTTTATAATTTTGTAAAGATGAGTTTTTTTTTAAATACAAGATTCCTAAAAAGGAAGTCTATCGTCTGTTGTATATAATGCTGCCTAAACCCAACTTCCAGGCTCAGTCCGTGATCCTCCCGCTCCCCCCAAGCCCTCAGCCCACTGATCTGTTACCTCAGCTCTCACACTGAGGTCCTGGCTAGTGTATCCTGCATAGTCTACAGCCCCAGTCGCTCCTCCTGACTTTCTACCACCTTACTTCGAATACTTGGTATATAGAAAAATACCTGGCCCTTGACAATCAATGCTTGTCCCCCATGTTCAGCCCAGCTCAATCCTGGTAGGTCCCATCAGCCTGTGTTTTGCAGCTACCATATGCAGGGAAATAGGAGAAGGGGCAGAAGCACAGGCCAGTACAACCAATGACATTCCCAAGCCTCACGAAGAGAGAAGAGACAGGCTTTCATACAGGAGTTGGCAAGAAAAATTTCCAGGCGGGAAGATCTTGTCAGTATTTTACAGTCCTCTGAAATGTGAGGAGGGATTTGCCTGTTGGTCCATTTAATTGGCTTCTTTGTAAGAACAGAATCAAATAAGTCCATATGTAATAAGGTCAGAAGATATCTTTACCGCATAACTCTCACCTTGAGGGAAACATGCAGTCATTTTCTCGGTATAATCTGTTCTTAATAATCTGATAATGAGTTCCTAGCTTCCGTCTGACTACCTCCGCCATCATCTTCCTTGAGATACCTCCTCGGAAAGGAGTCAGATCCTCTTCCATGACACTAGGAAAGAATGGGAGTCATCAAGGAAAGCAGGCCAAGAGAGTGATACCACTCCACCTGCTTCCTTGGGTTTAGGTTTAGTACTAAAGAACACAGTAAACTGGGGGAAAGAATAGAGGGCAGGAATGAGTACCCTTTACCCCAGAGGTGGCTTAGGTAATCTAAAATGTCATCAGCATCAGAACCACCAAAAGGAAAAAGCAAGTCGTTTTCTCTTCTTCCTCCCTCCATCTGGATTGCCCCTCCCTTGCCTGATGCATATTCCACCTTCCTTACTGATGCCACATCCAGGTCCTCCCAGTCACTGCAGTCCCACTGACCTCCCCTTCTCTGAATCCCACATAAGGCATAGTTTATGCATAGCAGTCTGACATTGTCTGACTCCCTTGTCTCGGTCTGTCTGCAGCCTGACAGCAATAACCAGAAATTACTCTATTTTGTATTCCTTTTGTAAAGTTCAGTACATAGTAAATTTTTTAAGTATCATAAGCTTCAAATGAATTTTTTGAGGAGCCGTGGAATAACGTAATGAAGAGCTAAAGGCCCCTGATACTTAGCTGATGGGGAATCTGAGACGCAGACAACGTAAGTGGTTTCCCAAAGGAATAATTAATGGGAGATCTGGAACTAGAACCTGATTATTGTTTTCCAAATAATCTTTCTTTCACACACCAGCCCTAATTTGAATTCTTTAAAAATAACCAACAAGAAAGGTATAATTAGATTCATTTATAAATATGTTCATTCCTTCAACAATATTTAAGACACAAAACTTGACCTCAAGAAACTTTCAGTCCAGTGGGGGACACAGACAAGTACATGTGCTGACTCCCACAAGGAATCAGTGGCAAAGCTGGGCCTCTCCAGTTGAGGTCACCTGGGCCTCTCCTATCCCAGGGCATTTTTATTCCATAGAACAGAAAGTTTCAACCTTTTTCATCTCATGGCACACACAAACTAATAACTAAAACTCTGTGGCACACCACAAATATAGGTATAATTTTAATTCATTCACACTAGACAGCTATTGTCATGTTGGCTGTTGTCATTTCTTTATTTTACAATCTAAGGGAAAAGAGATCAGTGTCCCTGACTAGTCAGGTATTGCATGTTTTAAAAATTCTTGGGGCACACCAGTTGAAAATTTCTGGGGCATGCCCTAGAAATAGGAAACCAGCTCAGGAACCCTGTCTGCTTTCGAACTACGCTTGGCTCTCTGACCACTGCAACCAAGGTCCCTTGGAGATCTTAAGGGACTTCTTTGTGACAAGAACTAAATTCTCAAAGTCAAATCAAAGAACTCACCCATGGTAGCAGCTGCAGTTTTTACTTGAACATGGTTCATAATTTTCCAAAGACCTGTTAATTTGGTCAATGAATACTTTCCATCTTGAACCTTCAAAAAATGAAGTAAATAAAGATTAACAAAATACCCCTGAGCATTCTTATTTACTAGTAGCAGATAGCAGAACCAACTGGAAACCAAAGGTTTCAGATACCCCCTCCCATCCCACTGGTGTAAACGAAAACACCAGAAAGGCTTCATTCTGTAACTCCCCGCAACTCGCGTCAAGTCTGCTACTCTATTCGGGCCCAAAGGTAACCAAGAAACTGGAAATTTTCCAAGCTCAACGTTTGGCACTCAGAAGGCTACGGATAAACTGGTAACACCGCTTCCCGCCTTTTACTAATCAAGCTGAGTCCTATAAAGAAAATCAATCGACTCTCCCTTCATCTCTTCTGGTAATGGCCTAAGGAAACACACACAGACCCAGCCCTCCACACCTCCCCCCCCACCCCCTGCGCACACACACGATTTACGCCCGTGTTTTAAGGGGGTGCAGAGCGCAGGCGATGCCTGCTGTGGGCGAGCAGGGGAACTCCGTCTGCTCCCCACTATCACTCCGACACTCCGAATTCTGGAGGATGAGTTACTCTCCAGGGTCCTGGGCGGGAGAAGCAGCCCGAGATACCCAGACACTCACTCTCCGCTCCAAGGCGCCCGCTGCCGCTTCCCCCGCCGCCCCGTGCCCAGCGCCCAGCTCTGCGTTACAGCGGCCACAGCATCAGCCGGGTGCAGCGGCACCGGGGAACGACCAGGAGGGAGAGCGCCTCTGGACAGAGCCAGACCCCGAGCTGGGCCTGCCCGGAGCCCACCTGACTCCTTCTGGCGGCCGGGCCCTGGTGACAGGAGTAGCAACAGCAGCCACAGCCCAAGCTGGGAGCTCGCCGGCTGCTCCATCCGTAGCGGAGCCACTGCGGAATCCAGGCCGTGGCAGCACCAGAGGAAGCGCGGCCCCGCACAAACATGGCCGTGGGAGCCGCACCGTGTGCGCGCAGGGAGGGCCGCCCGGCCCAGAGATGGCGGTAGTCGTCTTCCTTCGCCAGAAGTGAGCCCCTGTTTGGGGCGAAGTTTTCCTGTAAATGTTCGTTTGGAAACTAGGGCTTCCCGCGGCGCTTTTAACGTGCTGTTTGGGCGAGTGCAGTCCTGTTGGTTTGTCTAGAGCCCAGCTAGAGGAGGGAGGAACCCCCCCAAAACCGGAATTATCTTAGGAGGGCGGCGTCCTTGTAGTCCAGGTTCCCTGCTCCCGTCCCCAACCCCAGCCAGGTGAGTGTTCCAGGAAGCCCACTGTATCAGTGTACGAGCTGGCACTGTTGTGAGAGTCTGTTTTGGCTTCAGTAAATTTTTTTTTTGAAAACTCTTTCAACTTATTCGCCCATTTCATGGTGGGTGATTTAGGAGTGCACCTGCCCACACCATTCTTAGTGTTCAGCAGTTGACCAAAAACGGCAGGATCCCTGTGCCCAATCCTCCCTATTCACCTGATCTCACCCCAACGGACTTCTTGTTTGTTTCCCTGGATGAAAAAAGTCCTCAAAAGGAACCATTTTGCCTATGTGGCAGAGGTGAAACAAAAAACAGAACTGCCATCAAAATGGAGTTCAAAAACTGTTTTGAGCAGTGGAAAAAAGTCTCCAAAGGTGTATTGTATCAAATGTAGAGCACTTGGAAGGTGACTTAAGTTTAAACGTGAAAGAATAAATACACAATTTTTTATGAATAAATTCTGGGTGTTTTTAGGCTCCCCTTTGGGCCACAAGTTTTGCCTCTGGGGATAAAGAATTTTAAGCTGTTTGTTAAGAAACAAAAGACTCAGAAAGCGCCTTTGCCCCTCCCCCTTACTACTTAAGAGATTCAGATACAAAAGTCTACTCCAAGAAGGGAATCTTAGGACATTTGCTTTATCCTAATTTGAATTAGCGATGGTAAGTACAGGGCTTCATGCAGGGGCCTATTAACTAGATACCCACTGTGTGCCAATGTTTCTGAGTTACAGTGTAAGAATTTGCCTGCCACGTATTCCACTCTTCCTCAACTACTTGTAAATAGCCCATTCTCACTTCTGATATCTGAGACCCTATCCCTTGCCCCTTTTCTCATTTATCCAAAATGTTACATATACCCAATGTTGCCTCACTGTCCTTGGAATTTTCATGCTTATGTAAACTTCCTATGTGCATGTATTAAAATTTGAGTTTCTCTTGTAAATCTGTTCCTGTTAATTTTATTATTAGCCCAGCTAGAAAAATTTAGAAGATGGGAGTAAAAGTGTATATATACATTATATACAATATATGCAATATAAAGTATTATATATGTAAAATGTGTATATATAGATAAATAGATAGTCCCCACACTATAGTGTACAGCATGGTTAAACCTCAAGGGCTTGGAAAAGGTGTAGCATGGGTCTCCTTGTAATAGGAATTTGTAACAGTTGGGGTGACTTAGATATGGAAAAATGTCAGTGGGCAACATTATACTGGACAGTATATTTAGATAGTGATCATACAACTGTTACGGTAGAAACTCCCAGAAACTCAGTTCTTTTCGCCGATGCAGTAAAGAATTACAGACCAGCAAGTCTATCAGCGCACAAGCAGGTTTTATTGGGGATACATTTTTGGGGAAGAGAAGAGGCCTTGCCAAGGTCGGGGGCGGGGGGAGGGGGGGTGGAAGGCATAGCCTCAGGGTGGCGAAAGTAAGGAGTGGAAAGTGCCCCAGTGGCCAGAGGCTGGGTGGCTTGAGCCTGGGTGGTCAGAGAGCCAAGAGAGTCCTTTTTTTCTGAGGACTTATATAATTGGCAGTGTGGGTAAAGAAGTTACATATTGATTGACAGGTAAAGGTGGTGCCAGTTTTCCCAGGGGGACATGACTACTCAAACTTAGGTATGTGTGGGGATCTGTTAGCCCAAATCCTTATCTTGCTCCAGACCACATTTGTTCATCTTGTTGTAAAACAGGTACGTGACAGGAGGCAGTCAATTAAAGTTGGGGCAGTTACCCCAAGTTATTTATGGGCTCTTTCTGTGAGTATTAGGGGATCCCTGGTAAAACAGAAAGTGACCAGAGGTAGGCAATTAACCAAAGTTGTTTCATGGGCCTCTTCCTTTGGGCACTGCAGACCCTCTCCCACCTTTCAGGCCTTGATGTGAAAACACAGCTTCAAAGGCTTTCTTTTCCAGATAGTGGAAGTTATACGTAGAATTTCAAGGACTGCACTCCTGTGCTATCATGGTGTTTCTTGTGATTCTGGAACACCTGGCAATATTATCTGACCAGGCTCAGGACTGCTGAGTTAGTGGGTGAGGCATGTTTCCCTCCTCCTCCCTGCCTTGGTTTACTATCTACCCTACCTACCACAACTACAAATATTTATCCATTGTCTAAAATATGCATAGCAACATCTTAGGCTCTGTGGGAATACATGGAAGAACAAGGTGAGATATGTGCCCTGAAGGAGCTTAGAACTAGTGGGAAGACAGATAGCCTTCCCCAGAGATAACTAACAACTTAAGACAATATGTACACATTCTTGATTTCAGTGGAGGGAAAGATCAACGTGAAGTGGATATCTGGAGAAAGGAGTAAAAGTGATGTATTCCAGGCTGAAAAGAAAAAAAGGAAAAGCTGTGGTTAAGGAATATTGCACTGGAGACACTAAAAAAGGAGAAAGCCTTAATTTGCAGAGGTGGGGGTAGAACTCGGGATGATGATTGTGGAGGGCAAAAGTTGGGATGCATGTTAACGAGTGGTAAAAGACAAAATAATGTTGATTAGTTAGGAACAGGGCATGTCACTCACTTTAGGTGAGTAGGAAAGAGGAGAAAAATGGATCTCCAACACTGTATCACACAAGACTACTTTAGGAATCCAATGAAACCTGAGTGAAAGTTTCTTTTACTTTTAGGAAGGTCTGCAGTACTTCACAATGAATGCTCATCAAAAGCACACAACAAGGCACAGTGTACTACATAAATGAACACCACAATAACCTTCCTTTTCAAAGTTAGTCTAAAATGAATATAGTGGAGAATACTTTTAAAACTTTAATAAAAGAGCTTATTTCCCCCACAATTAGTTTTCTGAGATCAGAAGAAAATGGAAATCACCTTGTGTTATAGTGTCTTTGAAATGAAAATAAATAAGTATTTTCTGCAATTTTGTAGTGTTTATCTGTGTGGAAGAAGAACGACGAGATTGGGAGTTATGTGGGCCCTAGACACAGGTGGAGTAAGTTGCATGTGAATCCAAATAATAGTTTTATTTCCTTAACAGGTAAAATATTTTATTCCAGTGGTTCCTAGGTGTGATTAAGTGCCAGAATCCTGAAGTTTATGAAAACCACAGATTTCTAGATCCTATGCCAGCCATTATTTTAAAATTCAAACACTGGTTTAAAAGACCCTCCATGTTCAAGCTCCTGGTTGTGTCTTCAAATTCATTTCATGACATTGACAAGAAAAAATTCCTGGGATGTTCTAAGTTAAAATTACAGTGGCTAGAGAATGAGAGGAAGAGAACAGTTAGCCTATTAATAGCTGTGGGCCAGCTCTGGCAAAAGACTTCTTATACTCCTGTATATCTTTTGGAATTTAGGATCAATTTCCAGATGGCTATTTCCATAGTTATCCATTTTTTCCAATTACAATCAACATTAAACATTACTTTTTATTATTTTCAGCTGTACAGCATAGTGGTTAGACATTTATATGATTTATGAAGTGATTCCCCCCATAATTTCAGTACCCACCAGGCAGCATACATAGTTATTACAATATTATTGACTATATTCCCTATATTGTACTTTACCCCTTTGTGACTATTTTATAACTACTAATTTGTACTTCTTAATGCCTTCCCCCTTTTCACCCAGCTCTTGAACCCACTTCCCATCTGGCAACCATCAGTTTGTTCTCTGTATCTATGAATCTCTGTATCTATTTCTGTTTTCTTTATTTATTTTGTTCTTTAGATTCTACATATAAGTGAAATCATATGGTATTTGTCTTTCTCTACTCAGTTCACTTAGCACAGTACCTTATAGGTTCCTCATGTTGTTATAAATGGTAAGATTTCATTCTTTTTTTAAAGTGTAATTTAAAAAATATTTTATCTATCTATTTTTAGACAGGGGAATGGAGGGAGAAATAGAGGGAGAGAAACATCCATGTGTGATTGCCTCTTGCATGCCCATTACTGGGGACCTGGCCTGCAACCCAGGCCTGTGCCCTGACCGGAAATCAAACTGGCGGCCCTCTGGTTCACAGGCTGGCACTCAATCCACTGAGCCACACCAGCCAAGGCAGTTTTCATTCTTTTTAATGACTAATATTTTATTGAATATATGTACCACCCTCTTCTTTATCCAGTCATCTATCAATGGACATTTAGGTTGCTTCCATATCTTGGCTGTTGTGAGTAATACTGCAATGAACATTTGGGTACGTATATCTTTTCAAATTAATATTTTGGATTTCTTCAGATAAATACCCAGAATTGTTGGGTCATAAGACAGTTCTAGTTTTGATTTTTTGAGGATCCTCCATACTGGCTGCACCAATTTGCCACAATTAGCCATTTATTAACCCATGAATTTTCCAGTATGCTGCTCACAGCTAAGCCATAGGAAGAGACACTTCTTTCTGGTGGACTCTGCTGAGCTTATCCCAGAAATAACTGCTTTGTCTTCTCCCATCCCCTTTATCTACAGCTAATGTAAATCCTTTCAGAACAGCTTACATCTTTCTCCCACCTCCCACTTGATGTATAACTTGCAAAACTTTGGGATAATGGACATGTACATTTTTTCCATCCAGCTGTGCTGCTCATGGTTTGGACTTCATGTTGCAAGACTGGTCGTTTTGGATAGCATTTTTGGCTCAATAAAACCTTTCTTAAAAAAAAAAGATTCTCAGCTATGGAAGTTAAAATTTTTAACACCACGTTTCCCTTTGCTCACCCTGATGTAGCTATAAAACTTTGTGTTAAATTTATCAAACACACCAAACTCTAACCCATTAAAATCTGCATTAAAAGTTTTGTTTTCTATCTGGATTGCTTTTCTCTCCCATCTTTGCATCTCTCGTTTCTTTCCAACATTTAGTTTCTACTGGCATGTTATTCCTTCTGATATCCCCTCAAAACAACGCCCGCCTTATTATGTACCTCACCGCCTTATTTGTCTCCTTCACAACACTTACTTACAATCTCTAATTATTCTATTTATTAAATAAATGTTCCCCTCATTAGAATATAAGCTCTAGGAAGGCAGATTAATATCTCTCTTGTTCACTAACACTGCACCTGGTGCATAGTAGTCACTAAATAAATGTTAGAATGAACGACGCATGCTGGGAAGCCAACAGAAAAGCGGCAAAGGAGTTTCAATGTAGCAAGCTAGGAAACAGTTAACAAAGCAATTAAGAAAATAAATGTGCAAAATTTACACCTACAGGTGAGTACAATGAAAATATGTAATGATGTGTGTTGGATTTTACATATTCATGTCTCCTAACTTTTTTTCTGAAAACGGTAACAATGGTAGTATCAAAGCATTATGAGAATAAGTGAAATATATAAGGCTACTAGTCTAGCGTCTGGTGCCAAAAAGAACTTCCAATAATAGTTAACTAACCATACACCCAATACAAAGAGCTTTCGCTTAAGGCTCTTAACACATTGCGAACCGCTCACGGGTTTTCTCGAGTTTCACGAGCCATCTGTTAAGGACATCTAGTCAACACACTGTCTTGTCCACGTCGAATGAAGCGATCTCATTGGTGGAAACCGTGCAGGTCAATCTACAAAAAACTATATAATTGCACGAAGCCATAAAGCATTGCAGTTACATTGTATTTTGGTCATTCGACCCTGGCGTACGTCTTAGAGATTTCTATGCGGTACGCAATGTATTATAATCTACAAAGAGAGACATCTCACCCAAGTGCTCCTCTTGACGCTTTCATTCTTCTTTTAATACCAAACTGTTGACAGTTTCTGTTTTCATCATGATGTTGTGCATCTCCTTACCGTATTATCTGCCAATTCCTTTACTAGAAAGCCATTCGCCTACTAACCACCCGTTCCTTCCTGTACATTTGGCTTTAAACCCCAAGCTTTCTGAGAAGCTTTCCTTGGTATTGACACGATCACCATCTCACAGAATTTATTACATTGTCTTGTATGCTATCTCCGGAACTTGGGCATAATTTTAACGTTTCGTTTATTGTAACAAATTGTAATTTGTAACAAAGTGTACTTTGTTACAATTTGTCTCTCCCACTAGACTGCGAGCTCTAGTCCTTTACAATGAGAAAGAGTACGACTGGAGGCCGAAGCAAGACTTGCGCGACTTGGGCTCCTTAGCAGTGACGTGACTTCAGGTGACTTCTCCCAACCCCCCGTCTGTAAAATGGGAGCGATAATTTAGCTGTTACTAGCAGTCCATAAGATTACAAGAATGACTATTACGGGCTGGCGGACTGAGGCCGGAGGAGGAAATACGTTAGCCAGCGCTGGCCGGTAAGGCGGAACCACGAGTCCAGAGGAGCAGGCGCGTCCCGCTGCGCAGGTGCACGCACGAGGGGGTGGAGTGCTCGCTTCCTGGTCAGCTTGTGTGGTTCCGGGAACCAGCTCTGGCTCTGGACGCCTGCCGTCGCGGAGTTAACGTCATCGCAGTGCGCTGCCACGTCTCCTCAGCTCCGCGGTAATGGAGGCTGAGGATCAGTGCTGACGGCACTGGAGCCTGCCTCTTGCGTTAGCTCTACCCCTGTCTCTGGCACTGACTCACAGTGTAAGGGTCTGGCAACTTGAAGCTTGGGCACCTTTTTTCGTCTCTCTGGGCTGGGCGGTCTTCGGACAAGCAACTGGCTCAACGCGGGGAGGGAGTTCTCTTGCTTGGGGTCCAGTCTGTAAAGCTGCCGCCTCCTCGCAGGGATCCCGCCCCACCGGCCGGGCCTCCTCCATGCGTGAGTTTTACTGAGCTGCCGTGCTGTCCCTGTCAGTCTGTCCAGGCTCTGTTTCGATTATCGCGGTTGCGCGGTGGGGACGGCTTGTCGTCCCCCTTTAGGGACTGGTCTGTTAAAATTTGTAGTCTCTCGCCACCCACCTACCCCCACCCCATAATCTCGTCTCTTCCATTCTAATTTTTCTGCTTCAGGGTTTTCTATCCGTTCGAGTAAGGACCGGCAGCCCCTACCTACATCCAGCGGCTTGAATGCTTTCTCTCACCAGGCATTTGTTAGCCTACAGTCGAAAGCTGTAGGAATGGGGAACATCGATCAGCCTGCAGTACAATTTCGAAAGCCAGGGTTTTTTTTTGTTTGTTCGTTTTTACAGGGTGTCATTCTTCAGTTTTTAAGCTGTATTGTTTAGGAAACAGATTTTGGTATCCATACTGGAGGAGCTGTGATTTTGCCAGATTGATGAAGACAGTTTCTTTTCAGTAAGGGTCTTCATCTGCGACTTATCTTTTAATCCTGCAGTTTCAGTAATTTCTAAGTGATTTTACGTAAGTTTTTCTGGAGTGGTCATCCACGTGAGCTCCTTCCAATGTTTTCACTCAAACATATGGAGATACCACTTGAACAGTTTTACAGAGTTAAAAAGGTCTACTAGTGTACTTCCATTCATCACTGTCAGTCCTGACAACAACCTCGGTAGGAGCGGGAACACTTTTTTTTTCCTCCCCATGATAAAGAAACTCAGAGGTTAATTGCCTCAGTTTAAGTCAGATAATATGTGACACATCTGATCTCAGAACCAGATCCTTTGAAAACAAAACCTAACGTTCTGGCCAGTGCTGATTCGCCTGTATTCCAGGTGATTTACTGTAAAACCTTACATTTGAGTTGGAAGGGTTTATATTAGGTGTTTCTTGTGAACTTCTACCTGATAATAATATCTTTCATGTGCTATGTTTCAACTCACAAAAGACGCAAATTTTGACTTCCCTAATGCTGAACAGGCTTTAGATCAGAACTTAAGCTTCTGACCTGACCCATTAGAGTCTGAGTAGTCATTTCATTAGAATAAAGTAGGTAATAGACACCAACAGCATTTTTGAAATCTGGTTTTACAAGCCCTGCTCACTCAGGTTTTTCTTTTGTTGGTGACATTGCCTATTTTAAAAATAGTTAACTATTAAATAATTAAATTTTAATTATTTAATTTTAATTTATAATTAAATTTTTTTGTTATTGTTCAGAGTTGAAACAGGTTGACAACCATTAACCTGGATTGCAACTACAGGTGGCACTGGAAGCAGACTGGTTCCTGGACATGCCCGGTGGAAGGAGGGGCCCTAGTCGGCAGCAGCTAAGCCGTTCAGCTTTACCTTCTTTACAGACTTTGGTTGGTGGGGGCTGTGGCAATGGAACAGGCCTGAGAAACAGGTAAAGAAGAAGTAAGATTATGTGTAATTTGTAATAGCCTGTGATCAGTAAGACTAACATGGAAGTCAGTCATGCTATTCCAGTATTTCTTTATGAAGATTATTTCTTGACACTGAAGTAGAAATCCTGCCCTGAAAACAGAAAGCTCAGTATTTCAGAATACTTGGGAGGTAGATAGTTGTGATATGGGGGCCCACAAAGTGAAAGCAGTCCAGTCCTTACTAATGGATGATAATCCAGTTTTTAGCCATCACCTTTGTAGCTGTTGAAAGAAAGAAGGAGTGAATTAAAGTACAAGGCAAACGTGATGGTTTAATGACTTGCTAGCCTTTTTTTTTTTTTGAAGGGCAAATTAATTTACAGTTTACATGAGATTCTAAAATCATAAGTCATATTCTATCAAGAGTCTTAAAAATCATTTTCTTCAAAATATTGTTTAAAAATTATAAACTGTCAGCTGTAACCTAAGCATCTTAAGAATTGTGTCATGTTGTATGAGAATAAACTTGATTTTTTTAATGGAAATTTATCTCTGTTTCTAATTTCAAAAGTTAGGAAGAATTCTTATCTAGGATAACACACTTCAGAAGTTTTAATCATGTAGCAATGGAAAGACATAGCTTTTACTTGATCAGGTGTTTGGTCAAGATAATATTTGCCATCTAATTTCTGCTTCTTCCCTGAACACAGTTTTCTCTTACTTTGATTGTAATTTTCAGATTTGGTAATCAGTACTACTGCTGTCTTTTCAGGTCCTCCTCATGTTATTTATATACTTCTTTCTTCCTGGCCTACTCTCTCTCTCTTTCTGACTTTCTAACCCAAGTTCTACTCAGTCTTCCAAATCAGTTCTGATTTTGTTATTTTATTGGGGGTTTCCCTGAAATTCCACTTTGGAGGGATTTTTCTAGTCTCTGATTCTTGTACTAATTTTCAATTGAAATTTTGTTTATGTATGTATACAGCTTGCTTATAATTTATTCCAGAGTATCATTTTTTACTCCGTTCTTTGGATGGTCATACTTTAAATTTTACTTTATTTTTTAAAGATTTTATTTATTTTTAGAGAGAGGAAAACATCGATGTGAGAGAGAAACATCAGTCGGTTACCTCTTGTGTGCCCCCAACTGGGGACCTGGCCCGCAACCCAGGCATGTGCCCTGACGAAATCAAAAGGATATCAAACCGGTGACCTTTTGGTTCACAGGCCAATGTTCAGTCTACTGAACCACACCAGCCAGAGCTGGATTTTCATACTGTAAAAACTGTGATACCCTCTGCATCATAGAGTAATGTTGAAAATAAATGAAATGGTAAATTGCAGTAGTTTTTTAAAACCTTGCTCTGAATTTTCAAAAATTTCTACAAATAACATTTTTAAAAATAAATAAAAATGAAAAGAATGAGAATATGTGAAAATGCTTTTGAAAGAACGTAGTATCTAACATGGATATTGAGGTAAAGGATATTTCCTATTTGAAATACATGCCTTAACTTTACTAATACATACTGTCAACTTAGTCATTCAGTACTTGCAAATTACAGTAGAAAATAGTAACTATGTGTAGCTGGGATTTCAGGTGGGTAAAAAAGGCTAGCTTTGCCTCTATGTTCACTCCAGCTCTTTGTTCATTTTCATCTACTTGTGCTTTGATGATTCCCCTAGATAATTATGTTCTCAAATTGTCCCACAGAATCCTTCCTCAGTGTCTCAGGGGCTGCTGAAGGAGTGCTTAAAAGGAAGAAAGAGACTGTTCTAGCAGTCTGGGCATCAAGTTTCCTAGTTCTTAAACAGACTAACTCTTCCTGTGTGTTTTAGGTATTGGCATACCATGTACCATGTATTTTGGAGAGGAAAAATGAAGTGTTCTGCTTTTTAAAAAAAGCTGAAAACCACATTCCTAGATGATTATGCTTGTACTTAAAGTCTGCAGTGGAGTACTGGGAAGAACTAGGAACATTTGGAAATTACCTCTGCTCTTGGGTGGATTTAGCTATGATCACATATTCTTTTCTCTGCCTTTTTCATAGCTCTTTTGTCCTGGCCTTCAAGGTTCCAGTCATGGTTGCCTTGATCTACCATTTTCCACCCGCTCTCCTCCTCTAACATATATTTCTTTTTTAAAAAATTTGTTTATTTTTAGAGAGGAGGAGGGAGAAAGGGAAACATCAATGTGCAGCTGCATCTCGCATGCCCCCTGCTGGGGACCTGGCCCACAACCCAGGCATGTGCCCTAGACTGGGAATTGAACAGGCAACCCTTTGGTTTGCAGGCCAGCGCTCAATCCACTGAGCCACACCAACTAGGACAACATTTACTTCTTTAGCAATTAACTGGTGCGGCAGGGAGAAAAACGTATTTTTCAACAGATTAGAATAAAGTGAAAGATCATAGTTCATGGTTTGAAAAGTCACTTATTGAGTGATTTATTTTGTGACATTTTTATCTAGATAGGTTATTTTGGGAGAAGATGGTTCTATGTTTATTTTGATGGGAAAGAAGCACCCTAGAATAGGTTATTATATGGGACCTGGGGTAAAGGTATAAAACGTAGGGATAAAAACTACTGGTAGACAGCCTAGAATACAGTTTCAGGAAGGATGTGTACAAAGAAAGACAGGGTCCAGATGGGGAGAATGCTCTTCTGGAGTGTCTGTAGAGTACTGAAGAAATAGATAATTGCTTAAGTATGATACAATGTTGGGTGATATGTTTGATTCTGCAAGACAGGTCAGCTGGAGAAGAGAGCATTTGCCTGTTTGTTAGGTGTTTATGGCCTGGTTGGTGAAGAGAATGTCAAAAAGCCTCGTAGTTTGGTGACATAGGATTAAAATCCACAGTTCCCTGTCCTGTTTTTCACCTATGGGGAACAGGGATTTGTTTTCGGGACAGTGTGCTTAGATGATTACCTTCTAAAGGAGTAGGATATACTGTGAGTTTCTGAATTTCATAGAGACCTTTTAATTGAGGGAGAATCTTATTTGAGGAGTAAGAGTGGGTTTTTCTTTGCTTTGTCCTTGCAGGTACTTTGTTAATAATATTGCCTGAGCATGTCCAAATGACTGCTTTACCCCTTCTTATTCCTCTTTATTCCTTTGAAGCCTCCTTGCTTTATCCATTTGCTTGCTTTGTCCGTTTGCTTAGCTAAATTCTGTTGCTTGCTGGCTCCATAAAAGCCAGTCTCAGACCTGCATTGTTAACTCTTTTCTGCACACAAACTTTGTATGCAAGGACAAAGCAGATGTTCAGCATAAACCACATTGTTAGCACAAATGCTATCAACATAGTGAGCCACTCATTATTTTAGTGAAACTTTTATATCAGTAAGAGGACTGTTTACCAGTCAAGTTCCCCGATGCCAGCTTTGCAAGCAGGCCTTTCTAAGGATGGCTATGCTAAACACCTGCTGTCCTTTTTGGGAGTCTAGAGATATTTGTACTGCTAGGCAAAGAGTCCCTCCATGGCCAGCCCCCAATAAAAACTTTGAGTGCTGACTCTATTAATAAACCTTACTGGGAGACAGCACTGAACACATATTATCACAATTAGTTGCTGACGGTTAAGTGCGTACTGTATGACTCTACCGAGAAAGGACTTCTACTGATTTTGATTTTTACTCTTTTGCTGTAATAAATCCTAGCTGTGAACAAAACTATATGTGGAGTCCTGTGAACCCTCCTAGCAAATCATCAAGCCTGGGCTTAGTCTTGGCGAACTGCAACACAGTTTAAAAGATAATAGTCAGTGTTAGCACTGAGAAGAGTTCTTTAAAGAGAATCTGTTCCAACACTTGTATTATGGACGAAGAAACTGAGGCTCAGGGATATAGTTACATTCTCAAAGACCACAGCTGGTAGTGGAAAATCTGGGATAACTATCCCACATTGGATCTCAGATATTTGTGTCACTTTCCTTTCCTTGAATCTATTTTTATATCCTATTAGGGGAATGATGCTTTTATTTTTTCTAAATAATACCTCTAATTTTCTGCAGTGTGTTGGCCACGTCTGTGTTAGCTCTTGGTTTTTGGGGAAGGAGGGGTTAAAAACTTTGGTCATATCTTCTCTGAAGCTTTCAATTTATTCCTTATTTTGTTTTTCCTACTGATGCTATCTATAACTTTATTTGACCTTTGTCTCTTTGTCTTCTGGCTTGAAGTATTATAGCCAAGGCATGTAGAATATCACAAGTGTGGATCTTTTCTACTTTGTTTTGAATATCTTTCTTGAGGCCCAGCACTTTATTTACTTTGTTAACAGCAGAAGCACACTAGTCTTCACTTGGAAAAAAGAATTCTATAAGAAGCTTTTTAACCTTTAAATCACAACAAATAATTTAGCATGCTTTTCCCCTTTCATGTAGTTTTGACTAAAGAGGAATTCAGATTTTTATTTGTTCTAGAGTAGAGGCTCCTAATCTTGTAACTTCTCTTCAGAATTCTTTATTTCCATATCTTACGATTAGCTGGAGTGAGGGAATAGATTGGCTGCTGGCATTAATCCCCTCCATTCACACTCACCAATTTGTGCAACTCCAGAGGGCACCTTCGTTTTGTGTGAATGATGTCTCCGGGAGTGGTGAGGTGCTGGGGCCCGTCTCCCAGAACACATCAGGCAGCTATGGTGTTACTGATTGGTTTATTATTGTGCAGGTAACGTTGTGAAACCTACTGGCAGATCATCACCTACTCCTTGATAAGCTTGTTTTATTAGAGTATACTCTGATAAATGATAGAATGAAGAAATTTTTATAATTTTTTCCTCACCCTCTCAGCCCCCCCATCCGTGTTCTGCTCTGCTAGCTCTCCCTTGCTTCTCCGCCATGGTACTCTTAACCGTTCAGAATGAGCAGAGTTCATATGCTCACGAGTAACAAAGTACTGCGAATTTCATGTACTGATGCTAGAGTTCTGTATTTAGAACTTTTAGAGTAGAATGGTAATGCTAATGTTGTTCTTTCCCTAGAGTCTTCTTTGAAAATACCCAAATGAACCTTCTTTTCTGTGTTCTGTAAACAGTCGTAGACCCTTAGATCTCTGTAACTATTTCCAGCTATATATATAATGGGAAATTTTATAATTTTAGATAGCCACCTATTTCTCACCTATAAAACAGCTTGGAAGAAAAAACAACAAAGAGATAGGGATTAAAACCTGTTTATTTTCATTCATGTTTTAAGAGAGCTCTCTCTTTTTCATGATCATATTTGTCTGCTATCTTCTCAGCCTGGCAATGTATATTTGCAGTGATCTAGGGAAAGTGTCTCTGTCCTTAAGATCATGGTCTGATACACAATACATAGAGCTATACAATTATATAATAGTATGAAAATGCAATATTAAAGGCATGTGTTACATGCCGGTGAGTCAGCTCCAACTCCTAGTGAGCCTGTGAATCAGTGATGTTCACAATGCCTTGTATTCAACCATGTACTGTAGACTTGTGCCTGTGGCATCTTTTATGGGGTCAGTCCATCTCATCTATGGTCTTCTTTTTTTCCTGCTACCTTCTATTTTCCCAGCATAAAAACATAGTTTTATGTAATGGTGACACAGAGGAGAGATGAATCAGTTTTGATTGAGTAAATCAGAGTAAACTTGATAGAGCACATGCTTGATCATTTTAAAGATCTTGAAGGAATTTGTCAGTAAATGTGTATGTGAGGGGTTAAACGGTGTTTTTGGAGATGAGGCTAGACTGTTAAGTTTCATAGGACATACTAAAATTTTTTTATATTATCCTGTTGGCATTGGAGAGGCACTAAAAGGGTTTATTCAAGAGGGTAACACTTTAGAAAGATCAGAGTTTCATTTTAGAAAGATCTCTGAAGGAAGGTTGGAGGATTTGGTGAAAGTGAAGTTGAATCTATGGGAATTACTGCAGTAGTTTAGATGAAAAACAGTAACTACTTGAACTAAGGCAGTGGGGTTTAGAGAGAAGGGTAGAGTTTGGAAAAAGTTTTATAAAGTGTAATACATAAGATTTAGAGAGTGATTGGGTATGAAAAGGCAGAAGGAAAGTTTTACTGTGACTCCCATTGACTCTGATTTGGGCAGCTAACTGGGTGAGCCATGAACTAGGGTCAGGACTACAGGAGGAGGAACACAGAGGTGTCCGGTAGACAGCTTGATAACATGGGTCTAAAACTTAGCAGTGAGCTCTATGGAGAAAAGTTTTTGTTTTCAGCATATAGGGGATAATGGAAGCCATGATTACATATTATTATAGATCACGGACCGTGGGTGTGTGGAGGGAGAAGACAAGGGCCCAAGATCCTAGAATAGAATTTTGGGGAAGGCCAACAGTTAGAAGGTATGTGGAGAAGGAAGCAGAAGCCCTTTATGCTGTATGACACTGAAGGGTAATCACTATTTGAGCTAACCCTACTTTCTCTTTCAGGAATGGTAGTGCTATTGGCCTTCCGGTTCCACCTATCACAGCCTTAATCACCCCAGGTCCTGTTCGTCATTGCCAAATTCCTGATTTGCCTGTGGATGGGAGTCTGCTTTTTGAATTTCTCTTTTTCATCTACCTGCTTGTTGCACTGTTTATTCAGTACATTAACATCTATAAAACAGTGTGGTGGTACCCTTACAATCATCCTGCTTCTTGTACTTCATTGGTAAGTCTTAATAGGCCTTTAAATTCTTCACATTACTTAGCCAGGAAAGTAGTTAGAAAACGTGTGTGTAGAAATTATTATTCTTAATAATTTTTCTTCTAATAAAATGTTTTTCTGTTAAACCACATTATTTTCAGAAATGTAATGTCATAAGATAGTTAAAATATAAAATACCTGTTTTTGATACATGACTGGAAGAAGTAAACAAATAAAAATGCAGAAAACATTTAAGTAATTTATTATAATAATATGGGAAGGTTTTGATATTTAGCTTTCTCTACACCATGTTATTTATATTTGTTGGAAACTTAAGGAGGCAATATGATTAAATTCTAGGAACTCTACCCTTTAATGGCTGTACTAGGGTAATGGAAGCTTCTATAAAAAAATAAAACCATGATTTGTATAATGTTTCAAATACAAAGCAGTCTGAGGCAGTTGTCCTAGTTGACAGGAGTAGGATACATTTTGTGTGGTCAGTCAAGGGACCCAGACTGATCCTGACGGTGGTCTTCCCAGTGTGTGGCCTTCAAGGTGACTGTGGTCCATCCCTGCCAGCCAGAAAGGGGAAATAGCAAAGAGGGTATAAGGCAGAGTTTTTTTATGGGCCAGGCTCATATTATTTTCACATGTGTCCTGCAAGGGAGGCTGGAAAACAATCCTTCTACTGAATTTGTTGTTACCCTGAATAAAATTGGGTTTCGTTACAAAAATAAAACTGAGACAAGAGCTAGCTGTCTCTGCTAAAGTACATCACAACATTGTAGTTTTTTTCTATTCTTTCTACTCTTTTTCCAGTCATTTAGGAGGGCTGTGATAATCTTGATACAGAGACTATTCTTCATAGAAGAATTCACAAAATAATGACAAGGGTTAGTCAGGTGACTTGACATGTAAGTGGTTGGCACTGGCAGATCAGAATGGGTAAAGGAGATATATATGCTCTGTAAGAAAGAAAGCTATTGTCCTGGGTCGTTTATGTATGTGTCTGTGACTTACAAATGATTAGAAAACCTCCCTGGCCTGGTGAACATAGAAGGGAAATGCGGACCAAAATCTTTAAGATAGTCTGAGAAAGGAATAAACATTTTTTAAGAAAATATATCTGTATCACTTGGTTTTTCCCTGGATTCAGTATTAAGGATTTTCTTTCCATATTGACCAGTATTTGGTGATGACAATTTCATTTTCTTTATTTAAAAATTATGATGATTTGCCCTAGCTAGTGTGGCTCAGTGGATTGAGCACAAGTCTGTGAACCAAATGGTCGCCTGTTCAATTCCCAGTCCAGGGCACATGCCTGGGTTGCAGGCCAGGTCCCCAGCAGGGGGCACGTGAGATGCAGCCACACATTGATGTTTCTCTCCGGCCCTTTCTCCATCCCTTCCCTTCTCTAAAAATAAATAAGTAAAATCTTTTAAAAAAATTGTAATGATTTAGTGCCCAATTATATGCTTTATTTTTAATAGTCTTTTTCCCACCTGAATTATGGGTTAATTATTGAGTGTAGAAACTGTACTTCATCCATCCTTCTTTGGCCATAGAGTTATAAAATGAAGAGTTTGAAGTAGATGATCTTTAAGTCTTATTCCAGTTATGTAGCTCTATAAATAATACTTCACTATCTTAATAGTGACATTAACAAACATTAAAATTTCTACTATGTTCTTTGCAGTATTATTTAATTTACTCTTTTAAAAACAGATAGGTACTACTATATGACTCCCATTTTATAAATGAGTTACATGAAACTTAGAAATTATGAAACTGGCTCAAAATCACATAGTGACACAGTGAACACTCAAATTCTCTTAAACTTAAACTGCTATGTTTAACTTCCTGTATTCTATACTTACTATGTAAGTACATTATACAAGCTTTACTTTGACTGACATCCTATAGAAACTTCTCACTTGTTAAATTTTCAGACTAATTAAAGAGCTTTTCTCCCAGTCACCATTTCTCATGAGTGGTTTGTTTTTTTCTTTAAGTCTCCTACAGATGTTGCCTTGAAACAAAGGGAGCCACTGTTTCTGTCAGTCAGGAAGCTGCTGCTAAGTGCTGACTCCAGAATTATGCTTCCTTTGCTCTGATGCAAACCACCAAAAAATGGGTGCCTTTTACTCGCCCATCTCTCCATTTTACTCAGTTCTGAATTCAAGTTTTATGTGATACCTGTTTGACAGGAACTAAATCAAATCTAGAACTTCTGTTACAACAAAGTCTATAGTTTTCAGCTTTCCAGTCTTTGCAATAGAGACGAAGGCACACTTAAAGGAGGTTATTATGTGGACTGGCTTACTTATCTGCCATACATGATCCTTACTCACACAAAGCTTAAAATTTAATTGTGGAGCTAAGAGTAATATATGTGGAATAGTAAGTAAGATTTCAGCGCATGAATCTGAAAGAGTCCTGAATCAGTGAGCTGTTCAAAGATAAAAGAGCTGCCAGAGACTTAGTTACTTCCTATCACTGAAGGTGTTCAAGCATAGCAGGTGGCAGCCTGACAGAGATTTCTAGAAGAGACTCATACCTCAACTAGTGTCTGTCTCTCCTAGGTTTTGTTCTATTACGCATGTGACACTGAAAAGTTTGTCACATTTATATATTAGGGTTGTTTTTTTTCCATTTCAAGATCTTACTAATTATCAAAAAGAAAGTATGGACACCTAAATATGTAGAGTATCATTCTAGCTATCAAGAAATTAGCTAAATAAGTTCAGTTGCTAAGAAATATAAAAGCTATAAGTAGTATAGTAAATTATTCAGAATAGTCAGGAGTGGGGGGTCTCTGATTAATCAAATATTCTGGTTTATAGGGAGTTAATCATAAGCAGATAACACACTTTCAGTGACTTAGAATATAACAGTTTGCTTAATAATAAGATACATTAGGCACTTAAATCTTTTGATAATAAAAAAATGTCTCAGATGGACTAGTGATGCATAAATAAGACCCCCAGACATTAGCTAAGGAGTCTGTTAAATTTGCTTGCATTATTTTGGAGGAGTGGGGTGAGCAAGGAGCAGTCTCAAAACTAAGAGGGGATAGGTGTTAGAATCCAAAATACTAAGAGCGGGGGAAAAGATGATCTGGGGAATGTACAGTAAGCTGCTCTCTTGACATCCTGGCTGCTCTGCCTTTAAGATGTATCCCAGATCTCTCCACTCCATCTCCATTGCTACTGACCCTGCTCAATCCACAGTCATTTCTCACCTGAATCAAAAGCAATAGCTTCTTAATTTATTTTGCCCCACTATAATGTATTTGCCACACAGCAATCAGTTTGAGCATTTTTAAATACAAGTAAAATCATGGCACCCTTTGCCTGAAATACTTCTATGACTTACCATTAGGGAATATATTCTCAATTTTTTTATTGCACATTTCAGCCTTCTTGCTGATTTCAGATACACCTGGCGTGTATTTTCCTGCCTTAGGGCCTTTATGATTAGTACTCTTTCCCCTGCCTGGGGCTCTCTGCTTGCAGATCTGATCATTGCTGGTGCTCTTTTGTCATTTAGCTCTCACCCGAAATGCCACCTGCTCAGAGATATCCCCCTTAACAACCAATTTAAATGGGCTCTGTACCTCTCTTCCCAGTCATTTTTTAAATTTTAATTTAATTTTTAAATGTTCAATTACAGTTTGTATTTAATATTATTTTAATATTTATAGTACTGGTTTCAGGTGTAAAGCATAGTGGTTAGATAATCCTATACTTTACAGAGTGGTCCCCTGTATATTTCAAGGATCCATCTGGGACCTTACATAATTATTACATTATTGACTATTCCCTGTATTGACTCTGCATCTCCATGATTATTTAGTGACCTCCAATCTGTACTTCTTAATTCCTTCACCTTTTTCACCCACTCCCCCAAGCCTCCTGCCACCAATCATTATTTATCACTGTTATATTTCTTACTAGCAGTTATTAGAAATGCTTTTGCTTCTTTATTGTCATCGTAGCTTGTTTATTGTCATTGCTTTTCTCCCTTAAACAAATTTATTAAAGATACAGGTTTAGGTGCTATAATAGGATGGCTAAAACAGAATAGAAGCTTAATTCTCTTAAATAAAAATTAGGTGATAGGAGGCCAATGTGGCAACTCTTTGTATCTACTATTCTGCCACCCCAGCATGCTTCTTCCAAACCACAGTCCAAGGTAGCTGCTCCAACTCCTGTCGTCACCTTTGGCCATCAGGGAGGAGGAAAGACACAGCTTCTTCCTTTAAGAGTGCAGCTTGGAAGCAGTACACATCACTCTCTCTCACATCCCATAGCCACAAATAGTTTTTTCAAGGGAGGCTGGGAAATGAACCTTTAGTTAGCTAGGAGTTAGTGCACAGTTAAATTCTGCTGTGATGGCAGAAGAGACAACTGGTAATCTCTGCTATCCCCTTATCCTCTCACATGAGTAATAAATAGGATCCAGGAGAGCAGGAGCCTTATCTCTCATTCTTCAGCACTGCATCTTCAATTTCAAGAAGAGTATTTGCCATAGTATGTATGCCCAGTACATATTTACTGAAAGTATTAATTATGAAAGTGAACTTTTTATTCTGGAAGGACAATTGTGGGAACCTACAGACCCTTTGACCATCAAAATGAAAGTATAGCCTGATGCCGTTTGTTGTTAATGACTTTTCATTTTATCACCATTACATACATATTCTTAGAACCAGAAGGAATCGTGTATATAGAATTTAGGAAATACTATCATTTTATAGGAAGAAGAAATTAAATATAAGACATGTTTCTAAATCAAAAAAAGGAGAAGGACTACATGAATGTAATTGATGTATTAGCGTACAGGGAGTTTAGGTTAGTAGATGCCCAATTAGATAACATAAGCTCTTAGATCCAAAGAGACCAACAACAGTAATTCCTTAAAGACTGGGAATTCCAACTGATTCATTAAATTTGACACTCAAACATAAGACATTTTAGATAAATTATTCTTGCCATAATTCTGCAGGTTTTCATTTGGTAACCCGAAGCTATAATCTTTTCCTTTTAATACAGTAAGCTTTAAAAAAAAATAGAGTAATACCTTCCAAATAGTTTAAAATAGTGTTGGAAAAGTTAAAGCAACTTGCCATGGAAAGAGAAGGGGAAGATAGGTGGTCTCTTCAAGATCTCTCAAATTCCCACAGTCTGTGTGATGATGTAAGGAGGATATTTTGAGAATGCAAACCTTTTCATGTAATAGTTCCAACTGGGTACGCATATTTCTTTCTGATGAAGTTCTTCATTTCTCTTACAGAATTTTCATCTCATCGATTACCATCTGGCAGCATTCATCACAGTGATGCTTGCAAGGAGGCTTGTATGGGCCCTCATCTCAGAGGTAACAGCTTATCCACTATATTCTATCACTTGTAGCTAGAGTGAGTTAGTAGAATGGGTTCAGATTGAAAACATGAAATGTCTGAATATAATTTGAATGTAAATACAAATTGATTTCTTCCCTCCCATGTGAGTTGTGTTCTTTTAAAAAGTTTTTCCTACAATATATTTAAAGTTCAAATGTGATATAACTCTAAAGCACTGTTAGAAATCTCGTTTGTCCGGTAGAAGCTCATTTTTAGCTTCCAAGTTCTTTAGTACACTCTTTCTAATTTTAATAGTTACAGTATAAATGAGATGAATTTAGGTAACTATTGATATGAAGGGTTTTATGTAAATAAACAGGTGCAGCTAAAACATTCTTTCAAGTAACATTCACTTGAAATCATTTATATACCGTTTGTGGAGTTGCTAGGAAGAGACATTTGTTTGAGTTAATTAAAACTTGGAATTTTAAAATGACAGCAATCCAAGTTGGCATAAGACTAATCTTGAAGAGTAGAATCTAAGTTTAGTAGTCAGTGGAGGACAGAATTGGGACATTATTAATATGATCTTCCTTAAAATTAAAGCTGTTAATAGAATTGACCACTGTTATCATTTTTACATATATTTATAAAGTCCAGTGAGGGAGGCAGGTAATGTGTTTTCTTAGAATTTTGTTGTCTTGTGCCCTATAAATGATTACAAAAACAAAAAAAAGTGTTAACTTAGCTAAAGTGGCTAATAAATTTTAATCTTCGTGTTTATAATTCAGTGTGAAATTTTAAATAAATAGTTACTGTCATCACAGATAAGCAAGTCAACTTTTTTCTTCCAAAACATACGTGGGAAGTCTTTATGTCTGTAAACTCTAATTTTTGGGAACCCTATTTCTACAAACATGGAATGATTGAGATATTAAATAATAATCTGAAAGCCACTTAAAGTTAACTAGAAAACATTAGTAGTATGATCATCTGTTTTGCACAGTGGGAAACACTGTCTGTAACCTTTTCTCCCAGGCTCTTTATTTAGGTCGTGAAAATACATGCTTACTTTTGGATATATATTGAGAAACTATGTTTTTTCTTTAGAGGAACTCAGTGGAGTTTTTTATGTGTACATCTGTTGAAAGAGGCAGGGAGTGATTTTGTTTTATCTCTTCAGTTACTTAGAAATAGTACTTGTGTGTGTCAAATTAGCATGTCCAGTTAGTGTGTAAACCTTCCATAACTGGGTTTTCTACTTTGGAGCTACAGAGAGTATGACTTGAAGTACTCTGAAATACTCATTTTATTTTACTTTATTTTTTACTAGTGACTTTACAATAGTTTAACAGCTTTTTCATAAGCTTAGTTGGAGAGTATATCAGCTATTTTCTAAGAAAACCTGTAATTCTTACTGAGAACAAAATATTTAAGCTGATTTTAAACAGATTTCTAGTCAAAGATTTAACTTGTACCTTAGTGTCCATTAGAGAAGGAATGTTTAAATAATTATGGTATATCAACATAATGGAATAAATTTGCATGCAGCCAGCCATTAAAAGATGAAAATGTCTTCACTTACTGACCTTTACAATATTAAGTGGAAAAAACAAAGTACAGAACAGTGTTTAAAATAAAGAAGGAACAAAATATATTTCCATATATATCAATAAATTACATCTAAAAGTACATACAAACTAATAATGAGCTGCCTAGTTGGTGGCTGGGAGACAAGACCAGTAGGAGGGAAACTTTACTGCAAACACTGTTAAACGTTTTATATTTTGAGCAATGTGAATATATTACCTATTCAAAAATTTAAGATCTATATAGTGATTCTCTTTCTAAAATATTTAAATTTGATGGATAATACCCATCTTAAACCATCTTTCCTTCCTTCTATTAAAATATGTTTGCCTTTTGTTTTGCTTATATCACAGAAAGGATCCCTACTCTGAGAAAGACCAATCATTTTTAAGGAGAGGCTGGAGGTAATTAATTCAGAAAGCTAAATACTGTTCTGGGCAGACTGCCTCTCCAGCTAGACAGACTCTTGTTATTCACCTCCAGGCCAACTCTACTTCTCTACTTGTTCCACAAAACTAAAAGTTACTATACTGTTCTTTCACCAACCTGAGGCAAATATCTTTTTAAAAAAATCATTTTCCTAAATAGAAAAGTAGTACATTTTATTGAAGAAAACTTGGAAAACACTAAAATATAAAGCAGAACATTTAAAAATGCTACAACATCATTTTTAAGAGAACCGCATTTTGGTATATTTCCTCCTAATCTTTATATACATACAGGGAATATATATATTTGGGGGGTATTACCTGTATATTGCCTGAATATTTGGGATATTATCTGTATGCAGTTTTATATTCCATATTTCTAACTTAACATAGTGTTAGGAATATTTTTCTACTTCTTACCTGGCTTATTCTTTCTTACTCTTTAGATCACAGCTGAAATATCACTTCCTCGGGAAGTCTTTCCTAGGTTAGGGTCTCCTGTTATTTGTGCTCCACAGCAGCCTACTCTTTTCCTGTAGCACTCATCATAGATGTGAAAATAATTATTTGTATAAATCTAAATTTAATATGTGTCTTTTTTTGGTTGGGCAGCCTTACATAGACAGAGGTCTTGGTTACCACTGTGTCCCTAGGACCTGGTATAGTGTATGTCACACAGAGCATACCGGCTAAGAGCTTGGACTCTGAAATAAAGCAAAAATGATAAATACATCCAAGCTCTGCAGCTCTGCTGACATTGGCAAAAGCAGCCTTTTATTTCTAACTCTAAACTTTTGGGAATGGAGGTAATGGAATAATTCCAGGGGATTAATTACCTTCCCTAGGCTTTGAAACATGAGGTACCTTGGAATGAGGGTATGTATCCAGGGAGTTCTATACAACTATTTACCCTGCTGTGGATGAAAACAGCTTGAGCCTTTTCTATAGTTTGAGATGTAAGCAGTTCATCATGATATTAATTCAACTGTTTCTTTACATTTGTGAGTAACTATATAAATAGTACATTATATATGCTATGTAGTATGTTTGGTAAAATAAGAAATGGATATATGGGAAGGACCTGAAGAGATCCTTATGCCCTCCCATATGTTATTGACTCCAGATAATATTTCCCCCTTTCTGGGTTTTGATATTGCTGTTTTAGAGGTTATAGGAATCTACCATTTTTCTCCTGCATTTTGCTCACTCTCTCCTTCCTAGTTCACTTTGAAAGAAAATGGCATTGCAGACGTTCATGTTTAGACAAGTATGTTTTCTTACTCTATTTAATCAGTTTTAAGGATTTGGGATTAAAGAAGAATATTTGAACAGCTGTGATATAAAGAATCAGAAGTGATTATGCATTATTCCCATGTTTGCAAAAATCAAAAATAAACTTATTTATATAGGGATTTGTTGAAGAAGATCTGATTATTTTTTGCAGCTCCAGTAATTTATTCAACATTAATTCAGTAAACAGAATGGGGGAAGGATTCAAAGAACAATTAGAAACTTGCTGCAGTTGAGGCCATTATAATCTAGTCTGGAGTCAGAATAATTAATATCTTTATGTACATAGAAATCACTTGGTGGGTTGTTTAAATACAGGTTACTTGACTTGCAGTTTTTTTCCTTGTGTCTGGTGAGGGAAGTCGTTAGGAATTTTCATGTCATGTAAGCAGCGCAAGTGATTCTGATCAATGTAGTTCATAGACTATGCTATGAGATACCCCGATGCAAACAAATTAGATAATATCATAAGAACTTAAAGGAGGTCTCTCTGAGGCACTATGGAAATACAAGAAGGAAACAACTAACTGCCTGGAGATGTCTGAATCTTTAAGAATGAACAAGATAAGCGGGTGGGGTGGGGTGAGGCAGTTTTTCTACTACCCTCCCTTCCTTTCTCTCTTCCCTCCTTCCTTCCTTTCTCGTCCTCCCTCCCTTTCTTTCTCCTTCCTTCTTGCCTTCCTTCCTTCCCTGACCTCCCCCCTCCCTCCCTCTTTCTCCTTTTCTTTCTCCTCCCTCTCTCCTTTCCTTCCTCTCTCTTTTTGGCACAGTTTAACTTTCACTAAATCTACCAAGTCTTTACTTGAGGCACATTGTTTTTGTATAAGGTCATTTATAAAATGTTCTTTTTGGTGCTTCCAAACTTGTAGGCCACTAAAGCGGGTGCAGCATCTATGATTCACTACATGGTTCTGATATCAGCTCGCTTGGTGCTGCTCACTTTGTGTGGATGGGTGCTTTGTTGGACACTCGTCAATCTCTTCCGAAGCCATTCAGTCCTCAATCTCCTTTTCCTTGGCTACCCGTGAGTATCCAGTTTTCCCATTCTATTAGTAAGTCTTCTAAGAAATTATTTGGGTCATGCTAATGATAGTATTAAAGAGAGGAAAATGAATATAAACCAAGAGTTCAGAAAATTGGAAAAATCAGTGAGTAGAGTGACCCTATATTTTATTTTCTAGGCCCAGGAAAGTAGAGAGGTTTAGCTCTCCTACCACTAGAGAATATATTTTAATTTGCTCTGTTCATCACATAAAGGCCCCTGGTACTGACTGTACTGGCACAAAATGGTGGCTAATGTTAGTTGAAGGAACTGGCTGAGCCAGTTTTACCATTTTGGTCAAGTTACGTTGAACTTCGGGTTCATGTAATAGAAGTATGCCGTAATGAAACCCTATAAACTTTTTGACCAACATTTTATTGTGAAGCAAAATATGTCAGCATATGCATATCGATAATTAGTTTGGTATTTATAGTTTTTTTTGAAGTAGAACTCATATACAATAAAATTCACAAATCTTGTGTACACTTATGAGCTGTAATAAATACCTCTGTAACTCAAACCACTATCCCAATGTAGAACATTACTCCAAAGATTCCTTTACTCCCCCTTCTAATCAGCCCCCACCTGCTGCCTCCCAGAGGCCACCATAGTTTTGATTTCTTTCTCTACCATAGATTAGTTTGCCTGTTCCAGAATTTCATATAAAAGGAACCATACACTATGTACACTCTTGTGTAAGGCGTCTTTTACCCCGCATATTGTTTTTCAGATTTGTCTTTGTGTTTGCATGTGTCAGTAATATTTCGTTATGTGAATGTACCACAGTTTATTTTCCTACTTTTGGGTGCCTGGGTTGTTTCCAGTTTGGGGGCTTTCATTAAAAATGCAACTGTTATGCATATTATTGCACCTCTTTTTTGTAAAGATATGTTTTCATTCTCTTGGGAGAAATAGCTAGGTGTGGCATTGCTAGGCCATAAGTTGGGTTTATGGTTAGTATTATAAGAATCTACCAGACCTTTCCCCAAGGATGTATCATTTCATCCTTCTACCACTTCTGTAAGAGTTCTGGTTGCTCTACATTTTTGCCAACATTGATATTTTCTGTTTTTCTAAATTTAGCCTTTCTAATGGGTGTATAATGGTATCTTCTTATACATATTGGCTTATTAAACTAACTACTTTGCATAGTTTAGCTTATATACATTTGGCTAATACTTCATTGGATTTTAGTAAATAGCAAATATTTATTGAGCTCTCTCTATGTGCTAAGTGCTGGGCTAGATGCTTAGAACATCACCTCATGAATAACCCAGGAGATAGTATATTTAATCTACTCTAACAGCTTCAAAATATTAGTAATTTTAAAAGATTAGAAATTTGCCCTGGCTGGGGTGGCTCAGTAGATTGAGCGCTGGCCCAAGAACTGAGGGGTTGCTGGTTCAGTTCCTGACAGGGGCACATGCCTGGGTTGTGGGCCAGGTGCCTAGCAGGGGCATGCGAGAGGCAAATACACATTGATGTTTCTCTCCCTCCCTTCCCTTCTGTCTAAAAATAAATAAATAAAACCTTCTAAAAAAAAAAAAAGGTTAGAAATTTATTCCTTTCTACTTTACAACATATGTGGAAGTGATCTTAGGTATCGTTGGCAGCTCCATGGTATCTGGACCCTGCTTTCTAAGTCTTTATTAGGGTAGCTGTACCTCAATGAAAAATTCTGTTGCTGTGGAAGCATGGGAGAACAGTGGCTATTGGCAAACCATTATCAGTCGTTGCCACACATAGAGAAAGATTAAAAGATTTAAAAACTTTCCCATGGTCAGACAGTAGTGAGAAAGTCTCAGATCTTTTTGATTCCAGAGCCCTTGTTAAACATTACATACAAGCAGGAGACCCAGACAAAACCCCAGAATTTATTTATAAAAAACTATGTATTTATTCTTACATGTTTAAACTTCAGTTACCTTCAAAGTACCCTCCATTTGATGCAATACACCTATTGTGATTTTTTTTTCCATGGCTCAAAACAGTTCTTTGAACTCATCGATTTTGGTGCCATTTTAGTGCTTCTGCCATTGAGGACTTTTTTCATCCTGGGAAACAAAAAATGTTGTATGGGATGAGATCAGGTGAATAGGGAGGGTGGGGCATGGGGTGAGCATTCATGCCGTTTATTGTCAAAATGTGCTGAACACTCAGTGCATTGTGGGCCAGGGCACTTGTAAGTCAACCATCATGAAATGGGCAAACATCTCAAAAGAGTCTTCAAAAAAAAAAAAATTCACTGAAGCCAAACACAAACTCTGGCAACAATGCCAGCTGGTACACTGATAGAGATGGGTTCTTAAAACACTCACCTAGCAGGGGAAACCTGTACTGCAAGGGTGGCACCCTCCAAAAGAGAATTCCTGGGGCTTTTTAGGGGGTCCCCCCACATACTCTGTATTCAGTAGTTCTCAAAGTGTGGTTCCCAGAACAACAGAATCAGCATCTCCTGACAGTTTGTTAGAAATAGAAATGGTGAAATGGAGGCATAAATAGATACACTTTGCCTCCTCACACAACCAAAAGAAGGACAGCAACAAATTTAAAAACACAAAATAACCAGAACTGCCAAAAAATTGAACTGTATGGAAGTCCAACAACCAAAGAGCTAAAGAAGAAACATTCACCCAGACTGGTAGAAGGGGCGGAGATGGACAGCCGGGGAGGAGAGGACGTGCAGCAAGGCGGTGGCTGGAGGATGGGGTGGTCCCACATTTGCGTGCAAATAAACTGGAGGAACGACTGGGGAGTGAGGCCGACTTTGCAATCTAGGGTTCCAGTGCAGGAAAAGAAAGCCTTCAAAACCTCTGGCTGTAAAAACCTGTGGTGTTGCGGTGGCAGGAGAAACTAGCCTCACAGGAGAGTCTGTTGGAGAGACCCACGGGGTCCTAGAATGTACACAAACCCAGTCACCTGGGACTCAGCACCAGAAGGGCCCAATTTGCTTCTGGGAAGTGGGGGAAGTGACTGAAAGCAGGCGGAGAGCCAAGAAAGCAGCATTGTTCCCTCTTGGACCCCTCCCCAACAGACAACATCACAACTCAGTGACCTGTGTTGCCCCACCCTGGCCAATACCCAAGCCTCTGCCCCTTCCAATGATTTCCAAGGTGCCCTGAGACAAAGAAATATGGCCCAAGTGAAAGAACAGATCAAAGCTCCAGAAGTAGAACTAAGTGACGAAGAGATAGCCAACCTATCAGATGCACAGTTCAAAACAATGGTAATCTGGATGCTCTCTGACTTGGTTGAGTATGGTCGCAAAATGGAGGAAAAGCGAAGGATATGCAAAGTGAATAAAGCAAAAGGTACAGGGAACCAACAGGAAAGGGAAGGAAACCAGGACTCAGATCAATGATTTGGAGCAGAAGGAGGAGATAAACATTCAACCAGAACAGAATGAAGACACAAGAATTCAAAAAAATGAGAGGCTTAGCAACCTCCTGGACAACTTTAAACGTTCCAACATTCGAATCATAGGGGTGCCAGAAGGAGCAGAGGAAGAGCAAGAAATTGAAAATTTCTTTGAAAAAATAATGAAGGAAAACTTCCCCTATCTGGCCAAGGAAATAGACTTCCAGTAAGTCCAGAAAGCTCAGAGAACCCCAAAGAAGTTGGACGCAAGGAAGCACACACCAAGGCACATCATAATTAAGTTACCCAAGATTACAGATAAGGAGAGAATCTTAAAAGCAGCAAGTGAAAAGGAGACAGTTACCTACGAAGGAGTTCCCATAAGGCTATCAGCTGATTTCTGAAAAGAAACCTTACAGGCAAGAAGGGGCTGGAAGGAAGTATTCAAAGTCATTAAAGGCAAGGACCTACATCCCAGATTACTCCATCCTGCAAAGCTCTCATTTAAAATGGAAGGGCAGATAAAGTGCTTCCCAGATAAGGGAAAATTAAAGGAGTTCATCATCACCAAGCCCTTATATGAAATGCTAAAGGGACTTACATAAGAAAAAGAAGATCAAAACTAAGAACAGTAAAATGGGAGAGGGAGGGACAAGAATGGGGGAGAAGGTACAGGGAATAAGCAGCATAAATAGTAGGTACAAAATAGGCAGGGGGAGGTTAAGAATAGTATAGGAAGTGGAGAAGCCAAAGAACTATGTACAACCCATGGACATGAACTAAGGGAAGGGGATACTGGGCGTGGGGTAGTGTAGGGTGGAGGGAAAAAAATGGAACAACCGTAATAGCATAATCAATAAAATATATTTTAAGAAAAGAAATAGAAATGAGAATCTGCCCCAAATCTACTGAAACAAATTCTGGAAAGTAGGGCCAAGCAATTTTTTTTTTTTTTAACTTGCTCTCCAGAGGATTCTGCTGCTTGTTCAAGTTTGAGAATCATTGCTTGATAACATTTATGGGTCAGAAGTATAAGCATGAATTTATATGAGTAGTCACATAGTATAGAATCAAGGCATAATCAGATTTTATGGGACCATCATTGCAATCTACCCCACACCCCAGCCTCATACTCCTACCCCTACCCTTATAAATGCAGTTTGTGTTTCAGTAGTGTTGAACTTACAGCCTTCTCTGGTCTTCACAATTTTGCATATGTGTGAGTTCTTCTGCTTGATACTTCTGAGTTTACCCCTTCCCCCGCTGCTGCTCCAGGGCACATTCACAGTGGATCCCAGAGCTGCCAACCAGTCTCTTACTAATAAGCTCATCCTTTCTCCCTCTATAAAAACCTATGAACAAGTGACATCTGTTAAGTTTTTAATAAAATATATGATATATTTTTATTTGCTATTTTTCATGTCTGAATTTTTGTCAGTAAATTGACCATTTATTTACAATGTCTCGGTTACAATGTAGGAGTTACTTTTAAGGACTTAGGGAAGTATTTAAAATGTTTTTAAGGAACCAGAGTTTCGAGTAACTGTAAGAAGCTATGAAACGTCTCAAAAATATTCAGTCCTTTAACCAAGTTTATATTTATTTATCATAGTTCTGGAATTTTTTTATTAGTCCATCAAATATGTATTGACTGCCCTAGTATGTTTCAACCACTATTCTAGGCATCAAAGACACAGCGGTGAATTAAGAGCAGAGTTAAATCTCTGGTTCATGACATTTACATTGTAGTAAGGGAAGGATAGACCAAGAGGGGAAAACCCAAAATAAAAAATCTAACAAACTTGTAAAATATATGGAGTGGTAAGTATTGTGTAGAAAAATAACCTGGCAAGGGTCACCAGGGTGCCTGTGGGAGTGGAGGGAGGTGACATAGTGGAGAGGCAGAGGAACCCGCCCCGCCCCCCGCCGACTAAGGAAAACTTGACATGAAGAGCAGGCCATTGGACAATTACCAGATGTACACAGAGACCTGTGTAGGGAAGTGCTTATTCCATTAATATTTATGGTAGTGGAAAATTAGAAACAGCCTAAGTTTCCAAAAAGAGAAAAATGGGTAAATTATGGTATATCTATCTGAAGATACATAGTATCTTTTAAAACTGTAACAAAAAGATACTTAGTGACAGAAAATGCTCAACACACCCAAAATTAAAACAGCAGGCTACAAAACAGTTTATATGGTATGAGGCTTAACATACAAAAGAAAAAAATATACAATCTGCGCCTAATTATAAAAATTACAAAAATGATTATTTTTTGGAGATTTATATTTTGTCATTGTGATTTTCTGTAGTCTTTTTATTCATTCTACAATGAATACGTATTGCCTTTGTGGGAAGAAATTATTTAAAGAGCTTCCCAAATCATGAATCTACCATCAGTGAAGTCCCCATTACGTTATGCTCATTCTGGTGAATCATGACTCTTTTAATAAGATAGTTATAAGATCTGTCTTAGGTGGCACCTGTGGTCTCACTTCCATGTTCACCTTTTTCTACAGGTTTGGTGTATATGTTCCCCTCTGCTGTTTCCACCAAGATAGTAGAGCTCATCTTCTTCTCACAGACTACAACTACGTGGTTCAGCACCAGGCGGTAGAGGAAAGTGCCTCAACTGTGGGTGGCTTGGCCAAATCCAAAGACTTCCTCTCCTTATTGCTGGAGTCTCTAAAAGAACAGTTTAATAACTCCACACCCATCCCCACCCACAGCTGCCCTCTATCTCCAGACCTCATTCGAAATGAAGTAGAATGTCTGAAAGCAGATTTCAACCACAGAATCAAGGAAGTTCTCTTCAACTCCCTCTTCAGTGCCTACTATGTTGCATTTCTCCCCCTGTGTTTTGTGAAGGTGAGTGTTTCCTTGCTTTTATGTCCTTCCAGGATTTGTGTGTGAATGACATAAACTGGGTATTTCTTGTTTAATTCCCCCTTTTCTCTGTCTCCCCTTTGGCAGCCTGGATGGTGGAGTTCGGCTGCATCTGGAGTGCACTAATACCGCTCCTGGTTGGCGGATAGGTATTTCCATATATGTGATGCACCCGTGGTGGTCCCCTCTTTTTTTCTTTTCCTTCTTTTCTTTTTTCCCAGTTTCCTGGGAGAATAAAACTTGTATTTATAATAGAATCAGTATTTAGTAGCTTAAAAGAGGACCGAGGTTTCAATAAAATTTAGCCTACTGTGGTTGATCCTAACATGTTATCAGGAGTTTCCTTGATTTTAATCTAACCTTTATCTAAACTTCAATTTACTTCAGTAGAAAAGAAAAATGATCTGGATGTCACTGGGCCCAAAGTCTCTTGGGACATTTTAGTGCCCTTCCTTCACCCATTGAGAAGCACGTCTGCAGCCGGAGTGGTCATTCACAGAGAGCCCTCACTTCTTCTAGAAAGGAAGCACCTAAAACATAATTGCCTCTCCCTCCCAACCCTAACTCATACAGTCAGAAAGTCAGGTTGAAGGATTTGGAGGAGCCTGCTCTTGAACTTTCTGCACGGACAGCAGGACAACCAATGCATGTGTGACTCAGTGTGGCATTTGTCCGCAGGGCATATGTACACGCACCCACCTCTGCCTTCTTGCTCACCAGTGCGTGGATCATTTCTCTCTTCTGATCTCTTCCAGAGTACCCAGTACTATGACATGCGCTGGTCGTGTGAGCACCTCATCATGGTATGGATCAATGCTTTTGTCATGCTTACCACACAACTACTGCCATCCAAATACTGTGATTTGCTACATAAATCAGCTGCTCATCTGGGCAAGTGGCAGAAGCTCGAACATGGGTCCTACAGCAATGCTCCACAACACATGTGAGTAGGCCAGAGGGTAAAGCCATATAACACCTTTCTACATGCTGCTGGTCATGTTTATTTGCTTTGTATGTCATTCTTGTTCTTGGCTTTGAACATTTAATTTTTAGTTTTTACTACATGGATGCTTGTCATCACCCTAAACCGAACACAGGGGACATTAACTCATCTCCACTGCCATCACTAGTGCCTCCTTAAATGCCTCCTACTTTTCAACTCCCAGGTCACTCTGGAGGGCCTAATTTGTTCCCCAAGCTATAATCCTGGAGTTTTCTTTCAGTCTTAACCCTTTGGCCAAATTCAGAGTCATGATATATTTTTAATTCTCTTTAGAAGACTGTAAGATTCATCTGCTCATCTTCATTGCTACAGCTAAATAGTTGCTAGCTAATCCTCTCACACTTAAGCAGCTGGAATTTGCTCCTCCCATTTTTTTTTCTCATAAATGCAAATTTGTTCTAGTAATTTCCCTGCATTTTTAATTGTTTTTTCTTTTCTTTCTAAAACTGCTAATGAATATTTCTCTGCTTTTCCCATATTTAAATGAAAACTGTCCCTGCTTGTTTCTGAGTATTCCTCTCATTGTGTCCCCTTATCAATCATTTCTCTGTCTGGTTCCTATGACCCAAAATGGCTAACGTTAGAACCCTTTTGTCCTCTCACTGCTGAGGCTTAATCATGCCTTTCAGATCTGGACCATCTTCATCTCCCTCCTTTTTATAATTTTTTATAATTTGAACATTTCACAAATTTCATCACCTAGAAATTCTTCCCTAATTAAGCGGGACAGATCGAGGTGACCTTCCCCTCCCTTCTCCCCCTCACAGTCCTCCCTTCAATTATCTGCCTTGATGTCTGATACAGATTAGCACAGGCCTTCAAGATCAGGAACTGAAAGAGATTGGGCCAGGCTGAAAGAAACCCAACTGTGGGCAAAGGACAAATTTCAATAAAAATTGAAAGTACAATCCACAGTACTAGTACTGTACATCTTCAGGCTCCTGATGGCACATGGCCATGAGGTGTATCATCACTTTAATGCTGGTAAGTGTGAGCAAGGCTGACGAAACCTTTTCTGAACTGGGAAAGCTTCAGGGTGCTAGAATTTTTTAACATATCTAAAATGCTGTCCCAGTTCTTCTCTTTAGGAAACTAACTTTTCCAAAATCAGGAAGAGGTGAATTAACTTAGATTTTTTTTTTTAAAGCTTAACCTGAAAATTCCCATTCCCACCCCAACTCCATTACATTGGTGCTGGAAAGAATGAAGCTTATTCCATAACTTCTTTTTCCTAGAGAAACCTCTATAACAATAAACCAAGAAAGCGGTAAAAAGAGAAGTCTGTGTCTGTACATTGTGTGTGTCTGTGTTGTTCCATAGAGCTTCTTGCATATATAAAGTGTTAGAAGTATGTGACAGACTGATTTTCTATATAGCTTTCTGGGTTGTAATTCTGCAGTAAATGTCATGGCAGCTTGACAGCTTGTTAATTTCTCCCCTCCTCTTATAGCTTTCCACTTTCTCTTCTTCATTGTTCCCCCCAGCATTTCCTCCAATAGACTCTGCTCACTTGGGATTGAGATGACAGTCCACTTGCTTACACTTGATTTTCTGGTCATAGATGCCTTTCTTAACACATTTAGTTCTGCTCATTCTAAGCCTCTTAGACCTTTGGCACTGAGTTAACTGTATCACTTTGCAACCTCTCTACTGCATAGCAATGAAACTGTAGTAATAAATCCTTTTTAACTCCTTCCAGTTTGACCATAGAAAACTCTCTTTTCAGAATTCAGGCAGATGAACATGCCTTGAATACTTAATTTCTTCCATTGAAATATAGCTGGTGTTGCCAGACACTATCTTATCTGTAATTGCCAATATGCTAACATTGCATTTCTTTCTCCCTTAGTTGGTCAGAAAATACAATATGGCCTCAAGGGGTGCTGGTGCGACACAGCAGATGCTTATATAGAGCCATGGGGCCTTACAACGTGGCAGTGCCTTCAGATGTATCCCATGCCCGCTTTTATGCAAGTACCACTTATTTCTTTTCAAACATGCACTTAGGGTTAAGTGTTAGAAGGCCATTATGTATAAGCACCTAGCACAGTGCATAGCACATAACGGGAAATTACAATAATACATGGTGATTATTGCTTCTATAATAATGACCTCCGTCCTTTGGAAATGTCTTCGGAAAGGCAGTTTGAAGGTCTAATACCCAGCTTCAACAGCTTGGCTGGTTTCTCTAGTTATATTAGAATTTGTTGAGTGTAGTAGTATTACTTGGTATGATGAGGCAATTATTTAAGACTTTCCCTTTTCATCTTATAATTTTTATTTGTAATAGTTTGCTTTAATGGTATCCTTATTATATGGTATCTGTGTACCCTTAAGCAATATTTAACATAGTAATATAATGCAGTGTTTTGGGGTTGGGGGTTTTTTGTTTTGTTTTGTTTTGTTTTTGTATTTGTGATATGTACCATCCCCTTAAAATACCATGACTTCCTTTTTGAAAGTTAGACAAATGCCATGATCAGCAGCCTTTTACCTTTTCCTGGATTAAAAGGAAAAAGGCTAAAAAGTTAAAAAAGGAAAAAGCAATAGATACCCACTAAACCCAGCTTCTGACCCATTTGAATTTATACCTTGGGTTATGTTGTAGTTGATCTTTGTTTTCCAGAAATTCTGGCTCTGGGGGAAGAAGTATTTACTTATGAGAAAAAGGCTAGGTGATCAGTGGGAGTGGGGGGATGAAGGGGCGTGCAGGGACCATTCTTAATAAAAATGCCCATAGTGCAGTGCATTGCCTTTGAATGGAGATCATAGTGTAAAAGAGAATTGGAGATCTTTTTTTGAGATGCTTGCATTTTTTGTCCCTTCCTGTCATGTTCCTTATGAGGGTACATGGACTTTTGGTTCTGCAGGTGTTTGCTACTACGGGCCTTTCAATTAAAAACTGTGAACTTGCATCAGGGCAGGATGCTTGTAAATACCATGAAGGGGGTGTTGGGGGGGTTGGGAGGAACATGTGGCTGGTAAAAGACCCCTGAATGAGGAAACTTACAAGCATGTCCTTCTAGACTTCTGTGGGGTTGCCTTCAGATGGAGGAGTGGACTTGAGTCATACTGCTTGAGCATTCGGTTTCTATACAGAGTATTTAATTCAGCCAGCTGAATTCCAGAAGTCATTAATTACTTCTGTTGGCCCTTGCTGTCCCCTTGAAACCTACAATAACCAGATGTTTTATTAGCATTTTCTGTTTGACAAATAAGTATCTTACTTGCTAGCACTGGACAGCTGAATAATCAGGTGGAATCCAAAGGAGAAGGATTAGGGAAGTTGACCTGTTACTGACTGTGCATAACCAACCAGGTAAATCAGTACTTCTCAAAGTGGTTTTTGGGCCACTCGCGTATGAGTCACCTGGTACACTCTTTAAAAACTGCAGGGGGCCCCAGGCCCAGATTTCTGAATCAGAATCTCTGAAGGATCCAGGAATTTGCAGCATTTACACATTTAGAAATGATTCTTAGGCACATTGATGTTTGACAACAGTCATTTAATATGTGCCTCTGGCTTATAGCTATTAGAATTTAGAGCCTGTACTTGCCTTTCTACTCATTCAGTTTATAGCTTACTAGTGCATTTAATTATAATTGTTACAATTGCCACACAATCTGAAATTGACCAAGTCCTTTTACAGTAGAATATTAATTCTGAGCCAATTTTATACATAATATTACTAGATGTAATAAAACCCAGGTTAAACATTTTCTTCCTTCTAATGAAAGACCCTGAGAAACTTGCTGACTTTCAGAGCTGTCATGGTAATCTGGCTTTATTCTCAGATTTGAGCCTTGAGTCCCAAACTATTTTTTTAGATGTGATATACTACCATTACCGTAGCTTGCAACCTGTGATCTCTAGGTTTTTACTCATAATACATTTTTACTAGTAAACCAGAATTTAGTCTCTCAGAGTGAAAAATTTTGTTGGTGTGAGAACAGCGAGACCTGCTTTTAGCTAAACTCTGTTTATGACTGATTCTTTTTCTTCCTTATTGTCTTGTCTTTCTGCACTCTACTTTTCAATATCCAGAAAAATGTAACAAAACACCAGAAATATGTGGTGTAGAGGTTTTGAGTCAGTGACCGTGGTGGGTAAAGATAGTTTTAAAGAAAAATTAATAAATTATTGTATTGATATGCCAGCTTATCTTAGACCAGCCCACAAATTCACATTGAATTTTAAATGGTTACATTTTAAATGGTTATGTAAGCACTGACATAATACCCTCAATTTTTGTCTCTTGACTTGCAAAGTCTAAAATATTTCCCATATGGTCCCTTACCCAGTTCCTGTCTTAGATAAATATACTTTTGGTTATCTCAAATAAGATATATACCTAAAATCTAGGAAAAATCTTTGGAGGCAGAGTTCTTATGGATATGATCCCTTTTTTGTATCTCAGGGGCATTGAAATAAAATTTATTTCATTATTCCTTGAGCAAAAAGGAAAAGGTTTGGGTCTTTACTACAAGAAAGAGCTTGGTTGATACTAAATAATCAGGTCTTTTTGTTATTGCATATAGGAACCTGTAAATATGAGATTATTTCAGGGAAAAAGAATAACTGTAGTCTTTACTTCTCTATGAAATAACATTTTGCTTTTTAATTTCCTTACAGTTCCTATTTCATCGTCCATTAAGGCTGTTAAATCTGCTTATCCTCATTGAGGGCAGTGTCGTCTTCTACCAGCTCTATTCCTTACTGCGGTCAGAGAAGTGGAACCACACACTTTCCATGGCTCTCATACTCTTCTGCAACTACTATGTTTTATTTAAGCTCCTCCGGGACAGAATAGTTTTAGGCAGGGCGTACTCCTACCCACTCAACAGTTACGAACTCAAGGCAAACTAAGCTGCCTCTCAAAAATGAGGGAGAACTCAGATAAAAATATTTTCATACGTTTTATTTTTTCTTGCAATTTTTATAAATATTTAAGATATTTTATATTTTGTATACTATTATGTTTTGAAGGGGGGAAGGGTAAGGGATATTAAATGTATCCATAAACAAGGTGATGTGATCTTTCATGTGTTAGTATATTCAAATAATATACAGATGAGAGGTGTGCTTCTCCAGTAAAGAGATTGATTTGTTTGTATGGCTCCAGAATAGCTCATTCATTTATGAACACATCTCATATACCATTTAACATAGTACCTTTGGTGCGTCTCCCTTTCTTTCAGTCCTTGTAGTTACTTTTAGTCCTCGGTTGGCCTTATTGCTACAGAAAGGAAGATCAGTGGAGTTGCTTGGCAGCACCCATTCTCTTTCTCCAGCTGGCTAATAGAATTGGAGTGCCTGGGCGGGGGGAAGAGTAAGCTATATGTAGTCCTAAATGGGATTCTCTTTGTTGCCTACGGGGAGGGAGCATTTCTGAGATAGAAACTCAGTGATCTCTTCTGCCCTATGCCATTTAAAAGTACTTTTGAATAAGCTACTACTCCGAAACCTAAAATATTGCTGTCATTTTCCCTGTTCTTTTATTTATTTTTCCTTTAAAAGTTATCTTTTTATTTTTAGCTGTTTGAAATAGTACTTTTTAAGACAAAGTCTTCAGCATGCCCACACTCATGAAGAAAATGGTGTATAGCCAGATCAGTGGGAAAAGGTGGGTGCAAATGCCATGTAGGCTAGTATGTGGGCAGGTTGCAGATATTGAGTAACTGGATGAATGGGCAAGTCCCCTGTTAAATAGTCATGGATGCAGTTTAGCAGTAGCCCACCCATAGTGGCATATTTGGAGTTACAAGTGGAAGTAAATTATAAGAATTAAAATTCTTAAATTCTATGTCTTCCGATAATTTGGTCTGTGCCCAAAATGTGTTTTTATTTATCTTTTTTAATTTTATTGAATTTTTAGAGGGGAAATGAAAGAGAGAGAAACATACATCTGTTTGCTGCTCCACCCATCTGTGCATTCATTGTACCCGGACTGAGGATCCAACCTGAAACCTTGCTATATCAAAAGAACGCTCTAACCACCTGAGTTACCCGGTTAGGGCCAAAATTCAGAATCTTCGTGTTCGTGAACATTAACCCTTTTCAGTTCTTATTCTTGAGAGGTGATATACTTAGTCAATCGATGTCACTAGTGTAAGTTTCTGAGGCCTTGTCTTGAGGACCTGAGTATATTCTTACATACTGCTGTGCTTGGTTGGCATTACACTGTGAAGGTGGTGAAATTCAATATGACTTAGGAATTAAAAAGACCAATCATGTAATTCATAATTGGATCTGAAAATAATTCTTGCAGAAAAATTCTCAATAGGTTTTTAGTGAAGGCAGCATTATGAGTAGTAGGTGTGTATATAGCTACCTAAGGTGACTGCTATGTTTAAATTAACAATTTTTTTCCTTAAATATTTGGATGCATATACTTTTTTAAAAAAGTTAAACTATTTGGCATTCAGTCTCAGTGTGTTCACCCATTCAAAAAGTCTGTATCGATGCTGGCTTGTGTGGCTGAGTGGACTGAGCCCTGGCCTGCAGACCAAAAGGTTGTCAGTTTGATTCCCAGTCAGGACATATGCCTGTGTTGTGGGCTGGATCTCCAGCTGGAAGTGTGCAAGAGACAACCGATCAATGTATCTCTTGTGCATTGTTGTTTCTCTCCCTCCCATCCTCCCTCCCCTCTCTCAAAAAAAATTTTTTTAACCTCTATTTTGACCACTAGGCATTATATTAGGCCTTGGGGATATGGCTGTGAATAAGAACAATCATAGTTTTCAGTAGGGCGGTAGGGGTGTAAGATTTTGCCATAAATACATTTATAATATAATGTCTCATGGTAGTAGTAAGTGTGGTAAAGAGAAAAATAAATCAGGGCAAGGAAATAGAAAGTGCAAAGAGTGGCATTGCTAGAAGGCATCTTTAAGGAGATGATTTTTAAGCAAAGACCAGTTGAACCATATAAATACTTTTGGGGAGAATTCCATGTTATGTAACAGCAAGGGTGGTGCCCTGAGGTGGGAACAATTTCGTATATTGGGAAAATAGTAAGATAAGCAGCGTATGGGTTTTTGAAAAGTAGTTCAACCTAAATGTGGTTCCTGGGGTAAGGGAGGGTGGGAAAGTTGTCATCTTTATAATCTTTCCTTAGGACCTTCAAGGTATGCTCTTTTTGACTAGCAAACATTTTGATGAGATTATTTAACAGTTAAAACCAAATGGGTGGCCTGGTCACAAAGATGCCTCATCAGAATGGTTAAAAGTTGGATCTTCCATTGAAAAGTAGCTCAGATAACTGATTAGAGGTAATGGACTGACATGATTCCCCCTTCTATTTTGACTTGTCTTGGCCATATCCTAAAAGAGTGTCCGGGGAGAACCAGAGGCCAGGTTGGCCAAACAAATGAGAAAATATAAGAAAAATAAAAATTTTGGCTAATGGAATTGTGAAGTGCTCCCCTCTCCTTCCAGGCATGACAGCATCAGGGAGATAATACCCTTCAGTTAATCATGTTCCTACTCTTTTCAGCTGTCCTTTGTGCCACATTGAGATGGGGAGAGAGAAAAATGACTACTTAACTGTGTATTATGAATCATGTGAAAGAAAGGACACTATCTTTGCTTAGTGATAATAGGAGATACATACCCATTAAAGAAGGGCCTTTTTTCAGTAATTGTTTATATGTAGGGAAATTAAATGGCACGTGGAAAAAAATGGTATAGGAAAAGATCAATTGGGTGGCTTCAGGTGGGTAAATATGTTAGGCATAAGCACAGTGGAAATGTTTCTCAATATTCTATTTACTCTGGTTCCATGTTGTATCCCCTGAGCTGCTTTCCTTCCACTCCCTATCAGTCACCACCACCCCATCCCCAACTTTTATTTACTGTGTACTTATGTGCCAGACACTAGGTGTCAGAGATAGTGATGTTCAGAGTTCATTAACTAATGAAAAAAAGGTCAGTCAGTTAACACAAAGGTGTTCAGTAAAGGAAGTATATGCAAGAGAGGTGAGGTAGAAAAGGGAGCAATGACCTGCTTCCATGGCTTGTTTCCAGCAGTAACAAATGGTGCGTTTGGGAGCGTGTGAGATATATGCCACATAAGTGAGGGAAGTGGGGTTCATGGAGTGGGTACAGTATATACAGAAAGTTGAGGCATGGATTTGCACTGAGTATTTAAATACCTAGTTCAGTAATGCTGGAGAGGTAGGTGAGGAATAGATTACAGAGAGCCTTGAATTCCACTTTAAGGGGTTCAGGTGGATTTTTACTATCTTGTAGGTCACAGGGGTGGTCTTTGGACCCACTAACTGAAAATCCTGAGGGTGAAGCCCAATAATAGGCCCCTTCCACAGGTAATTTCTTAAGCAGACAGGTATGGGCACTTTCGTGGACAGAAGACAGCAAATGAAGATTTTAAGCTGAGGAATAATGGCCCAAAGAGTTCTCGGGTCAAAGATTCTCAAAGAGTAACCTGGACCAGCAGCATCAGCATCATCTAATTGGGAACTCATTAGAAATGGAAAATCTTGAGCTCTTCTCCAAACCTGGAGTTAGAGAGCTCTGGGTGGAGCATGTAAGTCTGTTTTAACACAGCCTCCAGGTGATTTTGAAGAGAATCACTATGTTAGACTTTGGCAACAATATGTAGGGTAGGGTAGGTTTGGAAAACAGGAGGATTCCCGTGAGACAGCAGAGAGACCAGTTAGCCAACCATTTAAAAAGTCCATGCAGGAGAAAGAGGAAGGTGGGTTGTCACCGCTGCATGAGTGATAGGAAAAGCCGTGGGCGTGAGTAAGATAATGTAGGGAAAGTATGTGGAATGAAAGAAGGAAGGGCAGAATTCTGGTGAACAACATTTAGGGGAAGAGGCAGCTTTCAAATGAACCAGACTAAGAAAATGGAAATCCAAGAAGTGAACTAGTTTCAAGAAAAGGAAGGATCAGCAATATCGAACATAAGAGAAAACTGTAGGATTTGGTTGTTAGGTCATTGGTGACTTTAGCAAGAGAAATTTTAATGGAGCAGTAGGAGTGGTGGTCAGGCTGCCGTTGGTCCAGAGTAGAGAATTGGAATAAGTAATGAAGTGGAAAGAAGGTTCTTGGAGCCCCTGGGAAGAGTAATAGCACTTCCTCTGATCTAGAAGGGAGGTTAGGTACACACATGGATAAGGGGAAGTGGCATTAGGAGATAGAAGAAGCATCTGCTAGTGTAAACTTAAAGTGAAGAAAGAAACAATTTGGGGGGTGGGGGTTCCATGTAGGAAGTGATTGGAATATAACCTTTGTGAGTTTTGGGAATAAGGCCACTGGGAATTAAACCATAAATTCCAAAAGGCGCCTTCCTACTATGGTTTTATGATACCTGGTCTCACTCAAAAGGAACAGCGAAAGAGTAGAGAAGATGGGTGGTAAGGGTCCTAGTTCTAGTTTGGACATTTGCCAAGCAGGTATGGCTAAAGGATCAGTGGTCAAGGGAGTTAATGGTCGAGATGAGAATAGTTGAGATGACACACCTTGGGATCTGGAAAGGCTAGGGAAGGGAGTCTGGTGGGGGGTGTTGTCTGTCAGAGGACGGGGAGGGGAGGGGGGGGGGGACCAGGCATGAGTGATCTTGAGCAAGTAAAAGGAAAAAAGGAGCAAGGATAAAAGTTCTGAGAATGGAATATTAGTACAGGACCACAAAGATCTAGGTTATGAAACAATCTCATGTGTGACTGTGGAAGAAATAGCCAAAATTGGAAAAGCTGTTAGCAATTGTGGCAGAGGTGTCAGGTGGATTTTCCTCAGGAACACTGACATCATCCAGAATGAAGGTGAGACAAGAGTTAGGAAACAAGAAGCCTGGTGCTGATCACTTGGACATTGAAACTAGGACATTGATTACAGCGGCCCCAAAGCATGTTAAAAGTTAGAATAGGTTAATGCCATTAGTTTTGGTAAAACATTTTTGTATGAGATGGAAAGACAATGGTGCAGACGTGAGAAACGAGAACATCTCAGCTCTTTGTAGTTGGTGTAGCCTGGGGGAAATGTGCAGCCTTTTGTTCATGGAAGGAAGCGACCTCTGGGGAGTGTGTTACTGAAGTCCAGGAAGTGGAGGCATCATTCAGTGAAGAGACTGTAAGGAGAGCAGGACTCCAGAACACCTGGGGAAGGTTAGGATTGACGGCAACTGTGTGAGGCCAGTTGGGGTGGGAGAAGGCATTCAGGAGAAAGGAGCAGAGGGCAGCATCTGGGAGTGTACAGGAGAAAAAGGCGCTTAGGGCGGGTAGTCCGGGCTGACAGGAGCAGGCCTGGGGAGGTGTAAAGTTGAAACAATATTGTTACCAAAATGTCAGTATTTTTATTCCCTTGGTTATGATCTCTTTCACTGCAAGAATCACTGGCTTGTGAGCCTGGGTTGCATAATTGTTTTCCTAAGTGTCCCATTTCAACATATTTAGCTTTACTTCCCCTTTTTTGGTGATAATATATGCCACGATAACAAACTTTTTGCTTTATCCCCAGACCATCATGAAAATAATCACTCATGAAAATAATCACTCATGAAAGAATAGTACCCTTTGATTGATTCAAGTAATAGAAAAATTGAGTTCACTTCTGTGTAGGTGGACCCAAACTTAATCTCTGAAGCTGTGGAGTTTTGAGAGCAATAGCTGGGTTGGTTTTCTCATTTTTCATTACAACATCCATTGATTTGTACTGGATATCTTGGGTGACACGAAATGTTTGACAATTATTAAGAAGCAAAACAAAAAGAAAAATTTACTAAAGCAAATCATCAGAACTTCTGCTGTGAAAGCAAACCTTGAAGTTTAAAACAAAAACCAAAAAAAACCCGACCTCAAACAGAACCAATTAGAACTATGAGCCTGATGCACATAATACACTTTTCCTGTCTCCCCCCACCCCCCGCCCCCCAAAAACCCCAGAAAATAACAAATGTCTGTAAGGGTATGGAGAAATTGGAACCCTTGTGAATTATTTGTGTGATAATGGTGTAGGTGCAGTGGAAAACAGTATGGAGGTTTCCCAAAAAAATTAAAGACAGAATTATGAAATGATCCAGCAATTACACTTCTGAGTATATATCCAAGAGGATTGAAAGCAAGGTCTCAAATTGGAATTCATAGCAGCACTATTCACAAGAGCCAAGAGGTGGAAAAAACCCAAATGTCCATTGATGGATGAGTGAATAACCAAAATGTGGCATATACATACAATGGGATAATATTTAGCTTTTGAAAAAAGGAATTCTGTGTATCTGGGCTTATTTGTGGCAAAAAACAACAACAAAAACAAATGAGCCTGTGCACATAATACACATTCCTACTATTGATTTTGATGACCCCATGTCCTTCTCCAGTTCATAGCACCATCATAAGCATCATCATTTATATCATTTATTAGAGTACATTTTTAAAAGCACAACAGTCTGTTTTAATTACACGTAAATGTCTCTATGGATAGGTTTAATATTTATACTTTTTTAATAGAAAAACATTTTGACTATATCTTTGGAAACACTCGTCAAGCTCAACGTACAGCTGAAATCATTTGGCTTTTGGCTTTTTAATTAACTCCTTTGAAAAAGTTCTTTACCTTGCAGAATTATAAGCCAGGAAGTACTGCGACATTAAGTTATTGCAAAGCACTGTGATTCATCCAGTAAAATCATGGCTATGTACTTAATAGGTTTCTTATGCTTAGTTACGTCCTCCTTCATCCTCATAGAGAAGTGATCCCTGCCTCGCTCATGAACCTCAAGGCTACAAAATGACCTGTGTGCCAATCAGTCTTTGATGTTCCTTAATTTTATCCTACTGGGCTGACACTGATCTCAGGCAATTACCCTTCTACCATCTCCCAATCCTCTTCATGCTTGGAAAAGTGTTCGCTCCCTCTTCTGGCCTATCTGCTAGAAAAGGTATTGACAAAGAACACATTCTTCGTTATTCCACACTTTGAGCTGAACTTCTGTTGGAAGTGCCCAAAATCAAACTCTCGGCAACACTTAACTCCAAGATTTATACTGTCATCAGCTAGGACAGACTGTGGTAGAATCTGTCTCTAATCAATCCTGGTGGAAATAGGACTGAGTACCCTGAACCTCTCCCATTCCAATCCCAGATAACTGAATTTTATGTTCCCCAGGCCCTCTTCAGGCAGGAAGCCAAGGGCTGTGTAAACAAATGACTGTCCCACCCAGTTTTAGTCAAATGTGATTATCATGTGCTAAACATTAGACATGAAAGTAACAGTTTACCTTGGACCTAAAATTCATAATCAACAGGAGTTAACTCATTTTGTGATGACTGAAGTCTAAAACCACTCTCAAGGAGTATGGGACACTGGTATCACCTTGCACATTTGCAGAGATCCAACAGGACTTCACAACCAAGCCAGTTAAGACCACACAAAAACACAGGTCTATTTATACTTTGTTACTACTCTCTAATTTTTGTAATGATCAAAGCAAAAACCTCTCTCAGCACCTGCATGTCTCTCTAGTACTTTATATTGGATTTGCAGTTGTGTTTAATTTGATCTCAGTCAGTAGGTGACTTGAACACTATTGATAATCCTATTAAAAGATGCTAGTTGCTACATTTTCTCCCTTCTACTTTCATTTGGTAACTTAATGGTTTTAAATCTTGCTCCTGGTTGTTTACAAGCTGTTTCATTTGCTACCATCCCTCTCCCCCTTTTCAGTTAGACTCTTCAAGGATTTAAGTGTTCTAAAGTACCCAGCACAGTAGTATTAACCTCTTGATAAATATTATCTTTTGAGGGGACTTATGTTTACATTTTTAATTTCCCCAGCATCCAGAATTTTGATGTAATCAAAGTTTTGAATTTTAGGCTAACAGTGTCTTAAAGGGGTTTTTGGTCAGGTCTCTTCATATTCCACGTGAAGCAGAGAATAAAAACCAATTCTCTCTAGTCCATTTTGGAAATTAAAAGGTGGCCTGGAAAAACAATTCTGTCAGTAAATATAAGTTATTATCTTAAGCAACCATTAACACTGAAAGAAAACACTTCAGATTTGACCTTTAACATCTGCCATGTCCCATTTGGAGGACTGATAGTTGATTTGACGTTGCCCGGGAAGCTGATTCTGCAGCCAGCCCTCCCTAGGGCACTCTGTAGATCCCCCTGAAAACAGCAGCACCTCTCCCGTCCCTCCCCGGAGAGAATCTGATTCCCAACAAGCCATTCTCATTTCAGTCCCAAGTGGGTGACCAGACAGGTAATCTCAGGGCATTCTGAGGAACAATTTCAGGGGTAATATTTAAGAAGTTTTCTTTGCATTGGAATGGAATTCCCTCAGTGCCAGGCTAGCCCCAGCCCACCGGAAATTTATGACCCTGTTTGTGACAGTCGACAGGCTGGGTGGTAGTCAAAGGAGAAGTGCACACTTCAGCAGCGGGGCACTGACTGAGAAGTGAGTCAGCTTCCAAGGCCTTCTGTACTGACTGGCCAGGAACACTCAGAGTAGCAAATATCTCCAGACAGCTGTCACTGTGTCACATGACGACATCCACACACCCACCATGCTCCTGAAGGTGATGCTGCAAATGAAAGATGTCAGGCTGAGGAACATGGCAGCCATTTAATAAATCAACACGGGTGCCTCAAATGGGGCTCACTTGTTAATATGTAAATAGTGGCTTCTCAGTCTACTCCCAGATAAAAACATTCTGTACATGTTACAAACAAAAATTTAAAATAATCACAAAATAGCTTAAACATTTCATTACTCAGCTCAGAGTTCTGATGGAGAAGCAAAGTTCAGTTCCTTTCCTCTATCACATTCTAACTGGAGCATAGTCCATATCAAAGCATAGACACCACCGTGCACTGAGATGGATATAAAGCCTATCTGCCCACATTTTCTGATAAGGCAGGAATGTACTTTTCAAATCTCCAGAACATGGCCTTTCTCATGTGTCACCACTCTATTTCTTCACTTTGCTTCCCTAGGGGACTATTCTTAGGGGTTGACATCTCATTGGTTTTTGGTCTGAGGTCTTGGTCAGCTAATGAGAATGCAAAGACCCTGACCAAAGGCCTACTGACTGCTCCCCCTGCTCACTCATCTCAGTGCCTCTGAAAGCAGAACTCATCAGCTGGCCTGCCCCTGCCAGTGACATGTACCTCTGTGCTAGACAGTGGCTTAAAAAGTATAGGACAAGGTTTCAAACAGTTTCTAAGGCTTATCAAGGAAGAAGGGACAGAGGAATTTGTATCTGTTGCAAGGCACCAGCTTCCAGTCTCTCACTGGAGGAGGTAATTTTAGTTCATCTCCTGCCCAGCCCAGCACCAGCCTTGGTTGTGAGGTCTGCCCGGAGGTATTGCTGGCTCTTAGAGAAATTTCTGCAATGACTGAGCTTCTGGACAGAGGTCAACCAGACGTGAATCTGAGAGGAGGTGCACAGGGCTAAAAATAGGTCTACTTTTGTTTTTCAAACAAGACAGATGTCTTAGAATGTTAAAGCATTGATACCCTGATAGGTTTTGCCTTGAGAAGGGCTCCTGTGAGGCCCTTTGTGCGGGGAGCACCAAAAATCTGCCAGCAGGTTATTCCTTTCCCCCTCTCCAAATGAAAAGTAAAGAGCCATTTGAAGTTCTAAATAACTGACAAAATCAGATTGGTTTATTGCCTCTGCTTTTATATAGACAGGAGAAGGGCAAGTTTGAGTGCCGGGGGCGGGTGGTGGGTGAAGGGGAGTGTGGAAGGGTACCTCAGATCTGTCCTTCAGCAACGAAGGGAGAGGGAAGAAGGAAGGAGTCCACTGGCTAAGATGAAATACATTTCCAGAAGGGCAGCTGCCAGCCATCGAGTGGTAGGGATGGCCACCCCGCCAGGGCTCTTCCCGCACCCCTCCTGGAGCTCTTCCCTATCTTCTCCTGCACTCCTGTGCCAACCTAGCGTGTAAGGAGAGTGAAGCTGACCTAGAGGTCTTTTCTGCTACTGCCCCACCAGCGGAAACACATTCAGCTTGGAGTGTAGTTCTATGTGTGAGGCTTTCCTCTATGATGAAACCCTATTTTTGGACTGTGATACTGGAATGAAAGCAGATCGCTCCACTTCTGCTTACTTAAATGGAGATCTGGCACATTTCTCTGAGGTAACTGTCAGCTCACCACCCACCCTGTCCAGCTACTGGATTTATAAATCAGAGGTCAGGATAGTGGCCATGGAGTCCCAAATTAATAAAAGCCAGAGCCAGAAAGTCTTCTTAGATTGTGCCAGTCTCAGAGTTTGTTCTTGAGTGTAGATACTGATTTTCTAGAATGGAACATGGAGCCATCTTGGGCAGGTCAGCAGGAATTCCAAGGAAAGAGCAGGAGTAAATCCACCCACTGGGAGATCTAAGTGTATGTTAGTTTACTTTTCCAAATCTCCTTGTATTCTGGATAATACACTTTTACAAAGCTTATCAGAAAACTGGTCTAAAAGAACACATGCTTTAAGGAACGTTAAAAAGCATGAAGTGAAGAGGAGGCTTTCAAACCTCAGTAGCAACACTTTTCAACACAAAGGATCTCTCTTTCCTTTCAAAAGTCATCATCACATCCAGCTCACCACAGCAACAGATAACGGCAATGGGGGAGAAATGTGACACACAGACAAGCCCCGAGTCTCACTGGAGGCAAGCATTTCATTCTCTCCCTTACTGAGTACTGAATAAGTGGTCAGAAGGCTGAAAGAAGAGAAGCCAAAGTAAGCCCAAACTTGGATAACCTGTGCCTGGACTCATGGTAAGTTGGCCCTATAATAAATTTCAGATGAATCATGGCATTTTTTTCAGACACCAGCAGATGAACTGAAGTCATTCTATTTGCCTCCCGCTTCTTCCATCCAGAATCACTGATCTCCGCTGAGGCTGATAAAAACAGCTGGTTGAGGTCTCTAGTCTCTGGCCGTTCTTAGGAATGGTCATTTTATTCCTCAGTGTAACCCCTTCTGGTGTGACCCACGTGTTTTCTGCCAACTCCCCACAAAGAAGGCCAGGAGAAACTGTCTGTGTGGGGCTTCTGATAGGGGACAGCAGGACCTTGGAATCTGTCACTGTGGAAGAAGGTGGATGGTCCATGATGGGGAAAGGAGGACTGAATAAGATTAGGCTCTGAGGTCTTCCTGGCCTTGACCTGTGGAAAGGCTTAGAGCCCCCCGATGGTCGCTCTATTTTTGAAGAAAGAAGGTTGTCCCCAGATGGCTCTGTCTCTGATGTGCGCTTTCGGCACTGCACTACTGCATCCTGAGTGGACAGCAGGTTAGCCAAACCTGGTTCTGGAGAAAGGGTGGGTCCCTCACACATGCGGGATGCAGTGGCATCCACTGGCGAGGACTCCATGGCTCCTGTGTCTTGCTTTGGTTTCCCTTCCTTTGGGCTTTCCAAGGAGGAGAGAGAATCATCTTTGGCAGGTTTCTGAGAGGTCCCACCGGTTGCGTTGGGTTCCTCCTGGCTCTTCTCCAGAGGCTGAGCAACCCCCTCCCCTGGGCTCTGAGAGGGCAGCGGCTGTGGGATCTGTGTGTACTGAATCTTGGGCGGGATGACTGGGACGGCCCTGGCCTGGCACATCTTGACCATGAAGGAGGTTCTCACAGCCGACACGCTGACGGGAGCTGAGTTACGGCGGCCTGTCAGGGCGTGAGCAACAATGCCCAGGTCTTGAGGGTCCTGGGAGTAAACCCTCCAGGGGTCTACTTTACAGTGAGGTGAGGTCATCCACGTGACCTTTGGGTCTTCTGGCTCAGAGACCTGCATTCCAGGTGAACCAAATGAGGCCACATTCTCAAACTGGAAGAGGTCAGTGATGGGAATGGCCGCGTCCAGGTTGAGGGAGGACGGCCTATTTTTCCCTTTTGGGGGCCCACCCTCACTGCTCTTCAGCTGTAACTTTGGGGGATGTTCTCCAGGCGAGATGCTATCCTGAGCACTAGGTGAGCTCTCCTTGCTGCTCTCTGATCTAGGAATACTACCCTGCTCAGTATGAGGGTTGCCGTGTCCCAGGTGTGTCCCCAGGTCCTTTCTCTCTGCTGGGCTGACAGGGCTGGTTTCTGCTGGTTTGGACTGCAAACCGCCTGGTCCCTTCTGGCTGGGAAGAGCCTCTGTCCCTTTCAGGCCAGAGAACTCTTTGAAGGATCTCAGGGCTTTTTCATGCCATCCAGTAAGCTCTCTCCTGGGTGCCAGGGGCTGCAGAGGGTCGGAATGCCTCTCTGCTTCAAGATTCGCACAGCTGCTGGAGGAGGGAGCCTGCAGAGTCCACTGGCTCTTGGCTGTGGTTTTGCTGTCTAGAGAACGGCTCTGACGGAGGCTAGGCCTATGAGAGAGCCTCTTCTCTGGTCGGGGCTCCTGCGGGCCCTGCACCTGGGCCTCTTGCACATTTTTCAGGGTAGGGGAATGAAGGGGACTCGTCACCCATTGGGGCTCCTCCCAGGGCTCCACCATCTCCAGGCCATGCTGGGCAATGTCTGTCACAGCATCATCTTCATCACAATCTGAGGGCTCCTGTACTGAATGGGCTATATCCCCTTCTCCTTGTGGGGAGATCTCAACTTCCTTTGTTGGGTTTGGAAAACCAGGGCCTCTTCCATCAGGAGCAGCACTCTTTGACTTTTGTTTCTCACTTTGTCCTGGAGAGGACTTGTCTCCCTGGCAAAGACTGGGGATCCCAGGACTGCCTTTGGACTTCAGCTGGTCTACGTATGGATTTGTCCTCACATTCTTTGAGGAGTCTTCCCTCTCAGGGCCATCCTTCAATAGCTGGTCTTGAGGTGCTTCCTCCTGAGGAGTTGGAGGGGGTGGAGCAGGTGGGGTCGGAGGAGACAGGTTCCCTGGGCCTCCCATCTCCACCCTTGCTTGTGGAGAAGCTGCCTCAAATGGACCGATTTCCAGAGGGGCCAGGCTGGTGGGATCTGGGCGCTGGCCCTTCTCAGTCCCAGATCGATGGAGGCTGCTGGTTTGCTCTGGTATTTCTCTAGTGGCTGCTGTGGGAATCCCCTGTGTGCTATGATGGGTTGTATCCCTAGTCCACTCCTCCAGAGGGGTGGAGACTGGAGCTGGGGTGGAAACACAAGGCAAGCTCCCAGGAGGCTCTGGGGGAGCAAAAGGCCTTGAACTTGACTCAAGAAGGGGCTGAGTTGGGCTGATCTTTAGAACAGGTGGTGGCAATGAAGACAGCTCCTCCTCAGATTCAATAATTTTTAGCTCCTGTTGAATCTCAGGCCAGATCAGGGTGCTGGACAGATCATCTTCATCCTGAAAAATATCAAGAAACTGATTATTTTTGAGCCGGAGACCCTTGGGGCTGTCACCCTCATGGTGTGCCAGGAGAGTGAAGGGACTAAGCCATGCCAGGCTACGCTACCACACCAAATAAAGGCCACAGCACTAATAATAACTGGATGTTCACTCAGTGCTTACCATGTGCCATAACATACAGGTGGCCCTCCATATCTGGGGTTCCACACCCACACATTCCACCAGCCCCAGATGGGAAATATTGGGCATGGGGAAATGTTACCTTGTTGCTGACATGTATTATGTAGTTAGGCCTATGACCTCTGTATTGAACAAGTACAGATATTTTTCTTGCCATTATTTCCTAAGCAATACAGTATAACAACTATTTACATAGCGTTTACATTGTATTAGATATTATAAGTAATTTAGAGATGATTTTAAAGTACTGGCGGATGGGTAGAGATTACATGTAAGTACTACACCATTTTATATAAGGGACTTGAGCGTACTGGATTTTGGTATCCAAGTGGATCCTGGAACTAATCCCCTCCCCGGGGTTACCAAGGAACAACTGCATATTAATTGTATTTTCTTATTTAATTTTCCCATCAACCCTAAGAGATAACTACTACTATGCTTATTTCTATTTTAGATATGAGGAGCCTTTTGTTCAAACAGATTAAACAATTTTCCTAAATCACACAGGAGCAGACCAGGATCGAAAGCCAGCTGTGTTGACATCGGAACATAAGCATGTAATCCCTGTCCACTGATGCCTTATACTGTGTTTTGCAGTGTATAATGTGCATTTTGTTGCCCAGTTTTTTGAGGGATGCACATTATACATGGGTAGTACTAATTCCGTATCTATATACTATAAAATGAGAGTTTTTTTTTCCTGACTGTTTGGACCAAAAACGTGGCTGTGCATTATATATGGTAAAACAAACAAAAACCTCTGGTCTCTTTTAACCTCAGGTTTACAGAATGGCAGACAAGAATTAGATTCTCTTGGTGGCATGAAAATGTGAACTCTTGCCCTGAAACCTGCTGTGCAAATAAATATAAATAGAGAGAGAGCTCTTTTCCCTTATTATAAAAAAAAAATACATATCTCCTATGGGGGGAAAAAATACTTTGACACATATAAAAGAATACAAAAACAGCAAAATATTATATTCCTACTACCCACAGATAACCACTGTTCACGTGAGGAGGTGCCTCCTTCCCCATCTTGTTTATGGTCCCCATCTCCCCTCAAGTCCAGCTTCTCCTTGTCCGACTCCTGTCGTTTCCTACACAAAGCCCAGGCTGAAGACACAAAAAAGGGAGGCCTGGTCAGCTCCAGCGAAACAAATTTCAGTTCCTTTCAATTCTTGCCTCAAGGCCTAATTCTAATCCACGGAGAAGCATTGGGAGGCATCTCAACCCTGTGGGGGTGCAGGCCTTTCTGAGAAGTCTGACCTGCTGCCAACCTGACATTGCTTCTCACCTGGATCTAATCACATGTAGTTCCATATTACAGTTAATCTGGTGCTTGTTTCATCTTCCCTAAGGACTGTGAGCTCCTAGAGGTAAAGAATTTGTTCCTCTAGGCCAAATGGTGCTTTGTCTACTGTGAACAGTTGCCTAGTACAAGGGTCTGTTGAAATGAAATGGATTCGGTGTTTTCTTTTGAGTTATTTCTTTCAAATAACTCTCTCAGATTGGATTCTTTTGTCAAAAAGCAGAAATATTTTTGAGATTTGATGTATGGTATTGCATTTGTTTGCATATATTTCTACTTCATTTACTAGACTGTGCTCTCCTTCAGGGCAGGAGCAGCCTTTTACTCGTCTCTCTACTCTCCTCAGCACCTACATTAAGTGATCCCTTGCTAAGTTCAATAAATTTAGATTAATAAATGAACATCTAAACTCCCTCCTCACGGTCAGCCATCTCAGTGAGTGAACCATAGTGCATCTTTTCACTCACATAAGAAACCTATGAGGTGTCCTCAACTCTTCCTTCTTCCTCACTCTTTATCCAGTCACTCACCACGGCCTGTTCACACTGCCTTCTAAATAGCTCTGAAAGCCTTCCATTTCCATGCCCAATGCCCCACCCTAATCCAAGCCACCATCTTTCACACTGGCTCTGCACACACGACTAGCCTCCTAACCGGCATCCCTGCCTCCTCTCTACCCTTTCCCACGCCATTCTCCTCCCAGAATAGGCCTTTAAAATATAAGATTCTGAACAAATCAGAAAAGTTTCCATTGCCCTTAGGTTAATCTTCAAATCCCTTCCAAGCAGCCCTGCCTGCCGGGGCCCCTGCTTCCCCAGGCCTTACTTTCTCTGGTCCATGTTTCTGTTCTCTGGCCCTGTTCCCATTCCTTAAATTACTCATGCTCTTTCCTACCTCAGATTCATGGTACATCTTATTCTTCCTTCCTGGAAGTCTTTCTGTTTCTACTAGGTCTTCTACTCCTTTCTTCTTGCTAAGTTCTCAATCTAAATATCTGTTTTCGGAGAAGGCTTCCCTGACCTTGCTGATCCTCCTCCATCTGACTAGGTTGGGTCCTCCTGTTCTATGCTCCCACAAAACTCCATGCTTCCATATCACCCTAGAAATTACTTCTTTGGTAACCTTTCACCTATGAAGGTGTCAGCTCCAAGAAGGCAGGACAGTGACCGTCCGGTACACTGCAGTGCGGTCGGTGCTCAGCAGAGTGTCTGGCACAAGGTAGGTGTCTAATGTAAGATTTTAAATGAATGAATGCATTGGTGCCTCTACTCACTCCAGTGACCCCAGCCTGGTTCTCCCCACTGTGCTAACTCTATCTGTTTCTTAAAGCAATGCCATTCATACTTGTTGCCTCCCAGAATTTAATCACTGTAATAGTCTCTGTGTCTTTCTCCTTCTACAAATGCAAACATGTTTTACAGGGACTCTATTCAGCCGCCTGAGGCCACTCTGGTGTCCCCGTACTGCCCCAACTTGTAGCACACGGACCTTTTGTACATGTACTGGAAACCAAGATCCTGGAAGCAAGTCAAACGAAAAGAGCTGCCTATCCTCCTTGGACACAGGTCACTCCTCCAGGTCACAGGGTGGCCTCCCCAGTGTGGGACTCCATGGAGATCCTTCTCACACCTTCAGCTTATGAGAGGACATCCCCCAAAACCAAGGTTAATCCCACCTCTAAAAAGTGGGAGAGGTTTAGTAAGCTCTGGCATCATGTTTTCACTCCTCCAGAAGCCACAGGAGGAAGGAATAGATTCTGGAAATATTATAGAAGATTTTACAAACATAGACACGGTCCATCCCAGATGTCTAGAAGTAGAGAGCAGGCTCCAAGAAGGGTCATCATCTCCGGGACTGGGATATGATAAGCAGATCTTGTGCTGCTTCTGGGATTGAATGTCATTACAATCTAAGGGCGTATCACCGGCTAATGATGGCTCCAGGTCAGAAATATTTAGAGTTGAGTCTGTCCTAGGGAACCTAACCCCATTACCCTAGGACCTCTGTGAAAGAAAATCCTAGAACTGATGAGCAAGTTGTCTCCTAAAATCCTTCTGGCAGAAACTGGTTCTTAAAAAATTTTTAAAAACAACAACAAAACTTATTTCAGCTGTATGAGGAGCCGTTGGGAAAATGGAGACACTATGGGCCCGACCAGAGAGGGGGTCCGCCTTACCATCTCATGCAGAAACACGGCCTCCGCTCTGGCCCTGGGGCTCTCCGGCAGAGCGCCGGACTCCGCCTGGCCAGGCTCTTGACCCTCCTCCACCACCTTGTCTGAATCTGGGCTCTTTTCCAGTTCATCTGAATGTTGACAGCTCAGGGAGATTTCTGAAGTTTTCTTCTCCTCCCATTGGGCCCCTGGCTCCAGGGAAAGGCCTTTGCTGCATTCTGCTGTCCTCACTGCTTCCAGTCCTGGCCTGGCATCCTCGAGAGCCACCTTCTTCGGTACAGAAGCTGCAATGAGGATGAGAGTCATCAGTTGAAAGAGGCTGATAACTCATTTTAAGAGAGGTCATTCCCAGCTCAGTCACTGACCTGAGCTAGTCCTGCTTCACAGGGATGGAGTGAATTCTCCCAGCTCACTACCCTCTCACATCCTTTACCCTTTCCTCCTAGCATGGCCTGTCCTCAGATCCCAGAGTCACAGAGTATCAGAGATGGAAGGTCTTCCAGCCCAGTGGTTCTCAACTGGAGACCACTGTGCTCCTCCCATCCCCAGGGGACATTTGGCAATGTCTGCAGACATTGTTGGTTGTCACAAATGGGTGGTGGGGGTGGTTACTGGCATCTAGTGGGTAGAAGCCATGGATGTTGCTAAATATTCTACAAAGCACAAGACAGTCCCCCACAAAAAATAATACCCATCCCCAGACGTCAACAGTGCTGAGGTTGAGAAGCCTTGCTTAATCCAATCTTTAACTTCACACATATATCAGTTCAGAGGCTAAGAAGACAAGCTTGTTGCCTAAGGTCACAGAAACCTAGTATTTATACCAGCCTACAAAGATGTATTGTGATTTCTGATTGACAGCTTCTTGACAGGCAGTCTGGCTCAGAGCCCACAGTCTTAACCACTTTACCACATTGTCTTACAAACTCTGTTTAAGCAAATTTAGGTCTGGTTTTTAATCTCTTGAAGTGGAAGAAGTACTTCTCTCCCCTCCTTTACCTGTAGAAGTCTCAGCTCCCAGTGGCTTCTCCTCTTCAGGCCAGCCTCCACTCTCTGACCCCTGGAAAGAAAATTCCTCCAGGCTGGACAGAGACTGCAGCTCCTTTGGGGGTGTCCTGCATGGGGTGCTGTTGGTGCTGATGACAGCTGACACACGGAGGGGCACGGACACAGCAAAGGGCTCTGAGATGTTCAGGGCCTTGCGCTGGTGACGGGGCGAGGGCTCCATTTGGAAGAGGCTGCTGGTGAAGACGGATTTACTGGCACTGTCGTTTGAGGTGTAGAACATACCCAGCATCTTTGGGGCTGTTTGCTCACTCTCAGGATCCTCAACGGGCCGGAACACCTTCAGCTGCTCAGGTGGGAACCGGGCCTGAGCACCCTGGGGTTGACTTCGGTCACTACTCATGTCAAAGCCCCCCTCTGCCCCCGCCGGCATCCCCTCCTGGCCCCAGTCACCCTCCTGCTTGCTGAGGTCACAAGAACTGCCAGTGCTAGTTCCATGCATTTTTGCTGCTGGAATAAAAAATCCACCAGTGGTGACTGTTCGATTGAAAGTTCCTTTGGTTTCTTTCCCTAGTGAAAAAGCAGACAAACACATGGTCAGCAGCCTGGGCACACATGCCCTGCACAGCCTTCCAGCAAGGGAAGGCATGCAACTCTTGAATATCAAAAAGATGCATCATTCTAATAAGGGCATAGCTGCCCTAATAAAGACAGGTTCATAATATTTGGTTGACGAGATAGGAAGCATCTTTTCATGCGCCTGTTCTGTTATGATGCCCTCATAGGGCCATTTACTATTGTGTCATATCTATTTGTTTTCAGCTTTGCAGGCAAATAATTTACCAAAGAGGGTCCCTGCTAAGATGTCTGGACAGAAAGTCATCCTTCAAGCATAACATGTAGATTGTGAAAAACATAAACGGATGGATGAGAGGCGACAGAATAATGTTCGCTCAAAATGAAGAAGACATACAGGGCAAAAGAACGGAATCTTATTTTACTTTAAAACTTATTGTTTTAAACCTCCTCTAGCAGATGGGCCCAAACAGGGGTTTGATTTCCAGGCAAGGAAACAAATGCTGTTAGCTAGACCTTTCTCACTTTTTCCAGGCTTCTGTCTGCTGATTCAGAGGATGGGAAACTAGAAATGTTAGAAAGCCCAGTTGTGAGGCTCGAGTTCCCGACTGACTGAGAAGTGAAGGCAAAGAAGGAAAAAATCTGTATGAGAAATAAATAAGCTGGGAGATAACAAGTGAGTTGCCCGAGATCTGGACATTAATTCCCAATGAGGTACTAAGTGCTCTGCTGGACATGTAACATGGACATTTAAAATTCTCACGACCACCCTGTAGGGGAAGTGTAAGCACCTCTAACAGCTGAGACTGAGACTCGAGAGGTTAGATAATCTGCCCAACGCTCATGAGAGTGCTGATCTGGACTTTGAAATATTAAATTCTGTAAAACTGGGTGGGAACTGCCCCCAGAGGTTTCAAAACCAAAGCAAATGAATATAAAGATGAAGAAGTGATAAAAGTATTGAGTCAGTTTAAAAAGAGTTCACTGAGTATTTTACAAGTTGAGAATTATTTTTAAAAACTGTTCTAAAGATTTTCTGTATTATTCAGGTTCCTTCATTCATCAAAGGGAAAAATGCTCTAAATTAAAGGGGATGGGATGTCATGGGGTAAATATGGGGAGTTTAGTCTACTGCTAGGAATCCCTGTGCTGTATAACTTGTAGCAGTGCTATGAGTTGCTTAGCAGAAAAAGAGGTATAGGCAAGTCAGCCCTGTAAGAACCAAGGTGGTGAGGTGTCACTTTGATGATAGGTGTCACCTTGTTTGCAACTGTGCACACATCTACTCCAGTACGTGATGACCAGCTACATGCCGGGCTGGCACCTATCCATGTTTACTGATGAATAAATGAATGAATCTACCAGCTCAAAATCATGACTTGACAAGTGTGATGAAGCTAATGTCTACGGAAACACACAAATTCAAGACACACAAATATTGAGGCACAAAATTCGGAAGTATATAAACCAGTGCTTGGCTCTTTAAACCTAAAGGAGAAGACTCTTTTCTGCCTTGGTTTTCATGTGTTGCCCCTGTACCTGGTTCAGTTGTGAATGTGAAGCAGCTATTGTCTCTGTCTGTGGTCAGGGGAAGGCTGGAGAAAGAGGATGGCCCTTTAGGCCTCGCCCTGCCTTAGAGTAGGGGGGTTAACGTAAGGGCTACGTAAACCCCCTGAGTACAGAAAGGGCCAGGGAGGGCTTTGGGACTGAGGGATTGTGCGCGACTGTGACTGGGCACGAGCAGCCCAGTTGCTTATGATGGTGAGCCTGGTGTGGCACCTCTGGTCTCCCAGCTGTAATCCCCAGTCCCAAATGCAACTGTAAAATCTCACCTTCCACAGGCACTGAGCACAGCGAGTCCATGCTTTTAGCTGGCCGGATAGTAGCTTTTTCCACTAAAGAAAAAAGAAACAAATATCCCTGTTGAAGTATTCAGAGCAATAGATCAGGCTGTCAGCACACAAGAAAACTGTCTTTAGAAAAGTTTTTCACGTATTTATAATTTTTTCCTTTGGAAACCATCCCGCCACTCCACCCTAGCTGTTCCTACTTTCTGATGGGGACTGACCTTATAAAAGCAGGGCATCTGTAGATCAAAATTTTATTAACGTTATACAGATAAAGACAAATTATAATTTTTTCAAATACTAGCTGTTAGCAAGTGACGAGCCCTGAGCCCAAAGTTATTGCACAAAAAGGATTCAAAGATTCATCTGTGGACTAGAATCCATGGGGCTCCAGGCAGGTCTCCCTCTATGGAAGGCCAGAGAGCAGGATTTTGGCTACAGCTGCGTCTCTCAGCACCAAGGAATTTGGTGCAATAGGTGAAAGGGCCCAGGGGAACTGGCCACTTTTCTCCCATGCGCAGCTCTGCTCCTTGAGATCTCACACAGCCTCACCCTGGAGCAGATACCAACAAAACAACCCTTTTTTTGAGTACCTACTCTGTGCCCAGTGGACTCCATGCATCTTTGTAAGCCCCCTAAGCAGGCTTTTGGGAAAGTGCTGCTTAACTCAGTACAAATTTATTCCAGGCACAGGATTAGGCACTCGTTTTTCAGGGAGCTGAATTAACTGAAAGGTGGTTCCTTCTGGATCAAGCTTGCTAGAAGGGGAAAGGGGGCAGTTTGGAAGCTGAGTTGGAGCCCCAAAATTTGGGGCTTTAAGGCAACTCGAATTCCAACAGATCTTGTTATGAATCTGGACTCTGCCACTTTTTGGGCCCTGTGACTTCAGATAAGCAGCTTATGTTTCCTAACCTTCAGTTATCTCACATGTAAAATGAAAAATAGAGCCTCTGTGAGGATTAAATGAGTAATGCATATAAAATAAGTAGACTGTACTGACCTAGAATAGAGTAAATGCTTAATAAAAAGTAACCATTGTTATTGTTGTTGGTCTTAACCCAAATTGGGCCTTGTCCCCCTTTTAAAGCTTCCCCGTTTTTCCTCCTTGCTCCAAACTCTGCTCCCCTGGAGGCTCTGCATGATCGCTTGGCCTGCTCAGCTCAGGCCCGTCACTGTCCAGAGCCCACTGTGCTGTGGGAAGACACAGCCATCTTCACTCAAACTCTCGATGAACCTCCTTACATCCAATAGGAAGTCAGAATTCTTTTCGTTGGAAGAGCTGCTATTTGCACAGGTTGACAAACTGATGCATTATCCTAACACTGCCTTCTGATGCATGCTTTTCTCTTTGTTTCCAGGAGCCACACTTTTGGTCTTCTGCTGGGTTTCACAGGTCAGCCTTCAGGGCAGTGACCATGTGACCCCAAGTGTCATGGAGGGTGAGTGAGAGTTCTGCCTGCAGGGCCACCAGTGCTCGCCTTGCACATTGGACCATCTCTCTGATGGTGCAGCTCCTTGGGGCCTCGGCGGCCATAGCAGGTGCTTTTGGGAACAGTCACCAAGGATTCCCTGGTCCCTTTTCTGGACAGTAACTAAGCACTCAGGGCTCCTTGGCCCATGACTATATTCAGATTACATTGTTCTATCTAGGATCCTCACTTCATGGAGGTGTATCCACTAGTTTTTGTGGCTTTGGGATTTGCCTGCTTAAAGGAGTTCACTTTGGAGGGTTCCCTGGAATCCTTCTGTTTGACAATACACAAATTCAAGTATACCAGTTTATGCATCTTCATTCAGTCAATACCCCAATTCTTATTATTTTTGTTCCATTCTCCCAATATGGGTGGACATCCCTTTACCTGCTGTTCTCGCACTAAAAACAATTCCCAGTGCTACCACGATGAATCAATTTTTAAAATTTCCTTAGTTGTGGAGTTTTGTTTTAAAAAAGATTAAACATTTATTTAAATATACTCATTTACTGATTAACTTTTTTCACATTCACATTTCAACGAATAGCAAGCCTGCAGGCCAGGTACGCAGGCCACACTGGTGGGTTATGATCATAACTGGTGGAACCCCCCCCCACCGCTCTTTAGTCTCCAGGGTTCCAGTAACGCTCCTGTGGTGAAAAGTGGCCACACAGGCAACAGTCAAGGTCACAGAGAGCCACCTGTATTAACACTGATGGTTTTTCAATTTTACCCCTGCATCCTATCAAAATTCGGCCAGTTTGAGGATCTATCTATGCTTAGTTTGTTTATGAGATAGTAATCCAGCAGTTTTCAGCCCTGGCTGCATATCAGAATCATCTGGGGAACTTTTAAAAAATGATCCATATTCTGACTTCACCACAGACCTCCTGCAGCAAAGCTGTTGTGGGTGTGAACCACTCTGGGGGAGTCGGAGGTCCCGCCTTGCTGAGAAGCCCTGGCCAGTGCTGTGCATTCTGTGAGTTCACCACCATTTTGACCTTAGACTTCTTCCTTTTGGAAACCATGTGGGGGTATACATATTCCTAAGTCAAGATCAGGGCAAATAATTTATTTTATTTTTGCTTGTTGATTTGTTCTGTTGTTTTTGACTTTTCCTTACTTGGTGAACTTCTTTCATTGCACCACTTATTCTTTAACTGAAATTCTCTCTTTGATGTGCTTAAGCAAATCTCTTATTATTAGATAAGGAATTTATTGCCAGGTACTCCTCCCCTTAAATTCTCCTTTGAGAATCCTAGTTTATGATTTGTATCTGATATACCATACCTGTGGCAACCTACTCTCCTCATCTGGACTATTTTTCCAGGGTAGTTTGTGAAAGGCATGTTTCCCCATATGCTGCATATCGTAGATGCCTACCCTGAACCCATTTCCCTTCCCCCTCCTCGAAGAGCCCTTATCCTTCTCAGGTGCATCTGACTGTAAGCCCATTCCTCACGCCAGTGATTGATACAGGAACCCAGGCCCATGCCAGTGAGCACAGGGCACTGGGCACTCCCTTGGCCATAGGGATTGATCTGTGTGACTCTGAATATGACTGAGATGGGAGGAGTGTGATGGGGCTTCTGGGAAAAAAGTGTCCCTGTTTTTAGAATGACCAAGAATGATTTCTTTCTCCTTCTGGACAGTGATAGTCAAAGGTAAAGCCCAGAACTACTACAGCCACTTTGTCACAGCAAAGGAAGCCAGTCTGGGTAGGAAGCTGATGCACAGAAGACGGTACAGCTGAGGAAAACATGGAGATGGAAAGAGAGCTGCCCCTGAAACCTTCCCTACATATGGGTGGCCCTATACATTTCATTGCACAAGCCAATTGAGTTGGGTCTGCTATACCTTGTGACGTCCTTCATTACTCCAAGAGGCAAAAATGAAGATTTTGAACATCTGCTTTATCATCCTTGGCATACAATTATCACTGGGATCGACGAAAGTCCTTAAAAATATTCTCTCTTATTTGTCCTACAGGCATTAATTTTCCACCCAAATCTTTATGATTAAAAATTTCACACATTCAGAAAAGTCGACCTTTAAATCTACCACCTGGTTGGTATAATGGCTGACATTTTGCCATTTGTTTGATCTATTTTTATACCTGTATCTACCTATATACTTATACCTATATTTCACTGAATCATTTGAAAATGAATTTCAATATTGTGACACTTCCTTATATACTTCAACTTCGGCACATGTCTTCTAAGAACCATTAGCATACCATGAAAATTGAGACTTCTAATATTCAATATATTCATTACCCAAATTATCTTTTGTAGCCTTTTTTTTTCAAACTAGGATCCAGTAAAGGTTTGCTCATTGCATTGGGGTACATTTATCTTTTACAATTTGTTTTTGTAACTATTGTTCTCATTTTTTAAAATCACACTTTCAATCTATAACACTAAAGGTCATTAGGACAAATATTTTTGGCCTGCCCTTTCTGACATAATATTCACCCGCATTGGTTATATTCCCCACTGCATAGTGTGTCCCTCAATTCATTCCTGTGTCAATTCCTATTCACTACTCAGATATAATTCCCATCTCTATATAAAAATCATGATTCTGACTATGAGGGAGAAGAAACAGATCTTCCTTATGATACAGTTCAATTAACAAATGTAGAAAGGAATAATGAAAACAGAAAATGACCCTTTGACAAACATCGTAGTAGCAACGGATGTAGGCAAGATCCATGATGGATGCTAAAAATTCATGGATGAAATTATGATGAGAAACAGGATATTTGCATAGTCTCAAACTATCTCCCATAAGACACTTACTAATTGCTGAAAAATAGTAATGTTACAGGGACAAAATCTTGTAGACAGCACTTTAACCAAGTAATCAAAGTTAACACTAGCCGCCATAAGATACTGACATCATCTGCTCCCTGAGATGACACACTGAGACAGGCCCAGCATTCATAACCTCTGTCTAATCATGAGAAAACATGAGACAAACCCAAACTTAGATATGTTCTACAAAACAAATAGCCAGTACTCTTCCGAAGTGTCAAGGTTAGAAAGACTGACAAACAGCTCCAGATTGGAGGAGATTGAGGAGGCGTGACAACCAAATGCAATGTGGGTTCCTGGGCTGGATCCTGGATCAGAAAAAGGATATTAGTGGGACAGTTGGCCAAATATGAGTGAAGTCTATAATTTACTTAATAGTATATTGATATTAATTTTCTGGCTTTGATCATTATATTACAATGATGTAGTATGTTAAAATGGGGGGAAGCTGTATGAAGAGTATACAGGTTCTTTATGTACTACTTTTGCAACTTTTTTTGTAGATCTAAAATTATCTAAAAACACAGAAAGACTCTCTAGTTAATTTATAAGTGTCCCTTTCAGGGCTAGTGAGTTTAATGTGATCAAACCAAAGACTTAAAGAGCAGAATTAGTGGGACAACTATCTCATAAACATAACTGCTGATGATTCTTACCTGAGAGCCTCTGTCCTCTCACAAACACACTCCCATTTCTACTCAGCTTTGATTTGGAGTCTGATCCAGAACGTCCCAGGTTAAATATTGATTTCCACTTCTTTGATTTACTGGAGAGTTTTCTTCTAAAAGAACCAAGCCATTAAGAGGTTAGATTGGTAACTAGTCATTTCAATGGGGCTTTTAAATTGAGAAGGACTACCCTAAACGTATTCTAGTTATGAATGGCTCTGACATTTCAGGAAATTCCTCTCTAAATGCCAAGTTGAGCCTGACTCTCACCGTATCTGCGAAGCCCTAGTTAACCAAGCTAGGCTTTCATGAGTCAGAACAAAGGACTGAATTCCTCAGAGGGAGAGGCAAAGGCATGCCATTAAAGGCAGTGGTGGGGCAAACGAGGCCAGGAATGATGGGAGACTCAGAGGTCACAAGCAACCACAGAGTTCTGGGAATTCTGGTGGTAAGCACTTTAGTCCTGGGTTTTCAAAGGCACCTTTTTTTTTTCTTTATAGGAATAAACACTAAAGACCATAGACCTCTGCACTGTGCTCTCTGCACTGTGGACCACATTGCTGTCACATCTACAAGTGAGAAGAGAGCTAGTGAAGACTTTTGGGGACTGCAAAAGGGGTGGACGAGAAAGGAACTTGGAAAAGAGTCTGGTCTGGGAGAGCGACAGGCTGCTGGGTACGGTCAGTGATGACAGCAGAGAAATGCGCAGGGTAGTTAGTGTGCCTCTCATTTTCCTGATGCCTGGCACCAGGCTGCCTCAGTAGGAGGCGAGGAAATGAGAGTGCTGGACTGAATCCCAGGAGCCTGCCACCACCAGGGGTCACCACAGAGGCTTTGCTCAGCCCTTGCCGGGCCCAGCATTCAGACTTCATCAAGTTCCAGGGCTGAAACCCTGCAGCTTGTGGGTTCCACAAAGAACCTTTTCTCCTCAGTGTTCTCACAGAGCACCCAGATCTCAAGCCCAGCATGTTTTTACCATCAGTCAGAGAGAGATCTGCAGTGCTGGGTGGTTTCTTCGAAGCTGGCCTGGTTTTTTCAAGCCCTTGGCCTTGGGGTAGATTTCACAGGGTGGCATAGACTGGGGTATGGTGCACCTCAGGTGGTGGTGAAGGCACCGAGAAAATGCACTTGATGATCCTTTCAAGGTACGCTTCTTCCTGATCCCTGAGTGGAAGCCTTATTCTCCAGGGATTTAGGAGGAGGAGCAGTGGGGCTCTGTCTTGAGAGAGCACCATCTATGCACTCCAGGAAGTGGAGGGGTTCTCGCCAGGTCAGTTCTAGGTGTTCCATACCCATAACATGCAGTGTGACAGGCGCCCTCTACAGTTGTGCAATGTGTAGAGCTCCTTTCCCCTCCCCAAAGGGAAACAGTCTTGCCATCTTGGGGGAGACACTGACAAGAGGTCTGAGGTGTCTGTTTTCATTTTGACCAAAGAGTGAGGATGACACTTGCCAACGAAAAGAATGCCTTTCAGCCCCTCTGCCTATTGTCTGCCTAGAATTTATGACTCCTGCTGCAATTGCTGCCTCCTTTGTACAGTGGAGTGTGAAGGGAGCAGAGGGATGTGTTGAGACCAGGGCTGCAACAGAGGAAGTGAGAAGGAGGCACAAGGAAAGAAAATATTCTATGATTTAAAATGATGTTCGGTGTGTTTCTGGAGGACAGGGAGGGCTCTGGCAGGTATGAGACGGGGAATGGAAGCCAGAGATTTCATCTCCACGTCCTGCACATCCAGACCTCCCCGTCTAGGATGGCCCTATTTGTCACCGTGTTCTCCATTCATCTCTCTATCTTTTGTAAAGTTTTGTGGAGGTGAAGGGTGGGGAAAGGGAATCAAGTTTTGGTTGTTTCGTTCTTTTTGTTTTGTTTTTTAGCAAACTTCTTTTTGAAAATGTCAAGTGTGTTTTGTCTAAACTAAGGAGTAAGGGGCTTTATTCATGACTTTTGATACCTCTGAGCCCCACCTCCATCACGGAACCAGGGGTCCCTGGCGGGCGTCAGGTCTTGAAAACTTTAGGGCAGTGAGTGAAGGCACCAACCACTGGTGAGAGAGAGTTTTAGAGACGGCTCCTTTCTCTTCTTCTCTCCTTACACCCCAACCCAGACTGCACCCCAACCCATGCTGTCATCATGGCCCTGAAACTATGTTTCTTCCTCCTCTGTCCCCTTCCACCCAGTCATCTCCCAGAATTGCAAATAATGCCACTTACTTGTTGTCTGGTAACTCGAGGACAGTGTGGAAGAGGGTGCCCATGGGAGGGACAATCTCAGGCAGGCTATTCTCCCTCCTTTCCTTTCGAGCAGGATGGTTAGTAGCCAAGCTCCGGGCCTGAGCTTCTTCCAGGCTCACCAACTTCATGGGCAGGGAGAGGGCTGGCAAGGTCAGGCTCTTCATGATGGGCCGGTTTTCTGTACAGAGAAGAGAAGAGCTCACAGACTCCTGGGGAGGAGGCCTGTGCACTGATCCGCCCAGATTCCCCATCCCCAGCCCCTCCCTCCCTAACCTCCTGACAGGGCACTCCTCTTGTCCTGTCTGGTGGGATCTGGGGTAGAGTCTGCGTACAGGAGGAAACTGACAACCCGCCATCCTAGACTAGCCAGAGGGCACACAGGGCCATCAGGAGGTAACCTGCACTAACTGTATTTTTCAAAGAGGGACCATTCATTCATTCATTCACTCATATGGCAAACACGTATTAAGCGCTTACTGTGGGCCAGAGTAACAGCAGTGGGCCTTTGACCCTGGGAACTGCTCAGTGCTTTGGCCAGGTGGGAAGCAGCCTCACTCAGCTAGGGAAAGGCAGGTGATTGCCCCTTCTCTCCGCAGCTGGAAGGCAGGGGTTCCAAGGCAATTTGAGGCTGGAGCCTATACTTTCCCTAGATCACCTAGGCTTATACCTCTCCACGAAAAAAAAAATGCATTTTTTGCTTATACTATCCTATAAAGATAAGAGGCTATTTACTCACTAACCAATTGTCTCCTAGTATATGTAAGCTAATCCTTTCCTTCTATGGATTTTTGGGGTTTTTTTTTGTTTTTTTTTTTAAAATAGAAGTGATGACAGATCAGTGGAGTCCAGGGTTATCTCTTTTCTCCAAGTCAGTGGTTCTCAACTTGGGGCAATTTCTCACCCCTTCCCTCTAAGTCAGGGGTGTGAGGCAATGTCTGGAGGCATTTTTGGTTATCACATGTACATGCAGGAGTGAACTGGCGCTAGTGGATACAGGCCAAGGATGCCACTAAACATCCTACATTGCATAGGACAGTGCCCCACAACAAGAACTAACCAACACTAAATGTCAACAGGGCTGACGTTCAGAAAACCTGATCTAAGTTTAAGAAAAAAAAAGTCTAAGTCTGCCTCTATTTAGTCTTTCGGCAACCTTGCCAGTTTTCTGTAACTTTGGAAGGTGTAAAGAGATTCAAAGATAACTTGGACCAACTGAGCCTAAGAAATAATTTTTTGTATAGGACTTGACTAGTTTTCAGAAAGCACTTTGACAGAACTATTTTTCTTTGCAGAGCATGACCCTCTCTGGGTGGAAAAAAATAAAACCACTGAAAAAAAGTTCTTATAGAAAATGGAGACAGAAAGTGATCCTGTGATGTTTCCAGGGAGGGTAGCAGGGCGGCCATTCAGTCAATTAAGTGACCTAGTGATCCTAAAAACTTGTCAGTAATGTGCTCTGGCTACTGTGGCTCAGTAGATTGAGTGCCAGCTTGTGAACCAAGGGGTCCCTGGTTCAAGTCTCAGTCAGGGCACATGACTGGGTTGTGGGCCAGGTCCACAGTAGGGGGCGCACAAGAGGCAACCACAAATTGATGTTTCTCTCCCTCTCTTTTTTCCTCCCTTCCCCTCTAAAAATAAATGAATACAATCTTAAATAAAAACAAAACTTCTCAGTAATGTTTTTGACTTTAACTCGCTTTTCCTACTTAATCCAAAAGAGATTAAATGTTTAAATTTAATTTACTCTCAATATTTGTTTATACATTCTAGATTATTTAGTTACTTCATTATTTATTTACTTAAAAAAATTAAATCACTGTGGGAGCAACTGGAACAGTGGAAGAACATACACAGCAGGGTCAGGAGACCTTGGTTTAGCACCTACCTCTCTCCCTACTTCTGGGTTCCAGTATCCTAAGTCCTACTCATCATCTCTGCTTAGACATTTAATAGATATCTCTAACTTTACATTGCATTATGGAGTTTGTGATTTCTGCTCCTCACCTCTGGATCAGTACCTCCTCCCATCTTCTCCAAATTGGCAAATGGCACCATGGATCATCCCGTTGTATACCACAAAACTGGTAGTAGTTATTTTCCATTCATTCCTTTCTTTGATGCACCCTCTTCTCCCACATCCAGCCTATAATAAAGTCCTGTAACTCAACCTCCGATATATATCCTGAACCCAGCCACTTTCCTCCGTTCCCGTTAACATGCTAATCCAGGCCACCATGATTTCCCTCCTGATTTCTGCCATAGCCCCTGAACTGGTCTCCCTGCTTCCAGCCTTGTTGCCTGTCAGTCCCTCCTTCACACGGCAGCCACAATGCTCAGATCCTCAGATCACTCCCTGCTCAAAAGCCTCCAATGCTTTCCACAGCACTAGAAACAGACCAAACTCTTAGCACAACTTACTTCCATTTGCTTCCCCTCTCCTCTTTGCCCACTGACGAGTGGTCCACAAAGACACAGAGTAAAATTTTTGAATGTATACTCCCATTATATATATGCACGTATTTATAAATTATACATATTTACCAATGTATTAATATTAATAGAAAGCATTAAAAAATCACGGAAGTTACAAAGTATACAATAGAAACAAGTGAAAAAAGAAATCGTAATAGTTTTTGCTAACACCCATACTTCAGAACTTTAGTCTCCGGTGCACCATGAGTGGAACATCCCACTTGGGAGACCACATTGGCTTTCGCCACACTGTCCAACTTTCTGCAACTCTGTGTGCCCCATTCCACCTCAGAGCTTTGACGCTCCCTGTTCTCTGTGTGTGGAACATTCTCACATGACTGGTTCCTTTAGTCATTCAGGTTTCAGTTCAAAGATCACTTTCTCACAGACCATTACCACTCTGTATCAAATAACACTCCCAAGTCACTGAGCATTCCATTACCCTGCTGTCTGTTCTTCATGGCATTTATGGTCTTTGAAGTGATAATGTATTTATTTGTAAACTTATTTATTGCCAGTCCTCCTAGCCAGACCATAGCTTTCTATGCAGGGCAGTCTTTGCTGTTTGGGTAATGACATTGTCCTCAGTTTCTAAAGCAGTGCCTGGCACATAAGAGGTGCTCAAGACATACTTATGTTTTAATGAATCTCGCTGCTCTCATTTATCAGTTAAAGGTGTTGGACTCTATGGCTTATATAATCTTTCCAGTTTGAAATAGAACCCTATTTCCAAATCTAGAATTCCAGAGGATATGACTTATTCCATTTTGTATATATATTAACTATGTTATCTTACCAGACTCAATGCAAATTCATCTTAAGAACATTTAGACTTTTGGCTGAGATGGAGGCATAGGTAGATATACTTTGCCTCCTTGCACAACCAAAAGAAGGACAACAAATTTAAAAACAAAAAATAACCAGAACTGCCAGAAAATCAAACTGTATGGAAGTCTGACAACCAAGGAGTTAAAGAAGAAACAGTCATCCAGACGGTGCCACAATGCAGTGACATGGGTTGTAAATACCTAAGGCTCTGCCCCTTGCAGGCCTGCTGAGACAAAGAAATATGGCCCAAATGAAAGAACGGATCGAAGCTCCAAACACAGAACTAAGCGATGAACAGATAGCCACTCTATCAGATGCACAGTTCAAAACAATGGTAATCTAGATGCTCTCTGAATTGGTTGAGTATGGTCACAAAATGGGGGAAAAAGTGAAAGCTATGCCAAGTGAAATAAAGCAAAAGGTACAGGGAACCAACAGGGAAGGGAAGGAAACCAGGACTCAAATAAATGATTTGGAGCAGAAGGAAGAGATAAACATTCAACCAGAACAGAATGAAGACACAAGAATTCAAAAAAATGAGGGGAGGCTTAGGAACCTCCGGGACAACTTTAAACATTCCAACATTCAGATCATAGGGTTGCCAGAAGGAGAAGAGGAAGAGCAAGAAATTGAACACTTTTTTTGAAAAAATAACAGAGAACTTCCCCTAGCTGGCCAAAGAAATAGACTTCCAGGAAGTCCAGAGAGTTCGGAGAGTCCCAAAGAAGTTGGACCCAAGGAAGCACACACCAAAGCACATTGTAATTACATTACCCATGATTAAAGGTAAGGAGAGAATCTTAAAAGCAGCAAGAGAAAAGGAGAGAGTAACCTACAAAGGAGTTCCTGTAAGACTATCAGCTGATTTCTCAAAAGAAACCTTGCAGGCAAAAAGGAGCTGGCAAGAAGTATTCAGTCATGAAAGACAAAGATATACATCCAAGATTACTCTATCCTGCAAAGCTCTCATTTAGAATGGAAGGGCAGATAAAGTGCTTCCCAGATAAGGTCAAGTTAAAGGAGTTCATCATCACCCAGTCCTTATTATATGAAATGTTAAAGGGACTTCTCTAAGAAAAGATGATCAAAAACTATGAACAGTAAAACGACAACACACTCACAACTATCAACAACTGAACTTAAAAAAAAGCAAAAACAAAATAAGCAAACAATTGGAAAAGGAACAGAATCACAGAAATGGAGATCACATGAGGGTTATCGGCAGCAAGTGGGAGGCGGGGAAATGGGGGAAAAGGTACAGGGAATAAGAAGCATAAATGGTAGGTGCAAAATAGACAGGGGGAGGTTAAGAACAGCATAGGAACTGGAGAAGCCAAAGAACTTATATGTACGATCCATGAACTAAGGGGTAGGGGAAATACAGGTGGGAGGGGGGTACAGGGCTGAGGGGAGAAAAAAATGGGACAACTGTAATAGCATGATACTTAAAAAAGAAGAAAGAACATTTAAATAACATGCATTGAATATTAAGTGTCAGAGGCAATCAAGAGTTAAAGGGTCAAGAGTGAACTGGATTTCAATATGCAGGACAAAAGGTGATTAAGGCAATGGTCACAAAAAGAACAGGTATTTCCAGGTTAGAATTAGGAACAACCTAATTCTAAGCGAAGGAAGTCAGTCACAAAAGACCATGTATTACATGATTCTATTTGTATAAAAAGTCTAGAAGAGGTAAATCCATAGAAACAGAAGGTAGGCTAGTGGTTGCCTGGGTGTGGGAGGAGGGAAAAATGTGGAATGACTGCTTAATCGGTAAGAGATTTTTTTTAAAAAGAGAAATACTAAAAGTTTTTCTTTTAATTGATTTGAGAGAGAAAGACTGAAACATCGATTTGTTGTTCCCCTTATTTACGCATT